AAAGTTTAGACGTTACCTTTGGGGTCTGCAGCGAGGATGGGCCCCAGGTCTAATTTAACTCTAAAGTTTAGACATTACCTTTGGGGTCTACAGCGAGGATGGGCTCCAGGTCTAATTTAACTCTAAAGTTTAGACGTTACCTTTGGGGTCTACAGCGAGGATGGGCCCCAGGTCTAATTTAACTAAAGTTTAGACGTTACCTTTGGGGTCTACAGCGAGGATGGGCCCCAGGTCTTATTTAACTCTAAAGTTTAGACGTTACCTTTGGGGTCTGCAGCGAGGATGGGCCCCAGGTCTAATTTAACTCTAAAGTTTAGACATTACCTTTGGGGTCTACAGCGAGGATGGGCCCCAGGTCTAATTTAACTAAAGTTTAGACGTTACCTTTGGGGTCTACAGCGAGGATGGGCCCCAGGTCTAATTTAACTCTAAAGTTTAGACGTTACCTTTGGAGTCTGCAGCGAGGATGGGCCCCAGGTCTAATTTAACTCTAAAGTTTAGACGTTACCTTTGGGGTCTACAGCGAGGATGGGCCCCAGGTCTAATTTAACTCTAAAGTTTAGACATTACCTTTGGGGTCTGCAGCGAGGATGGGCCCCAGGTCTAATTTAACTAAAGTTTAGACGTTACCTTTGGGGTCTGCAGCGAGGATGGGCTCCAGGTCTAATTTAACTGAAGTTTAGACGTTACCTTTGGGGTCTACAGCGAGGATGGGCCCCAGGTCTAATTTAACTCTAAAGTTTAGACGTTACCTTTGGGGTCTACAGCGAGGATGGGCTCCAGGTCTAATTTAACTGAAGTTTAGACGTTACCTTTGGGGTCTGCAGCGAGGATGGGCTCCAGGTCTAATTTAACTCTAAAGTTTAGACGTTACCTTTGGGGTCTACAGCGAGGATGGGCCCCAGGTCTAATTTAACTCTAAAGTTTAGACGTTACCTTTGGGGTCTACAGCGAGGATGGGCTCCAGGTCTAATTTAACTCTAAAGTTTAGACGTTACCTTTGGGGTCTACAGCGAGGATGGGCTCCAGGTCTAATTTAACTCTAAAGTTTAGACGTTACCTTTGGGGTCTGCAGCGAGGATGGGCCCCAGGTCTTATTTAACTCTAAAGTTTAGACGTTACCTTTGGGGTCTGCAGCGAGGATGGGCCCCAGGTCTTATTTAACTCTAAAGTTTAGACGTTACCTTTGGGGTCTGCAGCGAGGATGGGCTCCAGGTCTAATTTAACTCTAAAGTTTAGACGTTACCTTTGGGGTCTACAGCGAGGATGGGCTCCAGGTCTAATTTAACTCTAAAGTTTAGACGTTACCTTTGGGGTCTGCAGCGAGGATGGGCTCCAGGTCTAATTTAACTCTAAAGTTTAGACGTTACCTTTGGGGTCTGCAGCGAGGATGGGCTCCAGGTCTAATTTAACTCTGAAGTTTAGACGTTACCTTTGGGGTCTGCAGCGAGGATGGGCCCCAGGTCTAATTTAACTCTAAAGTTTAGACGTTACCTTTGGGGTCTGCAGCGAGGATGGGCCCCAGGTCTAATTGTACTCTAAAGTTTAGACGTTACCTTTGGGGTCTACAGCGAGGATGGGCTCCAGGTCTAATTTAACTCTAAAGTTTAGACGTTACCTTTGGGGTCTGCAGCGAGGATGGGCCCCAGGTCTTATTTAACTCTAAAGTTTAGACGTTACCTTTGGGGTCTACAGCGAGGATGGGCTCCAGGTCTAATTTAACTAAAGTTTAGACGTTACCTTTGGGGTCTACAGCGAGGATGGGCTCCAGGTCTAATTTAACTAAAGTTTCGACGTTACCTTTGGGGTCTACAGCGAGGATGGGCCCCAGGTCTAATTTAACTCTAAAGTTTAGACGTTACCTTTGGGGTCTGCAGCGAGGATGGGCCCCAGGTCTAATTTAACTGAAGTTTAGACGTTACCTTTGGGGTCTGCAGCGAGGATGGGCCCCAGGTCTAATTTAACTAAAGTTTAGACGTTACCTTTGGGGTCTACAGCGAGGATGGGCTCCAGGTCTAATTTAACTAAAGTTTAGACATTACCTTTGGGGTCTACAGCGAGGATGGGCCCCAGGTCTAATTTAACTCTGAAGTTTAGACGTTACCTTTGGGGTCTGCAGCGAGGATGGGCCCCAGGTCTTATTTAACTCTAAAGTTTAGACGTTACCTTTGGGGTCTGCAGCGAGGATGGGCCCCAGGTCTAATTTAACTCTAAAGTTTAGACGTTACCTTTGGGGTCTACAGCAAGGATGGGCCCCAGGTCTAATTTAACTCTAAAGTTTAGACGTTACCTTTGGGGTCTACAGCGAGGATGGGCCCCAGGTCTAATTTAACTCTAAAGTTTAGACGTTACCTTTGGGGTCTACAGCGAGGATGGGCTCCAGGTCTAATTTAACTCTAAAGTTTAGACGTTACCTTTGGGGTCTACAGCGAGGATGGGCCCCAGGTCTAATTTAACTAAAGTTTAGACGTTACCTTTGGGGTCGACAGCGAGGATGGGCCCCAGGTCTTATTTAACTCTAAAGTTTAGACGTTACCTTTGGGGTCTGCAGCGAGGATGGGCTCCAGGTCTAATTTAACTAAAGTTTAGACGTTACCTTTGGGGTCTACAGCGAGGATGGGCTCCAGGTCTAATTTAACTAAAGTTTAGACGTTACCTTTGGGGTCTACAGCGAGGATGGGCCCCAGGTCTAATTTAACTCTGAAGTTTAGACGTTACCTTTGGGGTCTACAGCGAGGATGGGCCCCAGGTCTAATTTAACTCTAAAGTTTAGACGTTACCTTTGGGGTCTACAGCGAGGATGGGCTCCAGGTCTAATTTAACTCTAAAGTTTAGACGTTACCTTTGGGGTCTACAGCGAGGATGGGCCCCAGGTCTAATTTAACTCTAAAGTTTAGACGTTACCTTTGGGGTCTACAGCGAGGATGGGCCCCAGGTCTAATTTAACTCTAAAGTTTAGACGTTACCTTTGGGGTCTACAGCGAGGATGGGCTCCAGGTCTAATTTAACTCTAAAGTTTAGACGTTACCTTTGGGGTCTACAGCGAGGATGGGCCCCAGGTCTAATTTAACTAAAGTTTAGACGTTACCTTTGGGGTCTACAGCGAGGATGGGCCCCAGGTCTAATTTAACTCTGAAGTTTAGACGTTACCTTTGGGGTCTACAGCGAGGATGGGCCCCAGGTCTAATTTAACTCTAAAGTTTAGACGTTACCTTTGGGGTCTACAGCGAGGATGGGCTCCAGGTCTAATTTAACTCTAAAGTTTAGACGTTACCTTTGGGGTCTACAGCGAGGATGGGCCCCAGGTCTAATTTAACTCTAAAGTTTAGACGTTACCTTTGGGGTCTACAGCGAGGATGGGCCCCAGGTCTAATTTAACTCTAAAGTTTAGACGTTACCTTTGGGGTCTACAGCGAGGATGGGCTCCAGGTCTAATTTAACTCTAAAGTTTAGACGTTACCTTTGGGGTCTGCAGCGAGGATGGGCCCCAGGTCTAATTTAACTCTAAAGTTTAGACATTACCTTTGGGGTCTACAGCGAGGATGGGCTCCAGGTCTAATTTAACTCTAAAGTTTAGACGTTACCTTTGGGGTCTACAGCGAGGATGGGCCCCAGGTCTAATTTAACTAAAGTTTAGACGTTACCTTTGGGGTCTACAGCGAGGATGGGCCCCAGGTCTTATTTAACTCTAAAGTTTAGACGTTACCTTTGGGGTCTGCAGCGAGGATGGGCCCCAGGTCTAATTTAACTCTAAAGTTTAGACATTACCTTTGGGGTCTACAGCGAGGATGGGCCCCAGGTCTAATTTAACTAAAGTTTAGACGTTACCTTTGGGGTCTACAGCGAGGATGGGCCCCAGGTCTAATTTAACTCTAAAGTTTAGACGTTACCTTTGGGGTCTGCAGCGAGGATGGGCCCCAGGTCTAATTTAACTCTAAAGTTTAGACGTTACCTTTGGGGTCTACAGCGAGGATGGGCCCCAGGTCTAATTTAACTCTAAAGTTTAGACATTACCTTTGGGGTCTGCAGCGAGGATGGGCCCCAGGTCTAATTTAACTAAAGTTTAGACGTTACCTTTGGGGTCTGCAGCGAGGATGGGCTCCAGGTCTAATTTAACTGAAGTTTAGACGTTACCTTTGGGGTCTACAGCGAGGATGGGCCCCAGGTCTAATTTAACTCTAAAGTTTAGACGTTACCTTTGGGGTCTACAGCGAGGATGGGCTCCAGGTCTAATTTAACTGAAGTTTAGACGTTACCTTTGGGGTCTGCAGCGAGGATGGGCTCCAGGTCTAATTTAACTCTAAAGTTTAGACGTTACCTTTGGGGTCTACAGCGAGGATGGGCCCCAGGTCTAATTTAACTCTAAAGTTTAGACGTTACCTTTGGGGTCTACAGCGAGGATGGGCTCCAGGTCTAATTTAACTCTAAAGTTTAGACGTTACCTTTGGGGTCTACAGCGAGGATGGGCTCCAGGTCTAATTTAACTCTAAAGTTTAGACGTTACCTTTGGGGTCTGCAGCGAGGATGGGCCCCAGGTCTTATTTAACTCTAAAGTTTAGACGTTACCTTTGGGGTCTGCAGCGAGGATGGGCCCCAGGTCTTATTTAACTCTAAAGTTTAGACGTTACCTTTGGGGTCTGCAGCGAGGATGGGCTCCAGGTCTAATTTAACTCTAAAGTTTAGACGTTACCTTTGGGGTCTACAGCGAGGATGGGCTCCAGGTCTAATTTAACTCTAAAGTTTAGACGTTACCTTTGGGGTCTGCAGCGAGGATGGGCTCCAGGTCTAATTTAACTCTAAAGTTTAGACGTTACCTTTGGGGTCTGCAGCGAGGATGGGCTCCAGGTCTAATTTAACTCTGAAGTTTAGACGTTACCTTTGGGGTCTGCAGCGAGGATGGGCCCCAGGTCTAATTTAACTCTAAAGTTTAGACGTTACCTTTGGGGTCTGCAGCGAGGATGGGCCCCAGGTCTAATTGTACTCTAAAGTTTAGACGTTACCTTTGGGGTCTACAGCGAGGATGGGCCCCAGGTCAGCGGGGGTCCCGTCTCCGAACTTGTTCCTGGCGATGACCCTGAAGTCGTACTCGTCGCCGGCCAGCAGGCCCGTGATGTCACACTTGCAGGAGGCCGTCTCCATCGGCTGGCGGAACAGCTTCATCTTGGCGTCCTTCCTCAGAACCTCGTATCCGAGCACGTCGCTGCCGCCGTTATCCAGCGGGTCGCTCCAGGTCAGAGTGATGTTCTTCTTCGTGACCTGGACCGTCTTCAGGTCCACCACGGGGCCCGGGACGTCTGCAGGGACACGAGACATATAATAAATATATATATTTAACACGCCACACTCACAAAGACACTCAAACCCAGCACCAGACACTTGTTACGCTGCTATGGACAGTCTGGCACTAACGCACATTTCTCAAAGTGACTGTTATTTTGTATTGATTGTGTGTGCATATGTACAAATGTGTCTGTTGATTGTGTGTATATATATAGATATATATATATATATTTGTATACATATTTCTATATATATTTGTATTAGGGATTGTGGGAAACGGTATTTCGATCTCTCTGTCCGTACACACAAAGATTGATAATAAAGTTGACTTTCACTTTAACTTGATAAAGCTCACGTTAGTGTCCAGGCTCTCTGATCACAGCAGCTACGGTGTAGATACGGCCCAGGCTCCTCTCTAATGTGCAATGCCTTGTCTTTTAGGTGTGAATGCGACCTGAGTTAATATTAGTGTCCACTGACCCATGACGTCCACCCGGCACTCTGCGCTCTTGGTGCCGCTGCTGTTGGTGCCGGTGACTCTGAACAGTCCGGTGTCGGCCCTGACGGCCTTCTTGATGCAGAGCGTTGTGTTGCGGCCGTGCGTCTCCACCAGCATGCGCTCAGCCTCCAGGTCCTTCTCGTCTTTGCTCCACTTCACCTCGGGCTGCGGGCGGCCGCTCACCAGCGCCGGCAGACGCAGCGCCTCGCCGGCACGCAGGATCACTCCGCTCCTCACCGAGGCATCAAGGGACACCGCCGGGGTCTCTGAGGGACACATGGGAGGACAGAAAGAACATCAGATGGGATCTTCATGTAGTTTAATTCAAACTTCACTGCATCAAGAATGAACATCAAATATACTAAGTCATTTATTTCAATCATTTTTAGTCGTCAGAAATTTTTTCCAGAAGGTTTTTGGTCTTCATTAAAACAAATGTTCCTTTAAGGATTGAAGTGATCAAACAGGATGATTTTGGGGGTGCAGAGCTCCTTGAAGCCCCCTGAATGACCCTCAGTGTTTACCTTCGGGCTCCTTCACAGTGACGGGCTCGGTGACCCCTGGGACCCCTGGTCCTGCGTCGTTGATGGCGATGACTCTGATGTAGTAATCTGCCCCCTCAGTGAGGCCAGTGATGGTGAAGGTGAGGTCTTTACACCTGAACTCTGTGCAGCGGCTCCACTCCTTCTCCCCCACCAGCACCTGGGGGGGGGCACAGGGGTTATATTATATATATACTGATATACATCACAATATACTGATATACATGCATCACTATATACTGATATACATGTATCACAATATACTGATATACATGCATCACTATATACTGATATACATGTATCACAATATACTGATATACATGTATCACAATATACTGATATACATGCATCACTATATACTGATATACATGTATCACAATATACTGATATACATGTCTCACTATATACTGATATACATGCATCACTATATACTGATATACATGTATCACAATATACTGATATACATGTCTCACTATATACTGATATACATGCATCACAATATACTGATATACATGCATCACTATATACTGATATACATGTATCACTATATACTGATATACATGCATCACTATATACTGATATACATGTATCACTATATACTGATATACATGTATCACTATATACTGATATACATGCATCACTATATACTGATATACATGCATCACTATATCCTGATATACATGTATCACTATATACCAGAGGTGGGAGTAAATCCTACAAGTGCAAGTCATGAGCAAGTCTCAAGTCTTGACCTACAAGTATCAAGCAAGTCCCAAGTCACTGTGGTGAGAGTCAAGCAAGTCAAGTCAAGTCATATGAAATTCTGATGAGTAACCCCAGTTTCCGTATTTAAATCAGTTAAAAGACAGTGGTTATGAAAATGGATTTAACCCACACTATGATCTTCATTACATACACAGTTAATCATTTGAAATCTAATTTAGACCGATGACAATCATATTAGATTCATATTAACCGTAGAACTGCAGACAATATAGCTAGGACTCAGTATAGCTAGGACTCAATATAGCTAGGACTCAATATAGCTAGGACTCAGTATAGCTAGGACTCAATATAGCTAGGACTCAATATAGCTAGGACTCAGTATAGCTAGGACTCAATATAGCTAGGACTCAGTATAGCTAGGACTCAATATAGCTAGGACTCAGTATAGCTAGGACTCAGTATAGCTAGGACTCAGTATAGCTAGGACTCAGTATAGCTAGGACTCAATATAGCTAGGACTCAGTATAGCTAGGACTCAGTATAGCTAGGACTCAGTATAGCTAGGACTCAATATAGCTAGGACTCAGTATAGCTAGGACTCAGTATAGCTAGGACTCAGTATAGCTAGGACTCAGTATAGCTAGGACTCAGTATAGCTAGGACTCAATATAGCTAGGACTCAGTATAGCTAGGACTCAGTATAGCTAGGACTCAGTATAGCTAGGACTCAGTATAGCTAGGACTCAGTATAGCTAGGACTCAATATAGCTAGGACTCAGTATAGCTAGGACTCAGTATAGCTAGGACTCAATATAGCTAGGACTCAGTCAGTCAGTCTGTTCAAAAAGGCAGAATTCCAGGTAAGAAAATCATATATGGAATTTGCCATTACACATATTTAATTTAAATGTCTGTTAAACACTAGAACCACCAACAGCGTCAGCACCTACAGAGATATCATTTTCAAATCATTTCATTTGTTCCTCTTCATCATTTCCTTATAAACTAAGTAGGACGATTTAAAACTCACTTAATTGGGTTAATTTAGAAATGGCTTCAGTTTATCATCAGAACAGATCAAAAAGTTCAGATTCATTTTACAATAAATCAAGGAATGATGCACTTCTACAAACAAAACACAATTAAAACATTTAAACAAACTACTAAAAGTAGATGAACTACGGATTCAACAGTTTACAGTAACTTCTGATAACACAGGGGGAAATAAAGGAGGCTCTCTATCTCTATATCTATATACTCTCTCTCGATATGTACTTATCTGCGATCGATACGTACATCTCATAGAGGACTATGATATAAGAGCGAAGAGATCGATAGATCCTAGCATCGTGAGAGAGATCTCTCATGCTTCGCTTTGTCTTATATCTCTCTCTACTCGATCTCTCGCCGTCTTCGTAGAGACTCTATATCTCTCTCTATCGCTCTCTCTATCATCTCCTTCCTCTCTCTCTCTCTCTCTCTCTCTCTCTCTCTCTCTCTCCCGACAGCCCGTCAGTATCAGTGTTAGTCAAAATGAATCCCTTGGAGGTTCTAGTGTTCATTTACCGTTTTGTCTTCTCTTTGCTTAATCGATTTGAAACCAAGTCTAACGTAGCTTAAACTTAACGTTAGCTTTCTAGCTAACACAACACATTCACGCACCTTTCTCTGTGGGTTTTTTTGTATTGACGAATGAAGTTGGATGTTGTGGTGGTCCTGATCTTTATGCTGCAGACCCTGCATACCGCTGTTCTTATTAGCGTCATCGACAACATAATCCTTGAATCCAAACTTCACTATTTGTGGAGTAACGCCAGCCGCTGCCATGTTAACTGACGCTCCTGCCGTCTAGTGGGTTGCCAGGTTTGCGCGCACGGCGCTATAATCACCCAATCACGTTTTTCGAACAAACTAAACGTAATATCTCACTACAAAAACAAACTCAAATATTTAATTTTAAACAGACAAGTCCTTTCAAGTCATCCGTCTCAAGCTTAAGTCAAGTCTCAAGTCATGAATACCAAGTCAAAGTCAAGTCAAGTCTTTTATCAATGTTAGTCAAGCAAGTCTCAAGTCCAAAAATATGCGACTCGAGTCTGACTCGAGTCAAGTCATGTGACTCGAGTCCCCACCTGTGCTATATACTGATATACATGTATCACTATATACTGATATACATGTATATCAGTATATACTGATATACATGTATCACAATATACTGATATACATGCATCACTATATACTGATATACATGTATCACTATATACTGATATACATGTATCACTATATACTGATATACATGCATCACTATATACTGATATACATGTATCACTATATACTGATATACATGTATCACTATATACTGATATACATGCATCACTATATACTGATATACATGTATCACAATATACTGATATACATGTATCACTATATACTGATATACATGTATCACTATATACTGATATACATGCATCACTATATACTGATATACATGTATCACAATATACTGATATACATGTATCACTATATACTGATATACATGTATCACTATATTTAAAGCGTGTCTATCAGATTGTTCCAGATGTTTGGGGACGTCACTGACACATGATATAAACACGGTGAGGCCCACCTTCTCCAGGTGGTATCCCAGGATGTCCCCTCCTCCGTTATACAGGGGCGGCTTCCAGGCCACGATCACTGAGTCCTTCCCAGTGTCCACGATCCAGGGGGTGGGGGGGCCGGGGGTCACTGTTGGGGGGGGGGAGGGGTGGCAGGGTTAAATCACTCGATCTTTAGATTAAAACATGTGTGCCGAGCCGAGACGTCAGGTGACATCATCAGTGGGAGGGGCTTCATTACATATATGACATAGTGGGAGGGGCTTCATTACATATATGACATAGTGGGAGGGGCTTCATTACATATATTACACAGTGGGAGGGGCTTCATTACATATATTACATAGTCATCTTGACGTACTGATGGCGTCCATGGCCACGGTATATATTACATAACAATAACAATAATGATAATAATAATAATAATAATAATAATGTGTACATACTGATACCATGGCCACGGTATATATATATAATAATAATAATGTGTACATACTGATACCATGGCCACGGTATATATATAATAATAATAATGTGTACATACTGATACCATGGCCACGGTATATATATAATAATAATAATGTGTACATACTGATACCATGGCCACGGTATATATATATAATAATAATAATGTGTACATACTGATACCATGGCCACGGTATATATATAATAATAATAATGTGTACATACTGATACCATGGCCACGGTATATATATAATAATAATAATGTGTACATACTGATACCATGGCCACGGTATATATATATAATAATAATAATGTGTACATACTGATACCATGGCCACGGTATATATATATAATAATAATAATGTGTACATACTGATACCATGGCCACGGTATATATATAATAATAATAATAATAATAACAACAGGACTCACTGATGGCGTCCATGGCCACGGTGCGCTCGCTGGGCTCGCTGAAGGGCCCGGGGCCGGCCAGGTTCTCTGCACAGACTCTGAAGATGTAGGTGAGACCCTCCATCAGGCCCTCCACCCTCACATCCAGGGAGTTCAGCAGAGCCCTGTTCACCCGGGTCCAGTGCTTGCTGTTCACCTCCTTCCTCTCAATCCAGTAGCCCAGGATGGGGGAGCCGTTGTCTTTGGGCTCGTGCCACGAGATCTTGGCGCTGCTCGCCGTGACCTCGTGGACCCGGGGTGTGGAGGGGGCGTCGGGGGGGTCTGTGGGGAGGGGGGGTCGTTATTATTACTGCAGTTTATTCACTTGACTTTTGTAAGACTTCAGAAATGTCTGAGTGTTTCCTGGAAATGTTTCAGCTTTAATCCCCTGTTACTAAATGTATGATTTTGATCCTGGAAATAACCTATTATTTGATCAAATGTACTTTATTCCAAATATTCTGCATATATACGACTCTCATCGAAGGAACATCTTATAAGATATTCTCAAATTAAACATTTTTATGAAATGAAGCATCTGACCCTACTACAGCATACTTACAGTATATGTATACATGTCCTATAGTACGTATAATATTCCTTTGGGGAAGAAGTTGTAGTTCTGCCGTCTCTGTTACTACAGTGCTGGTGTGAGTGTATTCTCTGGAGTATTTATTATCTATATTAATATGTACTCAGTGCTGCTCCTACGTACCGAACATGTTCTTGGCCACCAGGGGCTTGGAGGTGTTGGGGGGTCCGCAGCCGAACCTATTCTCTGCCGTGACCCTGAACACGTACTCCTTGCCCTCGATGAGCTTGGTGACGGCGTGGGTGGGGGTCTTCAGGGTGGAGCTCACGGTGATCCAGCCCACCTCCTCGTTACGGTTGTCCTTCTTCTCCAGGATGTAGTTCAGCACCTCGCTGCCCCCATCGTCCAGGGGGGGCTCCCAGTTCAGAACCACCGAGGTGTTCCTGACGTCCTCGAAGGTGATGTTCACCGGGGGGCCGGGTTTATCTGGGGGGATTAGAGAATACATACGTTATGGTGTGGGACTGGTTTTAAACCCAGATTAACCCAGGTCTCAGACGCAGGGTGAGCCAGGTCTCAGACGCAGGGTGAGCCAGGTTTCAGACGCAGGGTGAGCCAGGTCTCAGACGCAGGGTGAGCTCCTCACCCAGCACGTTGACGGTGCAGCGGGCGGACGCGGTGCCGTGCTGGTTCTCCACGGTGACGGTGAACTCTCCGTGGTCGCTCCTCACCGCCTCGCGGATCATCAGCCCGGCCCGGCCCCGGATGCTCTGATCCAGACCGAGGCGCTGGCTGAGGGGGTTCTCCTCCTCCTCCTCGTACGCCTGCAACACACACACACATATATATAAATACTTTATAAATACTATATACTACAGACTATATACATGTACACAAGAACTCCTCCTCGTACGCCTGGAACACACACATATATATAAATACTATATAAATACTATACTGCAGACTATATACATATATTGTATTAAACAGGTTATATATAATATTATATATATGAATAATACTCTGGATATCTGTGTGTATTAAACAGGTTATATATAGTATTATATATATGAATAATACTCTGGATATCTGTGTGTATTAAACAGGTTATATATAGTATTATATATATGAATAATACTCTGGATATCTGTGTGTATTAAACAGGTTATATATAGTATTATATATATGAATAATACTCTGGATATCTGTGTGTATTAAACAGGTTATATATAGTATAAATACTCTGTGTGTCTCTCACCTGAGCCTTGGACTTCCTCCTCTTGACGGGGGCGGTCTTCTTCGTTGGTTTCTTGGTGACGTCCTCGTCGTTCCTGAGCCAGGTGACCCGGGGGTACGGGGACCCGGAGATCAGGGCGTCGATCCGGACCTCCTCGCCCTTCTTCACACACACGCCGGACTGAACCCGGGCGTGCAGCGTCACACTGGGTTTCTCTGCACACACAGTTCATATTCAAATAAAACAGAGATATACGTTTGAGCTGCTTTCTGAGTGGAAAACAAGAAACCTCTGTATTTCTGCTGTAAATATGAATACAAATAATAGTCGATATTTCTGCTGTCAATTATAATAATAATAATAATAATAGTAATAATAATAATAGTAATAAATGTCCGTGTTTCCGTACCGACGGGGTCTGCAGCCTTGGTGAGCGGCGTGCTGCGGGACGGCTCGCTGACCCCGGCGGCGTTCTCCGCCCGGATCCTGAACTGGTACTCAGCCCCCTCCGTCAGACCGGTGACTGTGTGGCTGAGGCCGGGCACCAGGGTGGGCGTGACGCGGTCGAATCGATCTCCGTCCTTCTCCATCTTCTCCACGATGTATCCGGTGATCGGGCAGCCGCCATCAGAGTCCGGAGCCTTCCAGGTCACTGTGATGGACTTACAGGTGGGGTCCCGGGCCTCCACCGCGATGGGGGGGTCCGGTTTCTCTGCAGAGGCAACCACAGGTGGTTAGCATTCTTCATTTCTATAATATATACATTTAATTATTAATAAACACTATCTTTGAATTACTCTAATGTACAATGTCTTTTTATGCTGCTTGCAACGCAAACATTTCACTAATTAGGATCAAGAAAGTACTTCTTCTCTTATTCTTATCTTATCTGTGTTTGACTATATTTATCCATCCTTCACAAAAGCATGCTAACGTGCTAACGTGCTAACAATGAGGCTACAGAACGACTCTTTTTTCCTCATATTTCAAACCTCTGATCTCATCAGTGTTTCAGGTGATGACTTACGTTTGACTTCCTCCGTGAGGACTATAGTTATCCATCCTGCACAATAACATGCTAACGTGCTAACGTGCTAACAATGACCCTACAGAACTCTTTTTTCCTCATGTTTCAAACCTCTGATCTCATCAGTGTTTCAGGTGATGACTTACGTTTGACTTCCTCCGTGATGACGGCGTTGCGCAGCTCCAGGTTGGCCCCGGCCCCCACCTTGTTGACGGCCCGGACCCTGAAGAAGTACTCGCAGTTGACATAGAGGTCTTTGACGACGGCGGTCAGCACGTCCTCGCCCGACATCACGGGCATGTAGGTCTTCTTGGAGGCCTCGCGGCGCTCCAGGGTGTAGCTGAGCACGGGGGAGCAGCCGTCGTCCTCGGGGGCCTCCCAGCTGATCCGGCATGAGTTCTTGGTGACCTCGCTGGACGAGATGTCCTTACAGGGTCCCGGGAGGCCTGGGGGGCAGAGAGGGTGGTGAGGAGGGTACACAGTAGAACATGGCTATAGTTATTCAGTAGTACTCTGATAACTGAACCCCCAGGCCGAGTCCCGCCAGACTGAGGCTAACACTTATGTGATTATTGTCGTGTCAAATGATCTTAGAATCTTTTAAAACATATCGTCTTATACTCTGATTGCCTTTACTCTGTTAAAGTGTGTTGTTAGTCTTGTGTGTGTTGAACAGAGACATGTGATAAGGGTTTACATGTCAGGAGGCAAAGGAAGTGAGAGGTGGGTTCACAGATGGTTAGGGACTGAGGGGTGAATGGTTTGATGATGGGATTGAGGAGCAGCTGGTTCCTCTCATGAATACACAGAGAGACTGAGAGCAGAGCTTCTCTCTCCTCTGAGGAGCAGCTGGTTCCTCTCATGAATACACAGAGAGACTGAGAGCAGAGCTTCTCTCTCCTCTGAGGAGGAAGCTGCTCTGTTCCTGCTTTTCAGATCCATCTCACTTTATACTGACTTTCTTTATTACTTTATTAAATCTAACAAAAGACAGACTTAGTCCATGAAGCATCTCTCAGTGTCTCTGAAGAGTTTCCTCCACAGTCGGCATGGGGGGTCCAACCTTTGCCCCCAGTCCTAAACAGTGTATTAGTATGAAGTTCTCGTACCGATGACCTTGACGGTGACGGTGCCGGTGGCGCTGCCCAGGCTGTTCTCCAGCGTGATGGCGTAGGCGCCGGCGTCGGCCCGGCTGCTCTTCAGCAGGTCCAGGTGGGCGCTGTTCATCTCCACCGTCATGGACAGCCGCTCGCCAGCCTTGCACTCCACCTCGTCCTTCTTCCACACCATCTTGGGGGTGGGGATGGCTCTGTAGGGGACCTTCAGCTGCAGCTTCTCCCCCTCCACCACCACCACCTCCTGAGACGCCAGGTCCAGGGTGGGGGCGCCTGGGGGGGCAGGGGACATTTATTATTCGGAGGTTATCATCATACTTTCACTTCCTATATATTATTCAATCCACAGAAGAGGCGTTTTCGTACGTTTTAAAGTCTTACCTGTTTCCTGCATATTTATGACTGATTATTTCTACCATATTTTATTGATTACAGCTACACACGAATAAAAGGCAGAGCTGCTTACAGTCGGGGTCTTTGGTGAAGACCTTGTCGGAGACGTCGGAGGGGTCGCTCACTCCCACGGCGTTGATGGCGCGGACCCGGATCACGTATTTCTTCTCGGGCTTGATGCCGTCGTCGATCCTGAAGCTGAGCTCTTTGATTGGCCGGGTGTTGACGCGCAGCCACTTGAGCTCGGGCCGGGCCTCGGCCACCTCCACGTGGTACCCAGAGATCGGGGAGCCGCCGTCTTTGGTCGGGGGCTTCCAGGTGACGCTGATGTGCTCACGGCTAGCGTCAGGTACTGCCAACTCCAGAGGGGGGGAGGGGGCACCTGAGGAGGAGGGGGGGCACATTTAAAAAACATCCAGGTGCTTTACGACTTTCTACCTGTGGATTTGGGGGGGGGGGGGGTCTTACTGGTGGCGTCCTCGATGGTCAGGATCTCGGTGGGCTCGCTGGGGTCTCCCACCCCGGCCTCGTTCTCCGCCCGGACCTGGAACTGCACCTCGGTGCCCTCGTCCACGTCCGTCACCTTGAACTGGGACAGTTTGTCGGGGGTCTTGCAGCACTTCAGCCAGCGGGATCCCAGCTTCTCCTTCTTCTCGATGACGTACCTGAGGACAGGTGAGAGGAGGTTTAGAGGGAGGGGAGCCATCATGTATTTAGTTTGTTTTGATTTGATCTGCACACGTTTGATGTAACATGCAGTTCTGAGACTGAACACAGGGTGGAGCGTTCACTTGAGAGCACACAGGTGATCAGGTTCAGGTGTGAGTGACGGGAAGCAAACAGCTTGTGTGGAGATGAGTGCGTGTTAACCTGTTTACATCAGAGCGTGACTGGCAGGCATATATTGTTCCTCTGAATGCGGATACATTCATTAAGGTGAATATATTGGACATAAAATAAATGATAGATTGAAAGATACGACTCATATGGTCTTATGGTCTGGAACACGCGTCCCAACAAGTTCTCCCGTCCCTCAGTGGCTTCAGTAGAGATTAGGTTTTAAAGTCACTTCAAACGTCAGGACTGTTTCAGGACGCTTACTTGGTGATGGGTCTTCCTCCGTGGCTCTTGGGGGGTTCCCACTTGAGCTCAACATGTCTCTTGGTGACCTCGACCACGGTGAGGGCGTAGGGGGGTCCGGGGGTGGCTGCAGGGTGCATGGAGAATAAATCAGTTTGAGGGTACAGAAGATGGAGGGTCCATCATGAAGCTCTCGTAGAGACAACTCGTTTATGAAGTTAAAATACTTCTTACTTAACATTTACTTTCTTTCTCAATATTTTGACATTTCTCTTGACACGGAAGACTCTCATCTCAAAATGTACAACTTGGTTCTCACTATTTGCTTCATCCCAACATTTAAAGTGCAGAAAGGATGGTCTGTGATATGTTCTTATTCACAGCCAATCTGTTGCCGTGGGTGAAGCCTTCAGCTCTAACACAGTTTATGACCCTGACCATGCTCACTAGCGATGAGAGCCCTAGAAGCAGCCGGTACTCACTGAATGTGTCTTTGGCGAGCACGGCGTCCTCCATCTCGCAGAACTCTCCCATCCCGGCGCTGTTCTCTGCAGCGACGCGGAACACGTAGAGCGAGCCCTCGTTGAGCGGCGTCACGGTGTACTTCAGCTCCTTCACCGTGGTGTCCACCGCCTGCCAGGCTTTGCGCCGGACGTCCCTCTTCTCCACCACGTAGTTAGTGATGGGGGAGCCTCCGTCGCTGCTGGGAGCCTGCCACTTCAGACCCGCCGACACCTTAGTGATGGACGCCACCTCCAGCCACTGGGGCGCAGAGGGGGGGACTGAGGGGGTGGGACATTCTTGTTATTATACTGTAGTATGTCATGCTTAGACCCTCCCACATGTACCCCAACATTTTACTGTATTTGTGATTCAATACAAACTCTGAATCGAGGAGATGATAGGTTTGAGGTAGATTGGATATTTTTTGAGGTCGCAGTTTTAGATTAAAGTTGTAAACTCAAAAGAATACTTGTTTCAGCAAAAGGACATGGTTTGTCTACCCCAGATATCCCTGTTCCACTGAAATGGGTTCTGTTCTAGTTCTGTCCTGGGGGCAGTTTGGTTCAATTTCAGAACCACTTAAAAACTAGTTTGCTTTTCCACCACTCAGAGCCTGAGAGAAATCATAACCTCACACGTACGAAAACCTCTCCCAATAACGATGGGGACGAGCGTCAGAACCATGCTCATGTTGATCCTAAAGTTACGGAGCCAGATGAAAGTGACATAGTTTGCCACCATGACTCAGCATTTGTTGACTGCTGCTCGTCCAATCGTGTCAGACCTACCATCTGCAGCTGAGAGTAATAATTCTCTTTCATCAGTAACGCCCCGTTAGCGACATAGCGCCTGAATGAAGGATGCATGATGTGTGGTTCCTCTGGTGTCACTCACAGAGCCTCTCCTTGCAGACCACGGGGTCGCTGGGCTCCGACGCCTCGCTCTCCCCGGCCTTGTTGATGGCCTTCACCCTGAAGCAGTACTCCTGATGCTCCACCAGGCCGGTGAGCTGCTGCTCCGTCTGCGGGACGTCCTCCATCAGCCGGATCCACTCCTCGCTGCCGGCCTTCTGGAACTCGATGATGTAGCTCTCGATCTTCGCCCCGCCGTCGTGCTCCGGACGGGTCCAGGCCAGCAGGGCGGTGGTCTTACCCACCTCCCGGATGGCAGGTTTGCCTGGAGCCCAGGGAGGATCTGCAGCAGACACACATTAGATATTAAAGCTGATAACAAGAACCACACATTAGATATTAGAGTCTCATCAAACGTAATGAAGTGCTACCGATGGGGTCTTTGATGAGCACCGGGTCCGTCTCCACGCTGGGCTTTCCGGGTCCAGCCAGATTCTCGGCCAGAACTCTGAAGCTGTACTTCTTCTTGGTGGGGAGTCCCTTCACCCTGGAGACAACATTCAATACATATGAATACACATGATATGAACACCTTCTCTCTATCTGAATACCGTGTGAGTCCTCACCTGAAGGTGGTGTCCTTGATGGGCAGCTTGTTGCATCTGATCCACTTGTCGCTCTCTGGTTCGAACTTCTCGATCCAGTACCCGGTGATGGGACTGCCGCCGTCCTCGTCCGGCTCGAACCAGGTCAGAGACACGGCATCTTTGGTGATGTCCGAGGGAGTGACTCTGGTTGGAGCACCAGGAGGATCTGAAACAGACAGAAGGTGTTCTGAATTATCCAGAAACTGGATGTGGTCGCAGTGGACTAGTGTTTATGGACTTCAACACGTAGACTTCTGTCTCGTAGACTTCTGTCTCGTATAACTCTGTCTCGTAGACTTCTGTCTCGTAGACTTCTGTCTCGTATAACTCTATCTCGTAGACTTCTGTCTCGTAGACTTCTGTCTCGTAGACTTCTGTCTCGTATAACTCTGTCTCGTAGACTTCTGTCTCGTAGACTTCTGTCTCGTAGACTTCTGTCTCGTAGACTTCTATCTCGTAGACTTCTGTCTCGTAGACTTCTATCTAGTGGACTTCTGTCTCGTAGACTTCTGTCTCGTAGACTTCTGTCTCGTAGACTTCTGTCTAGTGGACTTCTGTCTCGTAGACTTCTGTCTCGTATAACTCTGTCTCGTAGACTTCTGTCTCGTAGACTTCTGTCTCGTATAACTCTGTCTCGTAGACTTCTGTCTCGTAGACTTCTGTCTCGTAGACTTCTGTCTCGTAGACTTCTATCTAGTGGACTTCTGTCTCGTAGACTTCTGTCTCGTATAACTCTGTCTCGTAGACTTCTGTCTCGTATAACTCTGTCTCGTAGACTTCTGTCTCGTAGACTTCTGTCTCGTAGACTTCTGTCTCGTAGACTTCTGTCTCGTATAACTCTGTCTCGTAGACTTCTGTCTCGTAGACTTCTGTCTCGTAGACTTCTGTCTCGTAGACTTCTGTCTCGTATAACTCTGTCTCGTGGACTTCTGTCTCGTAGACTTCTGTCTCGTAGACTTCTGTCTCGTAGACTTCTGTCTCGTAGACTTCTATCTAGTGGACTTCTGTCTCGTAGACTTCTGTCTCGTAGACTTCTATCTAGTGGACTTCTGTCTCGTAGACTTCTGTCTCGTAGACTTCTGTCTCGTAGACTTCTATCTAGTGGACTTCTGTCTCGTAGACTTCTGTCTCGTATAACTCTGTCTCGTAGACTTCTGTCTCGTAGACTTCTGTCTCGTAGACTTCTGTCTCGTATAACTCTGTCTCGTAGACTTCTGTCTCGTAGACTTCTGTCTCGTAGACTTCTGTCTCGTAGACTTCTATCTAGTGGACTTCTGTCTCGTAGACTTCTGTCTCGTAGACTTCTGTCTCGTAGACTTCTGTCTCGTATAACTCTGTCTCGTAGACTTCTGTCTCGTATAACTCTGTCTCGTAGACTTCTGTCTCGTAGACTTCTGTCTCGTAGACTTCTGTCTCGTATAACTCTGTCTCGTAGACTTCTGTCTCGTAGACTTCTGTCTCGTATAACTCTGTCTCGTGGACTTCTGTCTCGTAGACTTCTGTCTCGTATAACTCTGTCTCGTAGACTTCTGTCTCGTAGACTTCTGTCTCGTAGACTTCTGTCTCGTAGACTTCTAGATAAAAGAAGACAGCAGTAGGAACAGTTCCTCATAGACTTCTATAGAACGTACCGAAGGAATACTTGGCGATGATGGGCGCGTGCTCGGCCGGCTGTCCAATGCCGTACTGGTTCTCAGCGCTGACCCTGAACACGTACTCCTTCAGCGCCATCAGCTTGCAGGCCTTGAAGGTGGTGTGCTTCACCGTGGCCGACAGCTTCACCCACTCCTCTTTGTCCGTCTGTCGGCTCTCCACGATGTAGTTGGTGATGAGCGAGCCGCCGTCGTCCCGGGGCGGGTTCCACGCCATGCAGCACGACTCGTTGGTGATGTCAGAGAGGTCGAAGGCGGCGGGGGGGCCGGGTTTATCTGAGAGGACGGGGCAAAACGTGAGCATTACTCAAACTGTCCGTCCAGGACCACACCACACTGAGACATGAGTCAGCTGTACACCACACTGAGACATGAGTCAGCTGCACACCACACTGAGACATGAGTCAGCTGGACACCACACTGAGACATGAGTCAGCTGTACACTACACTGAGACATGAGTCAGCTGTACACCACACTGAGACATGAGTCAGCTGGACACCACACTGAGACATGAGTCAGCTGTACACCACACTGAGACATGAGTCAGCTGTACACCACACTGAGACATGAGTCAGCTGTACACCACACTGAGACATGAGTCAGCTGGACACCACACTGAGACATGAGTCAGCTGTACACCACACTGAGACATGAGTCAGCTGTACACCACACTGAGACATGAGTCAGCTGGACACCACACTGAGACATGAGTCAGCTGGACACCACACTGAGACATGAGTCAGCTGTACACCACACTGAGACATGAGTCAGCTGTACACCACACTGAGACATGAGTCAGCTGTACACCACACTGAGACATGAGTCAGCTGTACACCACACTGAGACATGAGTCAGCTGGACACCACACTGAGACATGAGTCAGCTGTACACCACACTGAGACATGAGTCAGCTGTACACCACACTGAGACATGAGTCAGCTGGACACCACACTGAGACATGAGTCAGCTGGACACCACACTGAGACATGAGTCAGCTGTACACCACACTGAGACATGAGTCAGCTGTACACCACACTGAGACATGAGTCAGCTGGACACCACACTGAGACATGAGTCAGCTGGACACCACACTGAGACATGAGTCAGCTGGACACCACACTGAGACATGAGTCAGCTGCACACCACACTGAGACATGAGTCAGCTGTACACCACACTGAGACATGAGTCAGCTGGACTGGATGCACTGAATGCCCGGACACTTCTAAACTCGTTACTCCTTTAAAACACATTTAATTCAAACCATTATTTACCTTTGCCATAGATCTGTGTTTATTAAACATTACATATTTTAAACCAATACTCGAATGATTAATAAATGTTTTGTTGTAGACCTGATTAGATTATTTCTAGGGTCGGTGTATTGAAGTGTTTGTAAGTTGCAGTGGATATAAGCCTCAGCTAAATGATTGTCAAACAGGCGTGCAGTTTTGGATATTGTGGTGCATGCTGGGTAACATACCCAGGATGTTGACGTCAATGGTGGCGGTGGCGCGCCCGCAGGCGTTGACGGCCTCGATGATGTAGGTGGCGGTGTCGCCCCGGGTGCTGTTGGCGATGGACAGCTTGGAGTGTCCGGGCTGAGTGTCCATGGTGATGCGGTCGTCGGCCTTCAGGACCTGGTCCGCTTTGGTCCACTTCACCCTCGGGTCGGGCTTGCCCTTCACGTCGGCCGGCAGCTCGATCTTAGTGCCGGCCCGGGCCGTCAGACCCGCCAGCAGCTTCACGTCCAGCTGGATCTCCGGAGGCTCTGCAGAGACATCACAGAGTCAGAGACATTTAACAAAAACGAACTTCCTGTGCAGAAATAAAACATGTTTCCATAACTGCCCATGCTTCCTGCTCTGATTCAAGACCCCGCTCTGATTCAAGACCCCGCTCTGATTCAAGACCCCGCCCTGATTCAAGACCCCGCCCTGATTCAAGACCCCGCCCTGATTCAAGACCCCGCTCTGATTCAAGACCCCGCTCTGATTCAAGACCCCGCCCTGATTCAAGACCCCGCTCTGATTCAAGACCCCGCCCTGATTCAAGACCCCGCCCTGATTCATGACCCCGCTCTGATTCAAGACCCCGCCCTGATTCAAGACCCCGCTCTGATTCAAGACCCCGCTCTGATTCAAGACCCCGCCCTGATTCAAGACCCCGCTCTGATTCAAGACCCCGCCCACCTCTGGCGTCCACGGCCTGAATCTCGTCGGTGGCCCTGCAGGGTCTGCTGGCCCCCAGCTTGTTGAAGGCTCGGATCCTGTAGGCGTACCACTGGCCCTCGATCAGCCCGGTCACCTGCATCCTGAGAGAGAAACACACAGTTATTAGAAGGCGTTGCCCCGGCTGCAGACAGGAGGGTAAACAGCAGGAAACAGTTCTTACTTCAGCTCGGGGATGGGCTCTCCGCAGGGCTCCCACTTATCCGTCCCGCGCTGACACTTGTCCACAACGTAGCCTTTGATGGGAGCGCCTCCGTCGTACTTCGATGGCTCCCAGAACAGGAAGATGGACTTTCCGCTCTTATCGCGCCACTTCAGGTTCTCCGGAGGATCGGGAATAGCTGTGTGGGGGGGGGGGGAGATAACGCAGGTCAGGCAGTGACTCAGGGTTCAAACACGGTTCAATGCTGGAAAGGCCTTCATATGGTGAGTCTGAAGAGGACTGATGTCTGAGGCTATATCAGAGAAAGCTCGTGTTGGGTCTGTGTGATGCTCAGCGACTCACTGGCGGGCGAGGACACGTTGACGGGCTCGTCGATGTACGCCGGCTCTCCCGGTCCACACTTGTTGCAGGCGGTGACGCTGAACAGATACTCCTTCCCCTCCACCACGTCTGTGATGGTGTGCTCCAGGTCCAGCACGCCCGCCGCCACCTGGAGGGAAATCAGGAGGCGTCAGTCAGGAAATAACACTTAGGAAAAAGTCGGAACTTTGAGAAAAGTCAAGAAATTGAGATATTGTTTGGGTCATTTTGAGAAATGCTGAGAGAAAGTCTGAACTTTGAGAAAATAGTAAACATTATCCTTCTTGAAGCATCTGGACCTGCCACAGTCTTTATTTGTTCTAGATGCAGGCTGTGCACGTTTCTTTACATCTGTACTTTAAAATGAATGAACATGCAACCCGTTGTCAGGGTCAGGGTCTCAGGGGTACCTTGGCCCAGGTCTTGCGGGACACCTCTCTCTTCTCGATCTGGAAGTGAGTGACAGGACTTCCTCCATCGTGCTCGGGCACCTCCCACATCAGGTGCACGTGGTGACGCGTCACCTCCGCCACCTTGAAGTCCTTGGGGGCACTAGGGCATGCTGGGGGAAAAAAGGAAGGGAACAATACATTAATACTTGTATATATATATATATATATATATATATATATATAATGTTTGTATTATTATTTTTCATTTTAAAATCTTGAGTTTATTCTGAAATGCACAATTTAAATGTTATTGAGTATTTTATTCTGCAGTTGACATCAATCTCCCGGGGATTTACCCAGCATGCATTGGAGAATCTACCCTTTGGAAATCTACCCATTGGAAGGTCTACCCAGCATGCATTGTGTGAATGAGTATCTTATTGTGAAGTTACCGATGACGTTGACCTCCACCTCTCCGCTGACGGAGCACACGTCGTTCTCCAGCGTCAGGCTGTAGGTTCCTTTGTCCGGGCGGACGCTCGGGGACACCGTCAGCTCCGTGAAGGTTGGTTTGGTCGTCATGGAGACGCGCTCGTCGGCGGTGCTCAGCTGTTTGTCTCCGAACGTCCACTTGGCGACGGGCGTGGGGTACCCAGTGATCGGCACCCTGATGGTGAGGGGCTGCGGCACGATGACCTCCAGACCGTTCCTGAAGCCACTCAGGTCGAAGTGGGGACCCACTGAGGACACAGGGGGGAGATTTAGATTTATACTTTTACTGAATATCTGAAATATCTGAATATATTTTTACAATTCTTTATTTAGAAGACAGTTGAGAACATTTCACCAGTTACAATGAGATAGACTTGCAGGGAGTAGAAAACATTTGCAATAAGGGAACAGTAAACATTGAAACCCTCCCTCTTATACAATGTTCATGAACTTTATACAATTGATTTAACTATCTTATTGTTCAATTTGTATATCTTCAGGTACCGTGTGGGTCGTCGGCCAGCAGGGGGCCGAGCTGCTCCGCGGGGTCGGAGAGTCCGGCGGCGTTCTCAGCAGAAACTCTGTAGAGGTACTTCTGACCCGGCTTCAGACCCGACACCTGAGAGGAACCAGAACCAGGAGAGTCAACAACAGAAAGAGAGAACCAAAAAGCTGGAGGAGAACCTCCTTTTACTTCTGCTCTAAAGACAAGGTCATCTACAGAAGGGCGTGAGGGACACGTGGAAATGATTTGAGATCTGAGATTTAAGTCAGAAGTCAAACATTCTGAGAAAAAACACAATTTTGAGAAAGTCAGATCTTTGAGAAAAGTTAAATTATTTCTGAAATTTCGAGAAAAGTGAAAATATTTTCAAAGAAACTGAAAATGTTGAAAAAAAATTCAGAATTCTAAGAAACATTCTTAAAATGTATAGAAACATTTCACGATTTTATGAAACATTTCACAATTTTAAGAAAAAAGTTTCCTTAGAAAAGTATGAAATGACTTCTCATAACTAAACAAAAGCATTTCATATATGTCCTAATCCTTCTCTAGATCAATCAGAGTAAACATAGTGCTAGTGGTCGTACGCGGTAGTGCAGGTCCTGGCACAGCCGGGCGTTGCAGCGCATCCACTTGTCGGAGCCGTCGTCACTCTTCTGGATGATGTAGCCGGTGATCATGCTGCCTCCGGTGCTGCTGGGCGTCTCCCAGGTGAGGGTGACGGCCGTCTGCACCTGGTCGCTGTAGTTCAGGTTCAGGGGGGGGGATGGACGGTCTGCACAGAGGGGCGGGGGTTAGTACACAGAAACACAGCAGCAGAAGTTAAACGAGCGTGCGGCGGCTCACCGATGGGGTCCATGATCTTCACGGGCTTGGTGGCGGCGCTGGGCCTGCCGATGCCCGCCTTGTTCTCGGCGCGGACCCTGAAGATGTACTCCTTGTTCTCCACGACGTCGTTCAGCGCGGCTGAGCGGTCCGCCGCGGCGCACACCATGGCCGCCTCCCACTTCACCGAGGTGCGGTCGCGCAGCTCGATCACGTAGTTGGTGATCTCCGAGCCGCCGTCCTTCAGCGGGGGCTCCCAGGACAGAGTGGCACCGTAACGGTTCACCACGCCCACCGCCACGTTCTGCGGGGCGTCGGGAACGTCTGGGAGAAGGAAGGAACAAACAGGAAGTCATTATGGTGCACACACAGGTGTTATTAATTACTTCTGAATGTGAGAGAGACTTGAGAAAAGAATTTTAGAGGAGATCTAAATATAAGAGAGGCAGAAGGGGGGGCTGTTTCTTACCGAACTTGTTCTTGGCCTGCACGGCCTCCTCGGTGGCGGAGAGCGGTCCGCTGCCGACACGGTTCTTGGCGCAGACCCTGAACAGATACTTGCTGTCTCGCTGCAGGCCGCTCACGCAGTACTCGGGCGCGTCAGCGCGGTCCGTCGACAGAGTCCACGTCTTACGCTTTATGTCGCGCCTCTCCACAACGTACGACAAGATCTTGCTGCCGCCGTCGCTCTCTGGCTCCTCCCACGCTAAACTTACCTCTCCATCAGACGTGTCCACGACCCGAAGGTTCTTCACCTGCCCGGGGACGTCTGGGGGGAAACACATCTCATCAGGCTCTCAACACTTGTTATTATAATACGATAATATGATACGATAATACTTTAAAGGTCAGATCAAGTCTGAGATGCTCCTTGCATCCCAGCGGCTCCATGTGGAACATCACAGAGAGCCTTCAGCGTGATCTGATCTGTAGCTCTGTGTTCACTGAGAGGACTGGAGCACAGAGGATGCTTCAGGCTGACTGGAGCACAGAGGATGCTTCAGGCTGACTGGAGCACAGAGGATGCTTCAGGCTGACTGGAGCACAGAGGATGCTTCAGGCTGACTGGAGCACAGAGGATGCTTCAGACTGACTGGAGCACAGAGGATGCTTCAGGCTGACTGGAGCACAGAGGATGCTTCAGACTGACTGGAGCACAGAGGATGCTTCAGGCTGACTGGAGCACAGAGGATGCTTCAGGCTGACTGGAGCACAGAGGATGCTTCAGGCTGACTGGAGCACAGAGGATGCTTCAGGCTGACTGGAACACAGAGGATGCTTCAGGCTGACTGGAGCACAGAGGATGCTTCAGGCTGACTGGAGCACAGAGGATGCTTCAGACTGACTGGAGCACAGAGGATGCTTCAGACTGACTGGAGCTCAGAGGATGCTTCAGACTGACTGGAGCACAGAGGATGCTTCAGGCTGACTTTAGCAGTTCTCTGTCAGAGCATGCTTTGGGTGTGACGGATACTTAGTGCTCAGGTGACAGGAACAGGAAGTGGGACTCACCGATGACGTCCAGGTTGATGAAGGCCTCTCCCTCTCCATGCTTGTTGCGGATCAGGATCCGGTATCGGCCGCAGTCCTCCTTGCGGGGGCTCTTCATGCGGTACTCCGTCTTGTCGGCCGAGGTGTCGATGTTCTGCACCGGCAGGCTGGTTCCCTCGTGGAACCACTCGGCGTCGGCGCGAGGATACGCGTCGTATGGCACCGTCATCATGAAGGGCTTCCTGGCGTCCGTCAGCAGGTTCTGGTCCGTGGTTTTGATCTTAGGGATCGCTGTGAGACGGATCAGAGAGAGGACGGGAAAGGGTTAGTGAGGAACCTGGAGTATCTCTCTGGTTCCTGAAACAGCTGAAGAGGCAAAGCGTGTCATTTTAAGTGTGTTGTTTTCATAATAATAATAATAAATAACAATAATAAGTCAGGTGTTGCGTTCACTGACCTGCCAGCTCCAGCTTGGCGCGGGCGTCCTTGTCTTTGGCCACCAGGCGGTACTCGCCCTGGTCTCTGGGCCGGATCTCGCAGACCTGCAGCCGGTGGATCTTGCCCTCGCTGATCATCTGGTACTTGTCTCCCTGCACGATGATCATGTTGTTTCTCATCCACTTCACCTCCACGCGGTCCTTGTTCAGCTCCACCTCGAACACCACGTCGGAGCCGGGGGGCTGGAACGCGTCCTGGGGGGGTCTGATGATCTCCACCGGGGTCTCTGTGGGGGAGAAACAGGGTGAGGACTGGGGGAAAAGAGACTCTCAGAGACCAACAGATCCAGGTTTACTCAGGTCTTACCCTCCACAAAGAGCCGGGCCCGGGTCCTCCTCTCGTCCAATCCACAGGCGTACTCACACTCATCGTCCGGCCGGCACACCTTGATGACCAGCCGGCACGTCTTCCCCTCACGCTCCATGTGGTACCTGAACACACAGGAACATAAATCATACATTTTATTTATTTATTCCTCCCCACTCTGATACTCTACTATTCATGTATAGAGTAAATAAAAGAGGGCCCAGGATGGAACCCTGTGGTACCCCTTAAGGACTTGATGAAAGCCGTACCTGGGTCCTTCTCTGATCTCCCGTCCGTTCCTGTACCACTTGACGGCGGCCTTTTCCTTGCTCATCTTGCAGGTGAACTCTGCGTCCTCGAACTCGGTGACGGTGGTGTCTCGGAGCTGTGCGGTGAAGTCGGTGGGCGCCTCGCTGATGATCAGCTCGGCCGCACACTTGTCGTCTCCGACCACGGCGGTGTACTCGCCCTCGTCGTCCATCAGGCAGTCCTTGACGGTGAGCGTGTGCTTCAGGCCGTCGGCGCGGTACACGATGCGTTTGCTGAGCGTCACTTCCTGTCCCGCCTTCAGCCAGCGCACCGTGACCTCGGGCCGGTTCACCTTACAGGTGAAGCCGATCGTCTTCTTCTCCTGAGTCTCAACATCCTCGATGGGGTCCAGGAACCGCAGCTTCTCCTCTGCAGGGAGGGGGGTCACATGTTAATAAACTGCTGCATAATATCACTACTTCATAATATCACTACTACCATTTTTTTTATCTTTTTATTTTAAATATATTTCCTCAAAGCAGATTACTTGTATGTAAAAAACTTAAATGTCTAAATTATTATATATGAATACCCTTTTCGACTTTCACTGAGTTATATCTTTGTTAACCCTTTAAATGCCCGTGTTTTTAAGAACTGTTTTTAACCCAGAGCTGTAGATGATAGTTCAGGTGTAGTTCAGGTGTAGTTAGGGTGTAGTTCAGGTGTAGTTACGGTGTAGTTCAGGTGTAGTTAGGGTGTAGTTCAGGTGTAGTTAGGGTGTAGTTAGGGTGTAGTTCAGGTGTAGTTCAGGTGTAGTTCAGGTGTAGTTAGGGTGTAGTTAGGGTGTAGTTAGGGTGTAGTTCAGGTGTAGTTCAGGTGTAGTTCAGGTGTAGTTAGGGTGTAGTTAGGGTGTAGTTCAGGTGTAGTTAGGGTGTAGTTCAGGTGTAGTTCAGGTGTAGTTAGGGTGTAGTTCAGGTGTAGTTAGGGTGTAGTTAGGGTGTAGTTCAGGTGTAGTTCAGGTGTAGTTAGGGTGTAGTTAGGGTGTAGTTCAGGTGTAGTTAGGGTGTAGTTCAGGTGTAGTTCAGGTGTAGTTCAGGTGTAGTTAGGGTGTAGTTCAGGTGTAGTTAGGGTGTAGTTCATGTGTAGTTCAGGTGTAGTTCAGGTGTAGTTAGGGTGTAGTTAGGGTGTAGTTCAGGTGTAGTTAGGGTGTAGTTCAGGTGTAGTTCAGGTGTAGTTCAGGTGTAGTTAGGGTGTAGTTCAGGTGTAGTTCAGGTGTAGTTCAGGTGTAGTTCAGGTGTAGTTCATGTGTAGTTCAGGTGTAGTTCAGGTGTAGTTCAGGTGTAGTTCATGTGTAGTTCAGGTGTAGTTCAGGTGTAGTTCAGGTGTAGTTCAGGTGTAGTGCAGGTGTAGTTCAAGTGTAGTTCAGGCGTGTTTACCTGCCACGGCGGCGCGGGCGCTGCACTTGGCCTGTTCTGCTCTCTGATTGGTCAGGCTGATGGTGTATACCGCCTCGTCGTTCTTGCTGGCCTCGCGGATCCTCAGCGAGAACACGTTGTCTCTCTGAGCCATCATGTACTTGCTGCTCTCGAATATGGTCTCCTCGTTCTTCAGCCACTTGGCCTTCGCTCCCTCTGTGTTCGTCTCACAGTTGAACACGATCTCTCCTCCCTCCTTCACCTCCGTGTCCTTGATGGGCGTGACCACCCTCAGTTTCTCTGAAAGAGAGCGAGCATTAAACTCTGAACCCATGAAGGCAACACAGAGCCCTCTAATAAACAACAACACAGAGCAGTTTAATAAACAACAACACAGAGCAGTTTAATAAACAACAACACAGAGCAACAGGACGTGGTGCTCCTTAATAACAACAACGTGGTGCTCTTTGATAACAACAACGTGGTGCTCCTTAATAACAACAACGTGGTGCTCTTTGATAACAACAACGTGGTGCTCTTTGATAAACTCACCGATGACGGTCAGCTCTGCGGACGCCTTCACGCCCCCGATGTGGGCCACGTACCCTCCCTCGTCCTTCACCTCGCAGCTTTTCACAATAAGAGCGCGTCTCTTTCCCTCGCTCACAATGGAGAACTTCTCTCCTTCCTGCACCTCCTTCTCTCCTCTGAACCATTTCACCTCGTACGAGTCTTTAGAAACAGAGCAGCTGAACTCCGCCTTCTCTCCTTCAACCACCTCCTGGCTCTGAGGACGGGCGATGAACTCTGCTGCCAACTCTGAGAGGAGGAAGAAGAGGAGGAAGAGGAGGAGGATTATATACAGTGTTGTATAGTGTCTATAAGCAGGGGTGCACACAACTTTCTCAGTGAGGTACTCAGATGAGCACCTGGAGTCAGTGTTTGGTACTCCAACTTCTGGCTCCCCTCAAAGTTCCCATGAAGCCCTCTGTATCACGAATGTCAACGGGGGGGGCGGGGGGCGGGGTGGTAGTGGAGTACAGAGCTTCGTGACCACAGAGCGTGTGAACGTTGTGATCAGCTGTTTTAGCGCAGGGCTGCTGTACAGACCGACGTTAACAGCATGTCTGTGCACACGGAGACCGACTCTGTCGTCCGGTGATCTAACCGCCTTCTGGAAAAGCTTCACAAGTACATCGGTACGCAAATGCGCTTTGTGACACAAGTGACGGTACGCATTTCAGATTGTTGCCGCGCATGCGTACCTGCGTACCAGTTATGTGCACCCCTGTCTATAAGCTTGCAAAGCATCAGCAGCTTTATCAACCTTTACCTCCCAAAGAAACCGTTTTTTAAGCTTTGAAATGAACTGCTTAACCTGTTAAGCACCAAGCCTGTTTTTCATGTTTCAGGCTCGAAAATGACATGCCCAAAACAAATGACTACAACTTAACTTCTAAAAGGGTTATATGAATAATTTATTTTATCAAAGCAAGGTTACATCTGTGAGTTGGATGTAGAAGTGTCAGAATCAATATAGATGTTTTTTATTTTAAAGAAAATTCAGATTTTACATAGTAAAAAACTGTAAATTATAGTGTCCGTCCAAAAATTATTTTTTACTTATAGTGAAAACTACCCTTGGATGATGGGTTAGTAGACTAAAAGCTTTAGGAATCCAAAGTACAACATATAATAAGTACCCTGTATCAAGATTGATGCAAAACAAGTGACATTTGACCTTTTTAGAGAGATTTAGCCAAAACCACCCCACCTCTGAGGTGATTTGGGTGAAAATGTTTTTTTTTCCATATTTCTGGCCCCCCTTGCTCGATTTTGATGGTTGACACCTCTTTCTGACCGTTAGAGCCAATAGAATCGAAGGGGGAGTCCCCCACACACACACATTGTGAAGAGAAAAGGTGGGGGCTGTGCGCATGTAATTTAGCATCAGAGTGGACCTATCTCTAGCTTTGACATTGGGAAACGAAAAAGCAGTTTTATTGCTTATGGATTATCAGAAATCATTTCAGAGAGGACACAGACACATTGGATGAACCTATGGATTAACTGCAGCATCGTTTTTGTATCGTTTTAATGCCATTGAAGACCAGTTTTGACCAAGGTAAGCCATGTTAGCGTTTCTAGCTACCTAGCTCCACATGTTCTGATGTACGCTTTCATTTATAGCGTCGCAAATGTTTATCACTGAGTGTTGAGGTGGGCACCACTAGATTCAGTGTCTTCAGGAGATGCTAATCGAGGGGTTGGCTGTGCATCTAGGATAAGTAATAAGGGAGTTATGAGTGAGTTTAAGTGCCGTTTTAGGTTACATTATTTCGCTCGTGGCTAATTCAGAGGCTGAGTGTTAGCATTGTGGTTTTTTTTTGGAAAAAAAAATTAAAAAGATCAGTTAGCTGAGTTTCTTCCCGTTACATGGATATAAAACATTCATAGTTTATTAAATATTAAGATTCCTTAGACGTTGTTTCCTGCAAATGACGCGTTTATCCGCCCGGTACCGTGGGGGCGGTGCGTAACAGGTTAAGTGTCAATGCTGCAAAGTCATCCCTCCACTCTTTGATTCTATCACACATTGAATACTGTTTGACAAACTGGTCGTTTGCTTGTGCCACAAACCTGAAACCCATAGAACAGCTGAGAGAGAGAGCTATCAAGGTGTTTGACAGAAAGCCTTATTCATACCACCACTGTGCCATCCTTGAGATACACAACTTCTTCAGTTTTGACCATTTTAAGTCTTTTAAAAGTATGTGTTTTATTTATAAATGTTTACATGGACTTCCCCCCCCCCCCTCCCTTAGGGGAATTCATCCACAAAAAACACACTGGACGCTGCACTAGGTCAGAAACCAGAGGAGACTGTGAATGTCATGTTCTTATATGTTGTATGTCAGGGACTGCGGATGGAAATGAGCTCAAAGCTAAAATCCGGCATGTTTACACTTGAAGCATTATTTGTCCAAAGTGTTCATGAATGTGCATTGTCCCTACTCACAGAAATGATTAAATACAAATAAAAAGATATTTATATATACCGCTGAGTGACAGCTTGGCGGAGGTGGTGACGGTGGCGCTCAGCCTGCAGCTGTACTCCCCGCCGTCCTCCATCCTCAAGTCCTGGATGATGAGGATCCTCTTCTTCCCGTCACTGATGTGCTCGTAGCGGCCGCCCTCTGGCAGCTCCTCGTCTCCTCTGAACCAGCGCACCTCGGCCGAGGGTTTGGACACCTCGCAGATCAGCTTCACGCTGTCCGTCTCCGTGCCCTCCACGTTGGACAGGTTCTTCGTGAAGCGCGCCGCCTCCTCTGTGGACACCAGACGGAAGGGGTTAATTATTGTATATTTACATCTTATAGTCTGTGAATGTGTCCAGCTGCTTTCTGTGTCTGCTTCTGTTACTGCAGGGAGAGACGCCAAGTCAATGTGTTCATACCAACGTATGAGGACAGTAGCTCACTGACTGGGAGCATCTTGATATGTTTATATGTATACAGGTATATTTGTATAAATGTGTATAAATACCGATGACGGTGAGCATGCCGCAGCTCTTGGCCGTGCGGGCGTCACACTCGTACTCCGCCTCGTCGTCGAAGGCTGATTTGTGAACGATGAGGATCCGACTCACTCCTTTAGACACGATCTCGTACTTCTTCCCCTTCCTGATCTCACTGCCGTCCTTAAACCAGCGCACCTGCAGCACGAACACATCATCAGCATATTATACATAATATACACATTCATATGTAGAGTGGTTGTTAAGAGGTTCTCACCTTGGCAGACTCGCGGGACACTTCGCACTCGAACCTGGCCGACTCCTTCTCCTTCACCTCCACGTCCTGCAGGGGCTTCACGAACTCCACGTGAGGAGCTGAGGGAGAGACCTCGTTAACCCATTACCTCCAACACATCATTCATGTCCTGTGTTGTTCTAGCAGACACTGACCCATTACCTCTAACACATCATTCATGTCCTGTATCGTTCTAGCAGACACTAACCCATTACCTCTAACACATCATTCATGTCCTGTTCTAGCAGACACTGACCCATTACCTCTAACACATCATTCATGTCCTGTATCGTTCTAGCAGACACTGAAGTATGGAAGCCTACAAGGGACTAACCATTTAAAGGTTTGGGTGTCCAACAATTACAGGAACATAAAACAACTGAGGAGTTCGCCTGACGCCGACCTCCAGGAGGTTTGGGTATTTCACTTTATAAAGTCATAAATAAAGGGATTACTATATATATCACTTTTTAAAGTGAACCTCACTTTAAAAAGTGCTATATAAGGAAGCAGGAGGTCCTGATATATAACTTTAAAAAGTAATGAATAAAGTAATATATGTATATTATGTGGTCCTTACGCATGACCTCCAGGAAGCAGGAGGTCTTGAAGTCCCCGGCGTCGCAGGTGTACATCTTGGCGTCGTCGGGGGTGCAATCGAGGACGACGAGCGCCCTCTTCCGTCCCTCGCTGATGACATCATACTTCTTGGTCTTCCTCACTTCCTGTCCCTCTCTGAACCAGCGCACCTCGGCGTCTTCCCGAGAAACTTCACACTCCAGCCGGGCCGCCGCCTCCTCCTCCACCGATTGGTCCTCCAGCGGCCGAGAGAACTCCACCGCCGGCTCTGCACACACACACAGGTTAATATCACACACACACAGGTTAATATCACACACACACACACTCTGCGCCGCGGTGCGTTCAGGGACTCACGTCTGACGATGAGCTGCGCTGCCGTCTGGAAGTCTTTGGAGGTCATCTTCACCTCGCCGGCCTCCGACTGCGTCACGTCTCTGAGCGTCAGCGTGTGGACTTTACCTGCTACACGCGTCTTCACCTGCACACACACACACACACACACACACACACACACACACACACACACACACACACACACACACACACACACACACACACACACACACACACACACACACACACACACACACACACACACACACACTCACACACACACACACACACACACACACACACACACACACACACACACACACACACACACACGCACGTTGTTAAAAACATGAATCTGTGTATTCTTTAAATTCAGATAAAACATATTACTACGTTAGTCTTACTGTTTGTTTATTTGTTATTTATTGTTAACGTTTGATTTGATGCCTTCACTACTGCAGGTTGATGCTAACATGCTAATGCTAATGGTGCCTGGCTCTGCATATCAGGAGGTGACAGTTGGGGTGTGTGTGTGTGTGTGTGTGTGTGTGTGTGTGTGTGTGTGTGTGTGTGTGTGTGTGTGTGTGTGTGTGTGTGTGTGTGTGTGTGTGTGTGTGTGTGTGTGTGTGTGTGTGTGTGTGTGTGTGTGTGTGTGTGTGTGTTACAGATAATGTTATCTGGTATTATTTTTAGCTGCAGCGACACTAGAGCCTCCACAGACTGAGAATCACTTCACAAGAAAATCTGAAAAAACCTTCAAAAATGAATTTAATTCATTCAAAAAAACAATAAAATAAAACCTGAAATACATTTGTAAATGTTTTAGAGATATGTATCTTTTTTTGATTTGTTGTTTTGATTAAATAAGCTTTAAAAATGTTAAATTGTATGAAAATAATTTAACATTTAGTTTGTTGATGTAATATGAATGTGCAATTAATTTAAATCGAATGTTCTGTCTTTAGTTTTTCAGAGTTTATGAATGGAAACAGAATTCTATGACTGAATCTGTTCAAATAAAACACACCCCCACCCCCACAGAGTGTACCCTCACCCTCTCGCTGGCCTCCATCTTCTTCCCGCCCAGGAACCAGTCCACGGCGATGCCCTCGTACGACAGCTCGCTCTCGAAGGTGGCCGTCTCGCCCGCCGTCACCGTGACGTCCTTCAGGGGCCGCAGCAGCCCGATGGAGCGCGCTGAGGAGCAGGAGGACATGTTGAGGACCAGCATGCATCTGGGAGAGGCTCCTCTGAGAGAGGGTCCTCACTCCTGATAAGGGCTAAAATAAACTCAGCAGCTGATTGGCCGATCAGCTGTCCCACTAACGCAACACAGAAACCCTGCTGTGAGAGGTGAGGGCGAACCAGAGTCCCCTCGGAGGGTTAACTATGTATACCTTGAAATACCTTTAATAAAGTACGGCTTAACATCGTTGCTCTGAGTTGGAAAGCTGCTATATATAAAAACATCATGCTCTACTTCTCAGCAGTCATTTAGCATTTATATCTTTCATCAGTCAGTGATTGAACCGAGTTTTACATCTGATTAAAGACTGATAATAACAGCGCTCTGACCTTTGACCCTCAGCTGGGCGTTGGACTTGGCGTTGGCAGCGGAGAAGTCGACTCCTCCGGCCATATCCATCTTCACGTTGTACAGGATCAGCACATGCTTCGTTCCTTCCTCCTTCATCTCCACATCCTGCAGGGACACAAGGAAGAACATTTCAAATACAGAGAGACAAAAGACCAAGTTTGAATGTAGTAGTTTGTATATGTATAGTGGTAGTTTGTATATGTATAGTGGTAGTTTGCATATGTATAGTAGTAGTTTGTATATGTATAGTGGTAGTTTGTATATGTATAGTGGTAGTTTGTATACGTATAGTGGTAGTTTGTATATGTATAGTGGTAGTTTGTATATGTATAGTAGTAGTTTGTACATGTATAGTGGTAGTTTGTACATGTATAGTGGTAGTTTGTATATGTATAGTGGTAGTTTGCATATGTATAGTAGTAGTTTGTACATGTATAGTGGTAGTTTGTATATGTATAGTGGTAGTTTGTATATGTATAGTGGTAGTTTGCATATGTATAGTAGTAGTTTGTATATGTATAGTGGTAGTTTGTATATGTATAGTGGTAGTTTGTATATGTATAGTGGTAGTTTGTACATGTATAGTGGTAGTTTGTACATGTATAGTGGTAGTTTGTACATGTATAGTAGTAGTTTGTATATGTATAGTGGTAGTTTGTATATGTATAGTGGTAGTTTGTATATGTATAGTAGTAGTTTGTATATGTATAGTGGTAGTTTGTATATGTATAGTGGTAGTTTGTATATGTATAGTGGTAGTTTGTATATGTATAGTGGTAGTTTGCATATGTATAGTAGTAGTTTGTATATGTATAGTAGTAGTTTGTATATGTATAGTAGTAGTTTGTATATGTATAGTAGTAGTTTGTACATGTATAGTGGTAGTTTGTATATGTATAGTGGTAGTTTGTATATGTATAGTGGTAGTTTGCATATGTACAGTAGTAGTTTGTATATGTATAGTGGTAGTTTGTATATGTATAGTAGTAGTTTGTATATGTATAGTGGTAGTTTGTACATGTATAGTGGTAGTTTGTACATGTATAGTGGTAGTTTGTACATGTATAGTAGTAGTTTGTATATGTATAGTGGTAGTTTGTATATGTATAGTGGTAGTTTGTATATGTATAGTGGTAGTTTGTATATGTATAGTGGTAGTTTGTATATGTATAGTGGTAGTTTGTATATGTATAGTGGTAGTTTGTATATGTATAGTGGTAGTTTGCATATGTATAGTGGTAGTTTGTATATGTATAGTGGTAGTTTGTATATGTATAGTGGTAGTTTGTCTATGTATAGTGGTAGTTTGTATATGTATAGTGGTAGTTTGTATATGTATAGTGGTAGTTTGTATATGTATAGTAGTAGTTTGTATATGTATAGTAGTAGTTTGTACATGTATAGTGGTAGTTTGTACATGTATAGTAGTAGTTTGTATATGTATAGTGGTAGTTTGTATATGTATAGTGGTAGTTTGTATATGTAGAGTGGTAGTTTGTATATGTATAGTAGTAGTTTGTATATGTATAGTAGTAGTTTGTACATGTATAGTGGTAGTTTGTACATGTATAGTAGTAGTTTGTATATGTATAGTGGTAGTTTGTATATGTATAGTGGTAGTTTGCATATGTATAGTAGTAGTTTGCATATGTATAGTGGTAGTTTGTATATGTATAGTAGTAGTTTGTATATGTATAGTGGTAGTTTGTACATGTATAGTGGTAGTTTGTACATGTATAGTGGTAGTTTGTACATGTATAGTAGTAGTTTGTATATGTATAGTGGTAGTTTGTATATGTATAGTGGTAGTTTGTATATGTATAGTAGTAGTTTGTATATGTATAGTAGTAGTTTGTATATGTATAGTAGTAGTTTGTATATGTATAGTGGTAGTTTGTATATGTATAGTGGTAGTTTGTATATGTATAGTGGTAGTTTGTATATGTATAGTGGTAGTTTGCATATGTATAGTAGTAGTTTGTATATGTATAGTGGTAGTTTGTATATGTATAGTGGTAGTTTGTCTATGTATAGTGGTAGTTTGTATATGTATAGTGGTAGTTTGTATATGTATAGTGGTAGTTTGTATATGTATAGTAGTAGTTTGTATATGTATAGTAGTAGTTTGTACATGTATAGTGGTAGTTTGTACATGTATAGTAGTAGTTTGTATATGTATAGTGGTAGTTTGTATATGTATAGTGGTAGTTTGTATATGTAGAGTGGTAGTTTGTATATGTATAGTAGTAGTTTGTATATGTATAGTAGTAGTTTGTATATGTATAGTGGTAGTTTGTACATGTATAGTGGTAGTTTGTATATGTATAGTAGTAGTTTGTATATGTATAGTAGTAGTTTGTATATGTATAGTGGTAGTTTGTATATGTATAGTGGTAGTTTGTATATGTATAGTGGTAGTATGTGTACTCACAGCGCTCTGGTGCAGAGCCTCTCCCTTCAGTTTCCAGTTCCCGTGGACGTCCTCTTCTGAAATTTCCGTCTCAAACTTGGCTGTTTCCGTCTCTGTGACCTCGACGCTGTACAGCGGCCGGGTCACCTTAATGTCTCGCGCTGCAGGGGGGGGGACATTAGACATCAGAAACAACAGAGACAACAAAGAGACCAAACTGTCTCATTAATCTGACATATCTGTCCGGTAATACTACATCTAAATCTCCGGCGTCCCTCAAGGCTCTGTGTTTGGTCCTCTTTACAGTAATTGAACAGATGCTTTTGTTTATATTTATTTTATATATCTGCATTTAGAATTATTTATGTGAACCAAATCTAGAAATCCAAACGTATAACTCTATGCTGGGCAGAAAGTGGAAGTGAATTAGAGCAGGGGTTCCCAAAGTGGGGGTGATTCAAAATAAAAAAAATTAAATAATTTAAAAGAAAGATTATTTTTTATTATTATTATTATCCAGTGTTTCCCATAATTTAATTCTACTTGTAGGGGCACCGCACCCCCCCCCCCCCTCCATGCAAATGAGCCATCATCTCATTAAATATGCGCATATTTTAATACTTTCAGGAACACAATTCTGAACATTGGATAAAGTCAGGTTCAAAATTCTTGTTTAATTTTGTAGTCATATTAGAATCTAAAGTTTTTATAGAAGGGAAAATATCAATTTTCACCATGTTTTTAGGTATACAATGTTATATAATTCAGGCTATGAATGATATATAAACAAACCTTTATGTAAAAACCTTCAGAATATTGATAGGAATATAACTGGAAGGTTTGTAAGTGCTACTGAAGTGGAAATTTCTCACTCGGAATAGGAGAAAAAACTCATTTTGAGAAAACGACCTTTAAAGATTGCTGTGAGGCGCTACCTAAACCCTCCTGTTCTCTGGATGACAGCTTGCGCCTCAACGCACTCCGTGAAGGTATTTCGTGTTCGGGATCATTTGTTTTTTGTCTAACCTTGCTTCGTGCAAGTGACAATTGTTGTCGTCTTCTCTGTGAACATTGTTTTCACTGTTCTTTTGCCATTTTGAGATTTAAATTTCCAGCGGAAAGCTGAACCAGGAAGTGTTTTAGCACACCACGTGACGCATCTGAACGAATCACGTTGTCAGAAATTGACACCAGCCAATGAGATTTCGTTTCTTGGTTTAAGACCCCTTTGTACTTTCACGATTGGTTGCTGATACAAAGGAAATGACCATATTTGGATCCGATGAGATTGTGCAGGAGAGACGGAGCTTTCCAACGATACCTGTGATGACATGGTCCAAACAGCGGTCGCGGTACTTTATGTTAAGTTAGAAAGCTAACTTTTGGTGAATTAGAGAAACCTATAGACGCAAATAGACAACCTTTAGTCAAATAAACACCTAAATGTGTATTTTGTAAGTTTTCCTTCCAAAAGCCTGAAAGAAAACATGTTATGAAATCAAAATAGCACAACATCTCAAAATTGACCAGTGCATGAAAAACGATGTGTGTGCCTGCCGTGTCTCGCCTTAAGCCCAAGATCCCGTGTCTCGCCTTCAAGAGTGAGACACACCGGAGTTGAGGATCTGTGGGGTTTGTATGTCGATGTATGGGAAACACTGTTATTTGTATTACTATTATTAATAATAACGTGTGCATAGACATTTTTCAGGGGCGGACTGGCCATCTGTAGAATGTCTTCCCCCCGTTGACAATTCACTAACAACCCCCCCCCCCCCCCCGTTGACAATTCACGTGGCGACCCCCAGTCTCTGACACAGTTATTTTGGGGGTCGCAGGCTGTAAAGTTTGGGAACCCCTGAATTAGAGGGCGTGAAAAAACGTAACATTCCTTTAGCCCAGTGTTTCTCAAAGTGGGGGGCGCAGAGGCATGACCAGGAGGAAAAATGGTTATTAAAAAAATAAATGATTGATTACAATTACGTCTGGGTCTCTGTGTTTCATTCAAGCTCGGCTCTGTGTGTGTGTGGAACGAACCATTTTGTGTGCGTGCGCGAGCGAGAGAGAGAGAGAGAGAGAGAGAGAGAGAGAGAGAGAGAGAGAGAGAGAGAGAGAGAGAGAGAGAGCGCACCGGTACCGGAGATCGTTGTTGTTAGCTTCTGGTGCTAGCGAGCTACGCTAACAGATATAAGGAGCTTTTTCAACAACAAGGTGGAGGAGAGTCCTCTCCTCTCAGACTGAGAGTCCTCTCCTGTCAGACTGAGAGTCCTCTCCTGTCAGACTGAGAGACTCAGTGAGCTGAAGGACTCTCCTGTCAGACTGAGAGACTCAGTGAGCTGAAGGACTCTCCTCTCAGACTGAGAGACTCAGTGAGCTGAAGGACTCTCCTGTCCGACTGAGAGGCTCAGTGAGCTAAAGGACTCTCCTGTCAGACTGAGAGGCTCAGTGAGCTGAAGGACTCTCCTGTCAGACTGAGAGGCTCAGTGAGCTAAAGGACTCTCCTGTCCGACTGAGAGGCTCAGTGAGCTAAAGGACTCTCCTGTCAGACTGAGAGACTCAGTGAGCTGAAGGACTCTCCTGTCAGACTGAGAGGCTCAGTGAGCTAAAGGACTCTCCTGTCAGACTGAGAGACTCAGTGAGCTGAAGGACTCTCCTGTCAGACTGAGAGGCTCAGTGAGCTAAAGGACTCTCCTGTCAGACTGAGAGACTCAGTGAGCTAAAGGACTCTCCTGTCAGACTGAGAGACTCAGTGAGCTGAAGGACTCTCCTCTCAGACTGAGAGGCTCAGTGAGCTGAAGGACTCTCCTGTCAGACTGAGAGACTCAGTGAGCTGAAGGACTCTCCTGTCAGACTGAGAGACTCAGTGAGCTAAAGGACTCTCCTGTCAGACTGAGAGACTCAGTGAGCTGAAGGACTCTCCTCTCAGACTGAGAGACTCAGTGAGCTAAAGGACTCTCCTGTCAGACTGAGAGGCTCAGTGAGCTAAAGGACTCTCCTGTCAGACTGAGAGACTCAGTGAGCTAAAGGACTCTCCTGTCAGACTGAGAGGCTCAGTGAGCTAAAGGACTCTCCTGTCAGACTGAGAGGCTCAGTGAGCTAAAGGACTCTCCTCTCAGACTGAGAGGCTCAGTGAGCTAAAGGACTCTCCTGTCAGACTGAGAGACTCAGTGAGCTAAAGGACTCTCCTCTCAGACTGAGAGGCTCAGTGAGCTGAAGGACTCTCTGAGTGTTTAGATAGTTCACTTTAGTCTAAGTTATCTCAGTGGGTCTCAAACGGTTTGGTCACTATTAATGTAAACAATTATTTCCGAGGCACACATTTATATGATCATTATAGTTATAAAAGAATAAGAGAATTAATGAAAAACAGGTATGAAATACTGCATGACAGTAAAAAAAGAATAAAGTTTAAAAGGGGAGATATTTGTAAAATATCCATAAAGAAAAAGTAAATCTGTTTCCAGTTGTGTTTGATATGGGTGCTGAGAGAGGTATCCATAGATCTCTCCATGTTGCTCTCAAAGTGCACCAGATTGATGCTTTTAACTTCAATATTTAAAAATAAAATTCTTCCCTGGGGAGCTTGCCCCCGGACCCCCCTATGTGAGGTCCACACACCAGCTATAAAAATAGCACTTTCCCCCTGCTTACACCTATATGCCGTGAGCTGATTATCGAGCCTTCATTGTAACAGTCGAGGGTACACTGTGTGTTTGCGTGGGGATTGTTGCAGTAGAAAGTTCCTCTGTAGCGCCCGGTACCTTAATGGGAAACCCTAAATGTTTGAGCACCCTCTATGAAACGTCAAGCTACCCCACAGCACCCCCAAAATAAATCTCTGCCGCCGCCACTGAGCCTGCGACCCCGTTCTGAAGACATGTGCAGAGCAGGCTCATTGCAGACACTAATGCTAAGACACACTTTGAGCCAAATATCAGCATTTTCTTTCTTTTCATTTTTCAAGTGGCAAAGTATTATAACTTATTGTTCTAGCAAAGGGATTTTCACTTTCTCACATGCTCACGTTCATATTGATGTATTTTAATAAATGTTAACTTGGCCCATTACGTGACTATTTCTGTTGGGGGGGCCTGACAGAAAAAGTTTGAGAACCACAGCTTTAGCCTCAAAGATGATCAAGTTTCAGGAATTCTGGGAAATGTTGGGATATCTCAAAGACAGCCAGGAATCTTGCTCTGACTTTTGATGGTTAGATCTAACAGTCAACCTTGCTAAATGTTATTTAGTTGTTAACCCTTTATTTGACTTGGCTGATTTAGTTGTATCCCTTCTATATCACTTTGTATTACTACAGACAGAAACAAGAAACAGACAGAACCGTAAATGTAAATAAAGGTTATCCTTGATAAAGCAATGAAAGCATGAATAATAAAGTCTGTAGTCTCTAATGTGATGATTGAATAGACCCTAAAGTCTACAGCTGGTTCTTCCACTCAAACACTGGTGGAAGTGATGCTCTACCCTGATGGTACTCCGCTTCATACACCAGATGCTAACACCAGATGCTAACACCAGATGCTAACACCAGATGCTAACACCAGATGCTAACACCAGATGCTAACCCAAGTATCTAGACTTCTGTCAAAGTCCTGACTCACCTTCAATATTGAGGTTAGCAGCTGTCTTGTCCGATCCGCAGTCGCAGGAGTACTCTCCGATGTTGGCCTTCTCTGCCTTCCTCACCATCAGGATGCGCTTCTTCCCGTCTGTACTGACCGCGATGTTCTTGGAGGGCGTGATCTCCTTCCCGTCTTTGAACCACTTCACGTCAGCGATGGTTTTGCTCAGCTCGCAAACCAGCTTCACCTCGTCCTTCTCCACCGCCGTGTAGTTCTGCAGCTTCGTGGTGAAGTACAGGTCGCCCTCTGCACAGAAACACAACACCTCAAAGTTAGAAACACAGTCTGTTTTCCTGAGCAACTGAAAGGACTGGGGTTCAGATACTTTATTGATCCCAAATTGGGATCAATAAAGTACTATCTTATCTTATCTTAAAGCATCAGGACAAATGTGTAGGGAACCAATTTTATTTCAATCTGGGGCTTCTCTGCACTAAAGGGACTTTTCTATTTGTAGATTTCTGACACTCTGTCTGTTAGTAATGGCTTTAAACGTTTATTTTGTACCACCCAAACTCTCTTTATTAAAAGCGTCTGAACCTTCCCTCTCTCTAACCCCAGAAACTCCCAACAGGTCAGACACTGACCGATGACGGTGAGCATGGCGGTCACGCTCTTGTCCATGGCCTCCACTTTGATCATGGAGGTGTCGTCGATGGTGACCTCCTTGAAGGCCAGCGTGTGGACCTTCCCGTGGTCCGCCATGTGCACCACCTTGCTGGGGTGCAGCCGGACGTCGTTCTTGTACCAGACCACCGGCACCTTGTCGTGAGAAAGCTCCACGCTGAACTCTGCCGTCTCACGCTCCTTCACCGTCACATCCTTGATCGGCTTAGCAAATTCCAGCCGGATACCTGCGGCAGGAAACACAGGTCAGACATCGGGAATAAGAACTTGTTAGGGTTAGGGTTTGAAATGCAAAAATCCCCAACACATTATTGGTTGTGGTTTCTGTTTTCGATGCAGCCTGAACCACAACAGACCTGTGTCTGTAAGTTGATAAATGATATAAATACTAAATGACAGAACTGATATGTATTTCAGGAGCCAAATATCATTCATTTGGTTCAAAGAAAACGAAATCAGGGTGAAAAAGATGGAAAACAAGATGTCAAACTTAAAACATTTAAATAAAACCCAAAACTTAGGGTCAGTCTCACTAAGTCACATAGGAAGCCATGAGTTGGTGTTGAATAACTAAAGAAAAGAAGAAACAATAAGGAAACAAACGATGTCTGTATGACAAAGGCTTAGAGTAAACTCAGTCCATCTCCTCACAGAGTCTGAACCCAACGACCTGAATGTGTTTCTAGCTAGATTAGTCTAACTAGGGGGATTAGTCTAACTAGGGGGATTAGTCTAACTACGGGGATTAGTCTAACTAGGGGGATTAGTCTAACTAGGGGGATTAGTCTAACTAGGTAGATTAGTCTAACTAGGGGGATTAGTCTAACTAGGGGGATTAGTCTAACTAGGGGGATTAGTCTAACTAGGGGGATTAGTCTAACTAGGTAGATTAGTCTAACTAGGTAGATTAGTCTAACTAGGGGGATTAGTCTAACTAGGGGGATTAGTCTAACTAGGTAGATTAGTCTAACTAGGTAGATTAGTCTAACTAGGGGGATTAGTCTAACTAGGTAGATTAGTCTAACTAGGGGGATTAGTCTAACTAGGGGGATTAGTCTAACTAGGTAGATTAGTCTAACTAGGGGGATTAGTCTAACTAGGGGGATTAGTCTAACTAGGTAGATTAGTCTAACTAGGTACATTAGTCTAACTAGGTAGATTAGTCTAACTAGGGGGATTAGTCTAACTAGGTAGATTAGTCTAACTAGGGGGATTAGTCTAACTAGGTACATTAGTCTAACTAGGTACATTAGTCTAACTAGGTACATTAGTCTAACTAGGTACATTAGTCTAACTAGGGGGATTAGTCTAACTAGGGGGATTAGTCTAACTAGGGGGATTAGTCTAACTAGGTACATTAGTCTAACTAGGGCGATTAGTCTAACTAGGGGGATTAGTCTAACTAGGGGGATTAGTCTAACTAGGGGGATTAGTCTAACTAGGTACATTAGTCTAACTAGGGGGATTAGTCTAACTAGGGGGATTAGTCTAACTAGGTACATTAGTCTAACTAGGTACATTAGTCTAACTAGGGGGATTAGTCTAACTAGGGGGATTAGTCTAACTAGGGGGATTAGTCTAACTAGGGGGATTAGTCTAACTAGGTACATTAGTCTAACTAGGGGGATTAGTCTAACTAGGGGGATTAGTCTAACTAGGTACATTAGTCTAACTAGGTACATTAGTCTAACTAGGGGGATTAGTCTAACTAGGGGGATTAGTCTAACTAGGGGGATTAGTCTAACTAGGGGGATTAGTCTAACTAGGTACATTAGTCTAACTAGGGGGATTAGTCTAACTAGGGGGATTAGTCTAACTAGGGGGATTAGTCTAACTAGGGGGATTAGTCTAACTAGGTACATTAGTCTAACTAGGGGGATTAGTCTAACTAGGGGGATTAGTCTAACTAGGGGGATTAGTCTAACTAGGTACATTAGTCTAACTAGGGGGATTAGTCTAACTAGGGGGATTAGTCTAACTAGGGGGATTAGTCTAACTAGGTACATTAGTCTAACTAGGGGGATTATTCTAACTAGGTAGATTAATCTAGTCTCGTACCCTGGATGACCAGCTTGCCGCTCGTCCTCTTGTCCTCGGCCTCGAACATGTACTTGGCTTCGTCCTCGTAGGCGACGGAGCGGATCTGCAGGACGTACATGTTTCCTTCCTGGATCATCTCATACTTTTCGTCTTTCTGCAGCTCCTGCGTTCCCTTCAGCCAGCGGAAGCTCTTCGGCGCTCTCGACAGCTCCAACTCGAACCTCGCCTCGTCCTTCTCGTAAACGTTCACGTCGCTCAGCGGCGTCAGGAAGTTCATCGGCAGCTCTGATGAAGCAGAGGAAGTTTAGACACCGAACCACAGCACTACTTTCTGTCTCTAAGCACTACTTCCTGTATCTAAGCACTACTTCCTGTCTCTAAGCACTACTTCCTGTATCTAAGCACTACTTCCTGTCTCTGTGTATATAGTAGGGATGGGAATTTGAAAGCAAATGTATATTTGAATATTCGACCCCCCAAAAAACGGTTAAACGGTTAACCGGTTAACCGAAATGTACATATCCTATAAAAAAAGAAATTGGGTAAAAAAAAAAATTCTAACATTTTCTTTCGAAAAAATGTTTTCAATAACTTTTGGAAATAAATAAATACATGTTCAAATAAGTATAGAAACCAAGTCGAATTTGTCAAATGTATTGAACTGGTGATCACAGTTTGACAGCTATAGGCCTACAGCTTTCATGTGCGGAGGCGATTCACAATCAGGCCAGCTGTAGAGAAGACCCTCTCAGCTGGATCGGAGGTTGTGGGTATAGCAAGGTATAGTATGTATATATATAAGTTTAATTTGGCATAGTTTGCACTCTACACCGCACTCACTAACCTGGTGGAAATCTTTCCACACATTACTCCTTCTTGACGCCATGTCTGTTGTGTAGGACTCTTCTTAGAGTGTAAATAATGACCGGACTATGACTGGTTAAATATGTTGAATACCGGCAAAACTAAATCTCTCCTGTCAAAATGTCTATGTACTTTGCCGCCACACACGGTTGCCAAGCAACGCTTATTGTTGTTTAGGCTGGCCACTCATGTGTCGAGTGTTGACAGGGGGCGGGGGAGCACGCTCATGAACTGTTAGCGCCGGAACCTCGCAACGGCTGCGGAGCGCATTTGCACCGCATTTGGGCATAAGATGAGGTTTGAGTCTGCGTGATTTGCGTGTAGGCAGGGGCAGCAGCCATATCATTAGCTAGAACTAGATCTGATGGATTTGGACATAAACGCGAGTGAAGTACCGGATGAGAGAGAGAGAGAGAGAGATCAGCACCTGCAGCTCTGCCCGCTGTGAGGGACCGGTGAGCGGAGCAAAACACACCTTTAGACGTCACCTAACACATTTAGCTATGGCACTGTCGTATACATTGAATTATTCAATTTGATAATATGTAATCAACTTAGGCATCCCTCCCAAAAATATATATATATATATATATATTCATAACTCATATTCAAATACCTGAATAATTTTGAATATTCTAATATTCGATTAATCGTTCCCATCCCTAGTGTATAGGTACACAATAACCCAGATCCAACTCAAGCATTTCCCAAAAACCCAAATTCTCTTAATAAAGTGGTAAATTCATTTAAAGAGAACTATAAATCAAAGTTTATTTATATAGCCCAATATCACAAATGTACATGTCTTCTTGTCCATTCAGGATTGAGTAACCCCAGAGAATATTAAATGTTGTCTCGTTAACGGTTTATCGTCTCAGAGAATCGTCTCCTACGTTTGTGATTTTGTCAGAAATGTCAGAAGAGCGTTGTTTGAACTCTAACCCTCGGCATTAACTAGATTCTGATTACTGCATATATTAGTCATTTAAACATTGCTTCCTGGTTAGACTCCTGGTACAGGAGGTGTATCGTCTGTGGCTCACCTTTGACCTTCAGGTTGGCGGCACACTTGGCGTTGGCGGCGGCGTACGCCACCTCGCCCGTCATGGTCACCTTGCAGTTGTAGAGGATGAGAGTGTGTTTTCCTCCCTCCTCGATGATGTCCACATCCTGTCACACACACACTAGTTAGTCTCTGACATGGATGTATAATAAGAACTGGATACAGCGTCGTTCATTCCTTTGAGAGCTGCCCATTGGCTCATGAGGACAAAATGGCCTGAGATTCTCGAGTGCAAAACGTCACAGATTACCCATCATGCCTTGCTGTCAGAGCAGAAGTACCCGTTGAGTTTCCCATTAAGCCCCGCCTCCTGTCATTAAGCCCCGCCCCGATCTCCTGCTCTCCGCTCAGTAGATTGAATGGAGAGAGAAATTAAATCTGGATTTGGCTTTTAGTGCATTTTACAACTTTAAGGACCTAATGATTCTAATAAGGGCTATCACAGAGTGCATTCTGGGTAGTTTATTTAGTTAAAAAAAAAATATCCGCTGAATTGCAGACGTCTCTTTCCCCATGTTAGTCAATGGGAGAAAGTCTTTCTGGGCCCATTGACGTCACGGACTGATACGGAAGTTGTAGTACCGCCGTTTGGCCACTAGGAATATTTCCCTCAGAGTCCGGAGCACTTCCTGGGGGCTTGCTCTCTGACAGCAGGGTATCAACATGTATTCATGAGGACAGGAAGTCTTACGGAGGACGGGGTGAGGACGTCTCCGTTCAGCTTCCACTGGCCACGGACGTCGTCCTCAGAGATTTCCACCTCGAAGCGCGCCGTCTCGCCGTCGAACAGCTCCACTCCGTAGATCGGACGCACCACCTTAATGTCACGAGCTGCAGGCGGGACAACATGTTTATTAATGTCATTGTTGTTGTTGTTATTATTACATTGATTTACTGTGAAATTATAGATCAAGTTTGTCCCTTCGTGTACTTCAATATAAAAAACACTTATTTTACTTACAGTTTTATCAAAAGAAGATAAAGAACGTGTCTTATTGTAGGCCAGTATTTACGTGTAGAGAAATACATAATAATTTAAGTTTTAAAAAGTCCTGATAAAAAGTACTTATTTTTACTTTAGCTCTAAATGTTTGTTAGCATAATGCCACTGTTGGTTTTTGTGAGGAATGGTGAACATGTAATGTAGTGAAAGCTGCTGAGGGTTGAGATAGAGAGAGAAACATGGAGAGTGTGACACACTGATAGCAGCTGGAAGCGTCCCCAGTTGGACACAGGGTGGTGTTGAACCCTGGCTTCTCAGGTGACGGTTACCTTCGATGTTGATGCTGGCGGTCGTCTTGTCCGTCCCGCAGTCACATACGTATTTCCCTTTGTCGCTCTGCTCCACCTTCCTCAGCACCAGAGACCTGCGGGTGCCCTCGCTCTTCATCAGCAATGTCTTGGAGGCGATGACTTCCGTCTCCTCGTGGAACCACATGACCGGCACGTCTTTGCTCAGCTCGCAGTCCAGAGACACCTCGTCCTTCTCTGTCGCAGTGTAATCCTGCAGCTTCACCACGAACACCGCGTCGCCCTCTGCAACACACACACACACACACTCCGTCAGACTCACACACGCACTGGTTCAGATTCCCCCTCGCACACTCGGTGAGATGGATGAAGATGTGACACACTGATTCAGACTCACCCTCACACACTGATTCAGACTCACCCTCACAACACACTGATTCAGACTCACCCTCACAACACACTGATTCAGACTCACCCTCACACACTGATTCAGACTCACCCTCACACACTGATTCAGACTCACCCTCACACACTGATTCAGACTCACCCTCACAACATACTGATTCAGACTCACCCTCACACACTGATTCAGACTCACCCTCACAACACACTGATTCAGACTCACCCTCACACACTGATTCAGACTCACCCTCACAACACACTGATTCAGACTCACCCTCACACACTGATTCAGACTCACCCTCACACACTGATTCAGACTCACCCTCACAACACACTGATTCAGACTCACCCTCACAACACACTGATTCAGACTCACCCTCACAACACACTGATTCACCCGCACACACTCGGTGAGATGGATGAAGATGTGACACCCTGCCCCCCCAGAGATGGATGAAGATGTGACCCCCCAGAGATGGATGAAGATGTGACCCCCCAGAGATGGATGAAGATGTGACACCCTGCCCCCCCATGAGATGGATGAAGATGTGACCCCCCAGAGATGGATGAAGATGTGACCCCCCAGAGATGGATGAAGATGTGACCCCCCCAGAGATAGATGAAGATGTGACCCCCCATGAGATGGAACAGAGAGATGAAACTTGGCTGTGACAGAGCACCACAGAAGAAGAGTTACCTATGACTGTCAGCTTGGCCATGGAGTAAATGCCTTTGGCCTCTGCCTTTATCTGGCAGGTATCATCGAGACACAGCGTCCTCATTTCGAGAATGTGTCTCTTCCCTTCCACGTGCGTGAGCACCGTTCTGCTCACGTGGAGCTTCACCTCGTTGCGGTACCAAACCACGGGCACGTTATCGTGCGACAGCTCGAGCTCAAAGCGGACCGTTTTACCTTCTTTCACGGTTTGGTCTTTCAGCTGCTGCACAAACTTCAGCCTCATGCCTGCAATGGTCAGTGCACACAGTTGGTCTCTGCCGGGGACACTTTCAACATGGACACTCAACAGGAAGCCTTTGAGGACAACACTTACCTTCCACCGCCAGCAGGGCGCTGGACCGCTGGCCCAGAACCTCCACCGTGTACTGGGCCTCATCGTCAAACTCACAGCTGCTTATGATCAGCATGTGCTTCCTGCCATCATCCATTATCTCATATTTAGGGCTGGGGGTGACGATGTCCGCCCCCCTGAACCACAGCACCTTTGACACCTCCTTGGTGACGGTGCATTCAAATTTAGCCTGTTTCTTTTCAGGCACAGAAACGTCCTTCAGCGGCTCAACAAAGCCCATCTCGATTTCTGAGAGACGCGGAGAGTCGCCGTTATTCACAGACAGAGAAGCTTACCTGACCCTCTGCTTGGACCAACAGTGGGACAGAGAGAGTGTGTGTGTGTGTGTGTGTGTGTGTGTGTGTGTGTGTGTGTGTGTGTGTGTGTGTGTGTGTGTGTGTGTGTGTGTGTGTGTGTGTGTGTGTGTGTGTGTGTGTGTGTGTACCTTTGACGGTGAGCATGGCGGTGGTGACAGCGTTCAGCGCCTGGTAGGACACTTCGCCCGCCTGGTCCAGCTGAACCTGCTTCAGGGTCATGAACCGCTTCTTGCCTTCAGACTTGATGTCGCAGGTCTGAGAGACAGGACACACTTCAGTTAGCAACAAGGATAACATCCTACTTGTACCATTGTATACCATTACCATTGTATGTCAATATATTTAGTTAAATTAAGCGCTCAAAATCTTTTTGTTATCTACTTTTTTCCTCGTAACATATGTGCAATTTTAAAAATAAAACGTTATTTTCTTCAGAGTTTCATCTTTGAGATGATCACACTTTTGTTCTCTTTGACTGGTGTTAAACTGGTCGCACTTTAGCCCCTGATGGTGTCACCTTTAACGCCCTATTAGTGTTTGTGTTATACTCTTTATTTCATATTTAAATCCCCTCTCTTTGGTCGGACTCACCGGAGACCTCATCAGCACCTGTCCCCTCAGCTTCCACTCGCCCACCACATCCTCCTCAGAGATCTCCGTGTCGAAGTTGGCTTCCTCCTTCTCCACCACCTCCTGGCTGGCGAGGGGCTTCAGGACCTCGGCCTCGCGCTCTGAAACACAAACAGCAGGTCAGACCAGGTTCTTGACCCTCCTCTGAAGGGGGTCTTGGAGCGGTTCTGACCTCCCAACGTGAGCTTGGCGGAGTATCTGCGGTCCTCCACGGCGATGATGTAGTCGGAGACGTCGTCCGCCTGGCAGTTGTTGACCGTCAGCGTCACGTTCTTGCCGTCCTTGTCGATCTGGATCTTGTCCGACGGAGCCAGCTCAGTGTCTCCCTTGAACCACTTCCAGTTGGGGGTGTCCTTGAACAGCTCGCACTTAAACGTAGCTTTAGCTTTCGGCTTCACATGCTGATCCCTCAGAGGCTTCACCAGCCAGTCCTTGATCACCTCTGACAAACGCACAGGGACAACATGTTAAATCAAACCTGAGGAACAACGTTATCAACATGTTAGTATTTCACTATAGTCTAAACTGCTGTTAGCTTCCCCTCCTGAAGGTGGACTGGTGTTGAACAGCTCGAACTTTAGCTCCTGATGGTGGACTGGTTTAAAAGTGGTGTTAGCTTCCTCCCCTGATGCTACGCTGCTGTTAGCGGTACCTCCTCTGAACTGCTTACCGATGACCTTGACGATGGTAGTGGTCTTCACGTCCTCCTGGCCCTCCACCTCACAGGTGTAGGCGCCGGCGTCCTCCTCCGTGGCGTTCTGGATGGTGATGGCGTGCTGCATGCCGATGATGTTGATGGCCACCTTGCCGGCCTTCTTCTTCAGCAGCGCCCCGTTCCTCTTCCAGACCACCTCGCGCTCCTTGTTCAGCTCGCAGGTCAGGTACATGGGCTGGCTCTTGATGCAGGAGGTCTCCGGCTCCAGATCCTTCACCCACTTCACCGGCAGCTCTGCACAAACACACCTGTTACCAGACTGCATGCACTGCCTCTCACGCACTGTCCTGTCTGCTTATTACTCATAATAATATAATAACATGTCATTTATATAGCACACTTTAAATACAATGTTATCTCAAGGTCCTTTTACTGCAGTACAGCGCCCTCTAGTGGTGGACACATGTCCTGTTTGGACAGTTACTGTGAGTTTCAGTTCAGACACCTTTTTGTTGTAGAAGGCTGCAAACGTTGAGAAGGTACAATTTGTAGGTGTTTTGTTTAGACAGACATTTAACATCTTCTGCAACCTTTATTTAGCCTTATTACACGGCCTCGTTCAATACTCCATTGTGATTGGTCAATTTGGACCTGTCAGAGGTTGTTGATACTTGATAACAGACTGCTAACCAAAATAGTGAGCGCTGCTGAGGAGGATCAAGAAAAGAGGTTAGAAGACAGCAACTTCAGAGAAATCACCGGAACAACACAGACAGGAAGTAAACACTAACAGGAACCGCAGAAGAAGACAGACGGTCGAAGATTGACGATTTGTAAGTCAATAAAATCATTTTCAATCAGAATATGGAGTCAAGTTGTTGGTTTATGTAGTTGTGGCCGTGTAACAAGCGGAATAATGTGCAGCGAGGCGGGGGTCGTGAAGACCTTAACGACCCCCGCCTCGCTGCACATGTGTTCCATACTTCTACATAAGTCGACAGATCTCTCAAACTGAAAACTCAAATGTTTTTCTTGCACTTGCAAGTCTGGCTTGTTTGTATCGATGTATTGCACTGGAAATGTATGTAATAATGTTTATTGCACTAAGTTATTGTCTTTTCTTTTAGTATTAAAGTAGTACTATTTAAGTAAACTGTGTGTTGTTGGATAAGACAAATAAAGATTTTGAAGATGAATTGTACCGTTTCAATTTCACAACGCTTCATTAAAAGACCTAAAGTCAGCTCCCTGAGCCGTGTGTAAGGCGTGCTGAGGCCTAACGGCGTCATAAAGTAGGTCCAGCCCCTGAGGGCCCTGGGCTGCAGACAGAAACAACCTCAGATCCTCCTCTAATGAGTCTGTGTTTACCTTCCACCACCAGCTTGGCGGTGCATGTGATTTCCTTGCCGGCGTTCTTGGCGACGCAGGTGTACTCGCCGGTGTCCGACAGCTGCACGTCGATGATGTTCAGCTTGCGGTCTTTGCCGTCAGCGGTGAACTTGTGCTTGGGATCCTCGCGCAGGTTGGTGCCGTCCTTCATCCAGGTGGTGATGGCGGTGGAGGGCGACACCTCGCACTCGAACACGGCGGAGGATCCGATGGACTCGGCCTCCAGCAGCAAGATGTCCTTGATCTTCTTCAAGAACTTCAGAGGCACCGCCTTCAGCTTGAACCCTCCGAAGGGATCCTCCGGGGGGGTCGGGCCTTTTCCTCCGGGCTTCAGGCCGCGGCCTCTGCCGGCATCACCGGGAGACGGGGTTTGTCTCGCTGCAAGGCCACAGACACAATGTTACTTACTCACATCAGACTTCACACAGAGGGAAGGTTTGAAGACACTGAGCCTACCGTTGGTAAGACGTCAATCAGTGGAAGTAACATAAAACAGGGTTAGGGTAAAGAGTCTGAAGCATACAGTCACTCTGCTGAGCTGCTACAGGGTTAGGGTAAAGAGTCTGAAGCATACAGTCACTCTGCTGAGCTGCTACAGGGTTAGGGTAAAGAGTCTGAAGCATACAGTCACTCTGCTGAGCTGCTACAGGGTTAGGGTAAAGAGTCTGAAGCATACAGTCACTCTGCTGAGCTGCTACAGGGTTAGGGTAAAGAGTCTGAAGCATACAGTCACTCTGTTGCTACAGGGTTAGGGTAAAGAGTCTGAAGCATACAGTCACTCTGCTGCTACAGGGTTAGGGTACAGAGTCTGAAGCATACAGTCACTCTGCTGAGCTGCTACAGGGTTAGGGTAAAGAGTCTGAAGCATACAGTGACTCTGCTGCTACAGGGTTAGGGTAAAGAGTCTGAAGCATACAGTCACTCTGCTGCTACAGGGTTAGGGTAAAGAGTCTGAAGCATACAGTCACTCTGTTGCTACAGGGTTAGGGTACAGAGTCTGAAGCATACAGTCACTCTGTTGCTACAGGGTTAGGGTACAGAGTCTGAAGCATACAGTCACTCTGCTGCTACAGGGTTAGGGTAAAGAGTCTGAAGCATACAGTCACTCTGTTGCTACAGGGTTAGGGTACAGAGTCTGAAGCATACAGTCACTCTGTTGCTACAGGGTTAGGGTACAGAGTCTGAAGCATACAGTCACTCTGTTGCTACAGGGTTAGGGTACAGAGTCTGAAGCATACAGTCACTCTGTTGCTACAGGGTTAGGGTACAGAGTCTGAAGCATACAGTCACTCTGCTGCTACAGGGTTAGGGTAAAGAGTCTGAAGCATACAGTCACTCTGTTGCTACAGGGTTAGGGTAAAGAGTCTGAAGCATACAGTCACTCTGTTGCTACAGGGTTAGGGTACAGAGTCTGAAGCATACAGTGACTCTGTTGCTACAGGGTTAGGGTACAGAGTCTGAAGCATACAGTCACTCTGCTGCTACAGGGTTAGGGTAAAGAGTCTGAAGCATACAGTCACTCTGCTGAGCTGCTACAGGGTTAGGGTAAAGAGTCTGAAGCATACAGTCACTATTGCAGAAAATAATGACAATATAAACATTGATTTCAGCCAAATGCAGTGTTTCTATTGGCTGATATCAGTGTGGTAGAGCTACATCTAATGATGGCCTATATTAGGCTATAAAACATCAGAGGCCATCAAAACCTCTCAGTCCGATGTGATTTGTTTGAATGTCGAAAGAGAATCTGAAAACAGACTTTCATTTCAAACTTTAAAATGACTCTCAAATCATTCAATGATTGAATAGTTGAAGTTTGTTTTTTCTGTCTATCTTATGTTGCAGCCCTAAAGTGTATGAACGTAAAGATACCTGGTGATTGGGTATGTGTTACTACTTCCTGATACCTCGACAGTAACAGACGTACAAGAGGTTTCCCTCAAAGACAACAAGATTTTAAATCTGTCTGCACTCGACAGATTTACGTAGAAACAGTTTGGGGCCAGAAGATGAAAAGCTGAACACACAAACACGTTAGGTTTTGTAAGAAAGGACAGACAAGAAAACACCCAAAGAGCAAACGTTAGTACATGAACTACTTGATATCAGTTCATACCCCCGAGTCCTCGGCCTCGGCCCTTTGGCGCCTCCTCTGACGGCTTTCCATCTGAACAAGAGACAACAAGAGGACTTTAGAGTTCCTCTGATGACCCAGCAGAAACCAAGACTTACACATTTCACAGACAGGAGGACATTGAGAGGACATTTCACAGTCAAGAGGACAGAGAAGAATAATAGGACCACAAGATGAAAGAATATGCACAAAACTATAAGCTGAAGTTAAGGTAATAGGACTGCACAGAGATGAAGAGGATGAAGAAGATGGAGTAGATATTCACAGATGAAAGAATAATGGGAGTCGGGACGGGAATTGAGAAATGCTTCTTCCAAGTTCCCATCCCTGAATGGGACAAGATGAAGACACATTGAGGACAGACATGATGAAGACACATTGAGGACAGACATGATGAAGACACATTGAGGACAGACATGATGAAGACACATTGAGGACAGACATGATGTGATGGACATCACTGAGATGAAGAGGATGAAGATGAGTATTAATGGGGTAGGGATGGGAATCGAGAACTGGTTCTTCCTATTGACGCTTTCCAAAGGCTTTGCACCCAGTCATTTACCAGGAACCGATCTTACAATTCCCCTCCCTAAATGGGACAAGATGAAGACAAACATGGGTGGAGGACATGATGAACACGTTGAGGACAGACATGATGAACAAGTTGAGGACAGACATGAAATGACAGCGTCTCGGTGGAAGAATGGAGGATGAATACATGAGCTGCAGATGGCGTGATGAGGATTAGATGAGATGGATGAAGGGGCTCCAGAGTCCTCAGACGTCGGCCTTGGTCTCACCTCGTCTGGCGCCTGGCATGCCGGGAGTCTGCCGCTCCCCGTCCACCGCTTCACCCTCCCAGTCCTCGGGGGGGACCAGCTCCCAGCCCCAGGCCTCGTCCTCCTCCTCGCCCTCCTGCACCTCCGCCTCCTCTTCAAACACCTCCTCCTCCGGCTGCGTGGGAACCTTCTGCATCTGCACGGCCCCGGGGGAAACCTCCCTCCCCAGCGGGATCCTTCCTCTACCGGGAGCTTCCTCCGGTGGGGTTTTCCTCGGGGTCTTTTTGAGCGTGACCGCTTCAACTGAGTCTTTAGGTGAAATAGTTTTGTCCACCTTAGGTGATGGAGTCTTCCTCAGCTCGGCCTTCTTCAGCTGCGCCATGGGTTTGACAGCTTTTTCTTCCTCTACCTTATCTCTACCGGCTCTTGGCGAGTGCGTCTTTTTGAGCTCGACACCTTTCTTTAAGATGTCTGCTTGTTTCTGAGGGGTCTCTTCCTTCCCCGGTGGACTGGCCTTCCTGTCTGGAGCAGCTTCCTCTTTCTCATCATCCTTTTTGGGTTTAGCAGTCTTTTCTACTTTCTTAAGATCTTTAGGAGTTTCCTCACTTGGAGCTCGACGGGGTTCCTTTGTGTCCACAGGTCTCTTTTTCTCTTCCTCGGACGCTTTCTCTGGCTTCTCTTTAGGCTTGGTGGAAGGCTTCAACATGACCTGGTCTTTGCCGACGGCAGCAGTGACCTCTGGACTCCAGGCGGGGTGGTCTTCTGGACTCCAGGCGGGGTGGTCTCTCGGAGGCTTCTCCACTCCCTGGTATGGAGTGCGTTCAGCTTCTGTCTTTGCCTCGCCTTCGGTCACAGGTCTGGCAGGTTCAGGCTCTTCAGGTTTCTTAGCTTTTTCAAAAGGTTTCAAAGTCACTGCTTCTTGCTCCTCATCTTTCTTTGGCAACTTCTTTATTTTCTTTTTAGAAACATCTGGTTCTGGTTCTTCCTCTTTTGGTGCTTTAGGGGTTCGGGTCCATCTGGACTTCTCATCTTCTGTCTCAAGTTCCTCCGGTTCCTCCATGTGACCCGAGTCAGGCGAGTCTTCAGCGGCGGTAAAGACTCGTTCAGGCCTAACCACCGTTAGCAGCTCTCGATCCTCTCGATGGCGAAGTCTCTGAACGCTCAGCTCTGAGTCGTAATGCCTCGTCACTTCACATGTTTGACTCATGACCTCCTTCTCTGGCTCTTTGGGCTTAGTTGGCACCTTTTTCAGCTGGATCTTTTGCGCTTCTTCTTCTGGTTTCCCTGATTTCTCAAAGGGTTTCAGTTTGGTTGAGTCTTTCTTTTCATCAGCCTTTGGCAGTTTGGTTATTTTCTTCTTCTCAACCTTTGGCACCTCAGGTTCTTCCTCTTTTTGAGACTTTGGAGTTCTTGTCCATCCTACTTTTTCTGTTGTTTGCACTGTAACTGTTACCCTCTCAGCTTCCTCAAACTGGCCTAACTGAGCCGTCTGCTCCTCGGCCGTGAAGACTCGCTCGGTCCTCCCGAGGGTGATTATCTCTCGATCATCTCTCTCGTGAAGTCCGTGAACCGCCAGTTCTACATCCTGGAGCTTCGTCACTTCTGCTTTATGGGTTACGACCTGTTTCTCAGGCTCTGGAGGTTTCACCGGGACCTTCTTCAACTTAACGACCTCCGGCTCCGGCTCCTTCTCTTTGGGTCCTCGGAGAACCCTAGTCTTCAACTTAGGAGATTCGGGGGTTTTGGTCTCCTGAACAGGGATCTTACCCTTTTGCTTAAGAGCTGTCACTGTGGTTGAAGCAGGAAATACATTCACAAACAGGGAACTCAACATTTCATCTGACACTTTACAACACAGGACTCACTTCAACATGTAAAACAAGAGATATGTTGGTTGTTTCTAAGAGAATAACTAATATGGCAGGATGTATACCTGTTGGTAATATAGGTCCAGGTGCTGACACTGGTCCCTTGTCTGCAATCATTTAAAAGAGATAGAAACAAGTCAACACAATACAAACAAAAGAAGGTTAATGTCTTTTTTCAGACAGACTGGAGTTAAGAAAGTGTGGCATGCTTTTGTATTTTCGTCATTGCATGTGTCCCGAGTTACAGTAACGTAACTTTAAACGCACCAAGAGATTATTTTGAAGGTTATTTGGACTCTTTTAACACGTATAGTTAATATGAAACACTTGAATTAAACAAACATTAGGTTGACAGTTAAAGACAGAACTTGACATTAAAGGCATTTCTACAATCACAGCTCAGACTGCCTTTTATGAAGACTGAAGCGTCACATAAGAAACGCCTCAGAGCCGGGGACAAACAGAAGAGATCATCATAAACATATTGACCATAGATGAGAGCTACAGAAGAGGTGTTACCTTCAGGCGGAGAGGCTGCTGGAGAGGCCTGTACGCGCGGGGGGGAGGGTGTCTTGGCCACCGGAGAAACTTGAGCTACAAGAACGCCAACTTGATTAAATCCCTGGCAAAGATCTGGTCAACAAGATACTGACAAAAGTGAACTCACCAGACAGTTAAAGAGTTTAGACAAACAACATACAGGACACACAGAAGAACTACCTGCTGAAGGAACCACTTGTTCTGCTGGAGGCTTTGGAGCAGACACTTTCTTTTCCTCTGGAGGAGACACTTAGGAGCACAAGATACCAAAGGTCACAAACAAGAGACATTCAACAGATTCAAGATGTTAAGAGTGCTTACAAGTTCACAGACAGAGAGGAATCAGAAAACATGAAAGGTCTCTGTCTCCAGATACAACACAACAGAAGACAGAAGACACATGTGCAAAGGAGAAAGAAGTACCTGCAGGAGGAGAGACTTTAGCTGCAGGCTTTGGTGCAGATGGTTTCTTCTCCTCTGGACGAGACACTTTAAAATACAAGATGCCAAGATCATGACCAACACAACAACACGGTCAATGAAGGACAGACAGATGCAAGATGAGACTGAGGTGATCAGTCAGCTCAGAAGACAACAGACGGACAACAACATAGTGAAGAAGGAGTATACCTGCAGGAGGAGCAACCTTCTGTGCAGGAGCTGAAGGTGCAGATGGTTTCTTCTCCTCTGGGGGAGACGCTTTGGGAATACAAGATGCCAAGGTCAAGACCAAGAAAACAATTGGTGGAAACGTAACCAGTGACAGGAACAGTTCACAACATGAAACACAGATGAAGAACGGACTCTTGATGAGCCAGCAGCTTCAGACAGTATTTAGTGAGCTACCTGCTGGAGGAGCAGCGGCTGCAGGAGATACAGACTTTGGTGCAGCTGGTTTCCTCTCCTCTGGGGGAGACACTTTGGGAATACAAGATACCAAGATTACGACCAAGAAAAAACATGGTCAATCAAGAAGACAAAACCACAAACAGGAGAGAAGAGGAGAAGGGAAATGGGTCAAGAGACCAAGAGAGGTTCTTTAGTACGTGGCGAACCATTGTGAAGTACTGACAGAAAAACATGTTACAGAGACAATGGACGAGGAAGGCTTACTGTGATCATTAGTGTAATATGTACCATCAGTGATATAGTGTGTGTGTACATGTGAGGTTCTTTAAGAGGGTTGATCTTATGGCGATCACGAGCCTTCGTGGCTCTAATAAGAATACCTGTCTGAAGAGTTTGTTGTTCGCTCTTCTTTGCTTCTTCATCATCTTCTCTTGGAGAGCTTCTTACTTCTTTGGCAGAATCCACCTCGGGGGTGAATATTGTTTGTGCCAGGGGAGCAGGTGCTTTAAAGACAAGAGCTTCTTCTTCAGGGAGAGGAGGTTTATTCTTCTGTGCTGGCACTTCAGGTGTTTGACTTGGAGCCACCTCAGGTTTAGTGACATGCTTCTTCTGTGCTGGCACTTCAGGTGTTTGACTTGGAGCCACCTCAGGTTTAGTGACAGGCTTCTTCTGTGCTGGCACTTCAGGTGTTTGACTTGGAGCCACCTCAGGTTTAGTGACAGGCTTCTTCTGTGCTGGCACTTCAGGTGTTTGACTTGGAGCCACCTCAGGTTTAGTGACAGGCTTCTTGTATGGAGTCACTTCTTCAGGAGAAGCTTTGGGAAGTTTAGGAGAGGTCTTCTCTGTAGGCAAAACAGCTTCTTTTGGTGGTGAAATGTCTTCCTCAAGGTAGACTGCTCTCTCAGGCGGAGGGATACGAACTGGTGCAGGGCAGGACACTTCTGTACTTGCTGGTATGGATCCTGTTGCTGGAATCAGTACTTCTTCAAAGGACTTGTCTGCAGACACAGGGGTCGGTTTCTCCAGAGGTACAACATCTTCTAGACAGACACAGATTTCTTCCATCTTCCTAGTAATCATGACTTCCTTTTTGGGAGGAGAAGGAGTGGTTTGAGTTGGGACTTGGGGTGTATCATGTTCAAGAGGAATGGTTCTTTCTTTCACAGCTTGTTTCGAAACAGCGACTTCTTTAGGCTTCTTTGGGGCAGCGACTTCTTTAGATGTAGAAGAGGTTTTGGGTTTAACAAGATCCTCCATTTGCAGTTCTTCAATGTCTTCATAGTGTACCGTTACAACTACAACGTCAGCTTCCACAAGTTTTTTCTGTTGAGTTTTCTTGTAGGACGGTACCTCTTTTTGGGATGTGGATCCAGTGTCAGAAGGAATAACTTCTTGCTTCGTGGGACGAGTTACTTCAGGTGGAGTCGTGTTTTGAAAAGGTTCAGTCTTCTTTAGGGTAGGAGGGACAGACCTAGAAGACAATTCTTCTGTCTGGTTTAACACTTTTTCAACCTCATATTCTGGCTCTTCGACTTGCTGACCCCGGTTGTATCCTGAAGAAACCTCGTCCCTTTTCTGCTGTCTTATTTCTCGTTTTTCTACCACCGACTCCCTCACCTTCACTGCCATCTCATACGTCCTGACTTCCTCTGTCAGAGAGAATCTCTCTACTTGAAGCGTCCTCAGAGATGACTCCCTGCTGTCTTCAAACTCTTCTGTTGTTTCCTTAAGATCCCTCATCTGGGGAACTGTTATTTTTAAGATTTCACCCAAGATTGAAGATTTGCACCATGGAGCGGTAGCCAAGAGAAAGACACAAGACAAGAACCATCATGACACAGAAACACAGACTTCAGTGTGACATGTGTTCTGCTGTGAGCCTAAGTGTAGTGAATGACTGCCTCTCTACGTCCACTAATACTTCTCCAGAAGGAATAAACTCATCTAGATCCTGGAACAAATGAATACAACAAGTCAAACTACAAAACAGTGATGCACATTAGCTGGAGCTGTTGTTTCCTGTGGTATCTCCCTTTGTTTACTGTGTTGATAACTGATATGATGCAACATGTCGCCACACATGACAGAACACACATCAACATTTAGCTAATGGATAAGAATAGTAATAAATAAGAATACCGAGTTAGAAGACCAAGATGAAGAAGGATTAGTTAATAAGAGGTTCAGATTTGTCTACCTGGTTGCAGAGGCTTTTGAGCCGGAAGAGTTTGCTTTGGTGTTTCCAAGTCTTGTGGTGGTGGTTCAGAAACCATTTTGTGTGCCACTGGAGACCTTTGTGGTTCTTCTGGGACATTCTTTGGTGATTCAGGAACCTTCTTTGGTTCTTCTGGGACCTTCTTTGATGCTTCAGGAACCTTCTTTGGTGCTTCAGGAACCTTCTTTGGTGCTTCAGGAACCTTCTTTGGTGCTTCAGGAACCTTCTTTGGTAGTTCAGGAACCTTCTTTGGTAGTTCAGGAACTTTCTTTGGTTCTTCTGGGACCTTCTTTGGTGCTTCAGGAACTTTCTTTGGTTCTTCTGGGACCTTCTTTGGTGCTTCAGGAACCTTCTTTGGTACTTCAGGAACCTTCTTTGGTTCTTCTGGGACCTTCTTTGGTTCTTCTGGGACCTTCTTTGGTGCTTCAGGAACCTTCTTTGGTACTTCAGGAACCTTCTTTGGTTCTTCTGGGACCTTCTTTGGTACTTCAGGAACCTTCTTTGGTACTTCAGGAACCTTCTTTGGTGCTTCAGGAACCTTCTTTGGTACTTCAGGAACCTTCTTTGGTACTTCAGGAACCTTCTTTGGTTCTTCTTGGGCCTTCATCGGTTCTTCTCTGACTTTCTTCTGTGCTTCAGGAACCTTCTTTGGGGCTTCAGGAACCCTCTGTGTTTCTTCCAGAACCTTCCCTGGTGTTTCTGGCTCCATTTTTCTTGGAGCTTCAGATGTCTTCAGCTCTGAGAGAACTTTGAATAACATTAATGCAAAAGATGATTAACTTATTAAGAGCATTTTAAAAGTGCCAGTATCACTCTAACGAGTGCTCAAAGATATTCAAAGAAGACATTTAGGAAACAGACTTGAACATGAGAAACAGCACAAACAGGAAACAGAAGAAGGACCAGTGAGGAACGTCTCGGTACCTTTGGTTGGAGCAGCTTCAGCCTTGGGGGCAGGAACCTTTGGTGCAGACGGCTGAACTACAGGCTCCTCTGGTCTGGGTTCTTCCCACACTTAAGAGAACATGATGTAAAGTTTAACCAACAGGTGAAGACCAAGGCTAAGTGAAAGAGAACACTCTGAACGAGTGAAGGACTCTAAAGATCTCAGTACCTTTAGCCGGAACAGGTTCTGCTGATGGGGGAGGAGGCTGAACTACAGCTGCTTCAGGCTTTGGACGTTCTGCGGCTTTAAAGAACATTATATATATATATATATATATGTTCAATAACATACTGGTAACAAACAACATTACAGTCCACTCTAACGAGTGCTGCTACAGAAACACAACACAAGTCAAAGAGTTCACAGACGGTCCCAGACCTTCGAAGGCCGGGTGGTTTGTCTTCAGAACATTACAAGGTTTTCCTCCACATTTATCAGAAGATGATTGTAGAAACTAGCTGGAGCTTGGAGGTAAAACATTACAGGTTCATCCAAACCCCAGATACATGAAATACATTTAAAGAGGTTAACAGTGACCAACAGTCAAGAACCATGTTGAAGAGTTATACCTGCAGATCACAGCAACATGGAACCAACAACTAGAAAGACTGGGTTAAAGAAGGTCTTTCTAGAACAGAAGAATACGTCTACTTTACCTCTGGCTTCAGGGGCTTCTTGAGGTGTCTTTGCTTCAGCCTTGGCTTCTTTAGTTTCAGTTTTCAGCTCTTTGGGTTCCTCCGCCCTCGGCCTGGGCTCGAGGGGAGTGGTTTTTGGCTCGACTGAAGGTTTTGGTTGGTAAGGTTCCGGAGAGACCTTTCTGGGAACCTTTTGTTCAGGTTCTTCAAGGTTAACAGAGAAATAGGTAAAGAAGAGGTGAAGAAAGAAGGGATAACAGACAGAACATCAAGATACATTAATAACAGACAGACGAACGGACAGACAGAACATCAAGATACATTAATAACAGACGGACGGACAGACAGAACGACCGACAGACGATGATGCTCTGAACGCATCTGAGGAAGATCAGCAGAGACTCTTGAACAACATGAAGCAACAACAAATCCTTGTAAATAAATAAATATATATAGTATGCTGAAATACTGATAAGTATATAAGAAAGATAAAATCAAATAAGATGAAATGAAATAAAATGAAATCAGATGAAATCAGATGGAATAAGATGGTCTGGGTGTTACCTGCTGATCGGTCGGCATCTCCTCGCCTTGGCTCGTCCTTCGTCTTCCTCGCTTCAGATTCTTTAAAATATTATCACCATGTCAGATTTCTGATCAACGCTAACATCAAGAACTCATCAAGAGATTTAAATAAAGACAGAACAACAACAGGAAGTACATGAAAGACAAACAGGAAGTGGGTATAATTTAAGAGAATAAAAGCGGTATGTGCAGATACCTCTGAAGGCAGCTGAAGATCTCTGATCCTCCGAAACCTCAGACACTGAGGAGAAGAGAGGCAACGTTAACACACTGTGGGGGAGGGGGGGGGGGGAGAGGAGGGGGGAGGAAGAAGAGGGGGAAGAGGAAGAGGAGGAGGAAGAGGAGGAAGAGGAAGAAGGATAAGACTACTCTACGGAAAGAGAGAAGCTTCTAGAAGCAGCAGGAAGCGTTTCAGGACAAACACCACGAGCGGCCTGATGTCTACAGCCTCTAGCAGTGAGACAGTTTCTATCAGTGAGACAGGTGAAGAGGACATTACCTGAAGACACGTCTCCTGTCTCTGTCCACTCGCCTGTCTCTCCTACTGCCTGTCTCACTCCTGCAGGGAGGAAAACCAACTTAGAGACAGACAGGTGTGTAAAGAAGTCAGACAGACAGGTGTGTAAAGAAGTCAGACAGACAGGTGTGTAAAGATGTGAGACAGACAGGTGTGTAAAGAAGTCAGATAGACAGGTGTGTAAAGATGTGAGACAGACAGGTAGAGTATGTGGCAACAGGAAGTCAAGATTTAGATTTAATGATGAACAGTGGACGAAGAAAATTGGCAACAGACAGGCAGAGGACAAGAGGACAGACAGCTGTCAGACAGACAGGTCATTAAAGCTGTCAGACAGACAGGTAGAGGACAGACAGGTCATTAAAGCTGTCAGACAGACAGGTAGAGGACAGACAGCTGCAGACAGACAGGTCATTAAAGCTGTCAGACAGACAGGTAGAGACAGACAGCTGCAGACAGACAGGTCATTAAAGCTGTCAGACAGACAGGTAGAGACAGACAGCTGCAGACAGACAGGTCATTGAAGATGTGAGACCTGTGGAGGAGAAGCGAACAGAGACGGTCTCTTCGACTCTTTCCACAGCTACACATTAAAGATAATTAAAGATGTGCAGTTTGTGCAGAAGAAGATTAACTTATTTTCCAGATTTAATCACAAACACCATAAATTCAGACTTTAATCTAAATCAATTCTTAATTTATATGAAATTACATTTGTAATTTAAATTGATGAGATTAGGTCCAGAAAATATTTAATTTGTAATTTTTAAATGAATGTTAAGACTGAGATCTGATATCAGGATTCAGTCTGATATCAGGATTCAGTCTGATATCAGACTGAGGTCTGATATCAGGATTCAGTCTCCACTAATCCTGATATCAGGATTCAGTCTCCACTAATCCTGATATCAGGATTCAGTCTCCACTAATCCTGATATCAGGATTCAGTCTCCACTAATCCTGATATCAGGATTCAGTCTCCACTAATCCTGATATCAGGATTCAGTCTCCACTAATCCTGATATCAGGATTCAGTCTCCACTAATCCTGGATTCACAACAAATGAAAAATGGATTTTAATTTCAGAGTTCTTGAATTAAAAAACTAATTTAAAATTAAAGATCTTAATGTTGTAATTTACAGATTCAGGTTGTGCAGATAATCTTCTTCTGCGACAGGAAGTGGAATTATTACATTTCTGTAAACCGGTTCACACGATTGTTAACAAATATTAAAGATTGTTAAAGGGTTCACTGATTGTTAACAAATATTAAAGATTGTTAAAGGGTTCACTGATTGTTAACGGGTTCACTGATTGTTAAAGGGTTCACCTGATTGTTAACGGGTTCACTGATTGTTAACGGGTTCACCTGATTGTTAAAGGGTTCACCTGATTGTTAACGGGTTCACCTGATTGTTAACGGGTTCACCTGATTGTTAAAGGGTTCACCTGATTGTTAACGGGTTCACCTGATTGTTAACGGGTTCACCTGATTGTTAAAGGGTTCACTGATTGTTAAAGGGTTCACTGATTGTTAAAGGGTTCACCTGATTGTTAAAGGGTTCACCTGATTGTTAACGGGTTCACCTGATTGTTAACGGGTTCACCTGATTGTTAAAGGGTTCACCTGATTGTTAAAGGGTTCACCTGATTGTTAAAGGGTTCACTGATTGTTAAAGGGTTCACCTGATTGTTAACGGGTTCACTGATTGTTAAAGGGTTCACTGATTGTTAAAGGGTTCACCTGATTGTTAACGGGTTCACTGATTGTTAAAGGGTTCACCTGATTGTTAACGGGTTCACCTGATTGTTAAAGGGTTCACCTGATTGTTAAAGGGTTCACTGATTGTTAAAGGGTTCACTGATTGTTAAAGAGTTCACTGATTGTTAAAGGGTTCACCTGATTGTTAAAGGGTTCACCTGATTGTTAAAGGGTTCACCTGATTGTTAAAGGGTTCACTGATTGTTAAAGGGTTCACTGATTGTTAAAGGGTTCACTGATTGTTAACGAGTTCACTGATTGTTAAAGAGTTCACTGATTGTTAAAGGGTTCACCTGATTGTTAAAGGGTTCACTGATTGTTAAAGAGTTCACTGATTGTTAAAGAGTTCACTGATTGTTAAAGGGTTCACCTGATTGTTAAAGGGTTCACCTGATTGTTAAAGGGTTCACTGATTGTTAAAGGGTTCACTGATTGTTAAAGGGTTCACCTGATTGTTAAAGGGTTCACCTGATTGTTAAAGGGTTCACTGATTGTTAACGGGTTCACCTGATTGTTAACGGGTTCACCTGATTGTTAACGGTTGTTAAAGGGTTCACACGATGGAAGGACTTTGAGTTGATGATGGATGAAGTAATGATACAGAAGAATATTAACGAGGTCACGGTTATTCAGGAGGATGACGTTTAGGATGGAGTCTTCAGAAACCGTTAGTACTCATGGTTAAATATTATAAATGAATATCTGCTGTACCTGTCACTGTCCGTTCTTCGTAGAGATAAGACTGAGAGGAATCTTTGGCAGAAGAAGATATTAATGAGTATATGTTTTGATATTGGTATATAAAGAGTTATAAGAGAGACAGGAAGTCTCACCTCTAACGAACAGAGAGGCAGCGCCGGGGAACTGAAGGGAGTCGGGGACGTCTGCGGGTCGAACAGCACCGTTAATATGAACTCAAAACATCTCCTTTAATTAGATCTCTAGACTGTTTGAAGCCAAAGTCAAAGTCCACACTTCTTCCCTTTCAAAAAGCAAGTCAGAGTTATTTGAATCAGCCTCGCTTTAATATATATATTTTTTATTTTAATATTATTTTGCACTTTCACATTAAATATTATTTAGACCAGATTGCAACTACCCAAGTATTTGTGGATACTCTTTACATCATAAGCTTATTCTGTTAAATAATACAAATACATCCAAACCCTTCAAATGATAGAACATGTGAAGGCCTGAAGCGAGGACTTCTCTTTCAGTCTTTAGTTAAAGGGGAGGAAGTCTGACTGCCTGTATTTATTGAAAGTACTCACCCTGAGGGACGCTGCCTAAGCCCACCTCTGTGGAGACAACATGTCGTTAGAGCGTTTCATTACTTAACTTCAACTCAAATGAAAGATAGCGTTTGTGTTTACGGACCTCGGCCCGACAGGAAGAGCTCGGCCGAGCTGCGAGCTTCACCCAGAGCGTCGACCCGAGCGATGACCGAGTACACGCCTACAGAGATAACACCATCATTTATTACCACATCTCTTTCTGCTATCTCACTTCCTCACCAGGCTTTACTATAATATCTATTTCACCTTTAACTGCGCCTTAAATGTGTCTTAACATGTGCTATAGAAATAAACTAAACTAACCTTGAACTATAACCTCCACACAGTGACCACCAGGTCTTATTATGTGTTGGCTTTATCAACCTTTACTTGCCAAATAAACTGTTTTTAAGGTTTTAAACAAACTGTTATTTAGTTATTAACAGTTTGTCCAGGCATGAAACTCACTATTTAGATTAGCAATATGTGATGACTCACTAACAGAGGAGGTGCAGTGGAGCTGTGGATGATCTCTAATGAGGGTTTGAACAGGAAGTGGAGAAAGGGTCAGGGCTTCATGAGGGTTTGAACAGGAAGTGGAGAAAGGGTCAGGGCTTCATAAGGGTTTGAACAGGAAGTGGAGAAAGGGTCAGGGCTTCATGAGGGTTTGAACAGGAAGTGGAGAAAGGGTCAGGGCTTCATAAGGGTTTGAACAGGAAGTGGAGAAAGGGTCAGGGCTTCATGAGGGTTTGAACAGGAAGTGGAGAAAGGGTCAGGGCTTCATGAGGGTTTGAACAGGAAGTGGAGAAAGGGTCAGGGCGTCATGAGGTGATTAAATATAAGCATTTGACCCTCTCAATATGAAATGAATCTATATGAATGGTCAGATTTCTGCGGTTTAGGACAGACCTTCGTCCTCCGCTGTCACGTTGACGATGGTCATGAAGTGGCGGCGGCCGTCCGTCCTGAACTCGTACTTCGGGCTCTCGCTGAGCTCCCATGATCCTTTGTACCACGCCACGGAGGCGTGGTCGAAACCCAGCTCGCACTCGAAGGTGGCACGATGGCGCTCGCTCACTTCGATGCTCCGGATGCTTTTAGTGAACTGGATCTGTTCCCCTGAACCACCCGGGTCATAAGAGAGGGGTTTGATCATGAGTTCAAGGCCCAGAGGGGTTCAAGAGAAACACTGAACACAAGCAAACACAGGGTAACGAGGAACAAAGGCAAGAGGAAGAAGATAAAGACAGAAGAGGAACCAAGTGAAGCCAAATAAACACTGGAGATAAAGGCAGAGGAACACACACAGAATGAAGAGGACTAACACATCAGGAACAACTCCAAGATAAACAGGTACATGTGAAGAGGTGTAAGGTTAAGAGGTCAGTGGGGGTTAGCTCGGTACGGCTCACCTGGTGGTAAAAAAGACGCTACAGACAGGAAGTGGCCGGTCTCCCTGTGGACAGGAAGTGAGTGCGTACCTGTGACGGTGAGCTTGGCGTTGGAGATGTGCGGTCCACACACCACCCGGTAGTTGCCCTGGTCCTGGCCCGAGCACGTCTTGATCTTCAGGAAGTGGCGTTCGCCCTCGCTGCCGATGTCGTACCTGTCTCCGGCCTCCAGCTTCTGCGTGCCTTTGTACCAGGTGAGGCAGATCTCGGGGTAGTTGATGCGCAGACGGCACTGGAAGGTGGCGCTCTGGCTCTCCAGAGCCGTCTGGTCGCTGATGTCCTCGAGGACCGTCACCGGCTGAGAGGACAAATAACCCAATGAATCCACTTCCTTCTGAATCATTTAGTCGTTAGTTTAGGAATACATTCTCACAACAGGCTGACTTTTTTTAAAGGTCTCCTATTATACTATTTTGAGGCATATATTATAGGAGAACTCTCCCAGCAGAAACTCAGCTAAATGCTGCCGTGATGAAACTCCATATCATGTTCCAAACCACATGAAGGATTCTCTCTGAAACAGTATGGAGCTCAAACTCTTTCTCTCTCTCAGGTTTACCACAAGGTGACTTCCTTTTGATTTCCTGCTTCTTCACACATGCTCTCTCCAGTACAGGTTAGCTCTGAGTGTTAGCATGCTAATGTAAACACAGACCATATTACTTCCAGAACACGTCTCATTGTTTCTGACAGCAACGTTTCTGATTGGCCCGTGGGTGTAAAGCCCGCCCACATTTTAGTAATGCGGTCATGACGCAGCAAATCTGGATCAGCTCCGTTGTTCCCCCGTTTTTAGAGATGTGGGTACGGAGGAAAAGAGAGAGGGGTTTATTTCCTGACACTTTGTGAGTCTCCTGACACACCGGGACACACCGGGGACACACCGGGGACACATGGTGATGTAGAGAAGACATCACTTAGTGAGTCTCCTGACACACCGGGGACACACCGGGACACACCGGGGACACACCGGGGACACATGGTGATGTAGAGAAGACATCACTTAGTGAGTCTCCTGACACACCGGGGACACACCGGGGACACACCGGGGACACATGGTGATGTAGAGAAGACATCAGAAAGTGCATTTTGCATGATAGGAGACCTTTAAAGTAACTAATTTGCACAATTCTAATGATTGCATTTATATTAGATTCTGCATGTTGTACCTCGGTGCTGGCGCGTCCCTCCAGCTGCTGGATGAGGCGAGCCATGTCCTCTTCCTCCACCTGGCCTCCATGCTCCACTTCCTGCAGAGATACAGAGACAACATGTCCTCATTCACCACTCTGATAGCTACTTTAAAAAGGGAAGCAAACGTCGTCTTTCTCTGACAGTCCGATAACCACAACACCAAGTCAATTCCTCATATGTGTTAACCTACCTGGTCATAAACCTGTTGGAGATACAGCATGTTAACTTAGCCTAACATTAGCTTAGCATAAAGACTGTAATGGGGTAGAAACAGCTAGCCTCGCTGTGTCTCTGCGCGGCTGTTTTAGGGATGATGTATTCCTTGTGACCCTGAAGGCAGCATCTACCTGGTCCAATAGCATTTCTCTATGTGATTCAGCTCGTGTTAACCACAGACCGTATTTCAGGATAACAACCAAAAACACATTCAGGGAACCATTGACCTCCAGACCAGGGGACAGGAAGTGAAATAAAGAGCATTTTCTTTACCACTTTCCCGGTCTCCATCTCCTTCTCCCTCTTCAGGAACTCGATGGCCTGCAGGATGGCGCGGTAGTCGTGGATGCCGTGCTCCTGCAGGATCTTCTCGTAGTCTTTGGGGTTGTGTCCTCTCAGCAGGTCCACGATGTTGAAGTCTCCTTCCTTCTTGGGACTCTTCTGCTTTGAGGGAGTCCTGGAAAACATCAAGAACAAAATCAGATGTGAGAAATCTCAGATCCTCTGCTAGTAAAGAGGACGGAGTTCTGTCTTCCTCAACTTCTCATTCATCCTCAAAGATTCAACAAAGAAACTCTTGTTTACTCAATTGGAGTACATCCAACAAAGTCAGAGGAAACTTCGCTAGAAAAACATCTCACACGTGGTCTACGGTGCAAAACCTCTCCAGCTGTGTAATAATAGGTGATTCAAATGGAATAAATAATGCAGTTTATAGCTTGATTCTGAACTCACATTCACATAACGTTGTTCAGCAAAACGAAGAATTCAACTAGCTTGCACTATTGTTTTATCTGTTTTATTAGTTTGATGTCCTCTATATATTCATGTTGCTCTGTTGGAGGAGTACGTTTTCCATTGCCATATTTCCAGTGTTGCTGCTGAGCTCATGATGATAAACACTTGAAATTGAAATAGCTTTATAACTTATAACTATATTTTGGTTGTTTCTCAAAATGTTTCTCAAACCAATGTGTTGCGTCTTAGTGTAACGTGCTACAGCCTCTGCAGTGTGTGTGTTTCTCATAACCATGTTTCCGTACTTCTTCAGCCGGGTCCGGATGTCTCCCAGTCCCTCCGCCTCCTCCTTCTTGCTGACCTCCAGGTCGGCGCTGCTCTCGATCTCTCCGTGTTTGTTGGTGGCGACGCAGCGGTACTGACCCGAGTCCGACTTGGTCACCTCTCTGATCTCCATCTTGGCGTCCTGGCCCTTCTGCTCGATGGAGATGCGACCACCGGGGGTGATCTGCCTCCACTTGCCCTTCATCCACTTCACGCTGGGGATCGGGTCTCCGCTGATCTTAGCGATGAAGGTGGCGGTGCCCTCTGCAGAGGAAACACGAAGAACATGAAGGGGCGTACACTTCCTCCTGACCAACACTTCCTCCTGACCAACACTTCCTCCTGACCAACACTTCCTCCTGACCAACACTTCCTCCTGACCATGACCTGTTCCTGTGTTACGGGACTAATATGTAGTCTTTAAAATGGACGTCTTGTACCACATCAAGAACGATCACATAGTGTACACCCAGCATTAAACCTGTTAGACATTTAAGATAGATAGATAGATAGATACTCAAACTATGTAGCAGTGAGTTCTCTGCCATATGTTTCACAAACTGCATTCCACTTACTCTCAGTGGCAGAAACCGTCTGCAGTTCCTCGATGAAGAACAGGTTGTCCAGTCTCTTGGCGGGGGCGGCTGCAGCTGCAGCCGGGGCGGCGGCTGCAGCCGGGGCGGCGGCTGCAGCCGGGGAGGCGGCTGCAGCCGGGGTGGCGGCTGCAGCCGGGGAGGCGGCCTCCGGGGGGGAAACCTTCACTCCTGAGTCTGAAGAGAAATCATGACCAGGTGAGTCCGACATAAAGAAGCCCAGCCTCAAACACCAGCAGCAGTGAAGGAGGGAGACTCGTTATCGGGTACTTTGGTTTTAAGTTATAACCATAAACCTTAAACCCACAATATTTAAAAATGTGTGTTTTGGAGGTAAACAAACGGTAAAAGATTTCACTTTTTGAACAGATTGTAAACTTTGCAAGGCTTTTATCAGAAAGTTGAAGGAAGAATAAGCTTATCCCCAAATGTAATTTCAGTAAATTACATGTTAAGACACAAGGATTCGACTTGTTATTCCTATTCTATATGATCTTACCTAAATGATCACAAAGCACCAAAACACATGTTCCTGGTTAATCATATAAGGTATCCAGGTTTGTTAGATAATAAAAAGCCTACCTCTCACGGCGACCTTGGACTTGCAGAAGTTGCTGCCGGTGGCGTTGGAGGCCTTGCAGAGGTAATCCCCAGCCTCGCTCTTTGAGGCCGGGCTGACCTCCAGACAGGCCGACCCGCCAACAAACGTGATGCGAGTGTTCCCGCTGGACTTCAGCTCCCTCCTGTCCTTCATCCACTGGATGTTCAGAGGAGGGGAGCCGGTCACATGACACTTCAGGCTCAGCTTCTCGCCCTCGTTCACCGTCACCGGCTCCAGAGGAACATCAAACTTCGGAGCCTGGCCAGTTTCTGGAGGAGAGGCGTGGAAGAAGGATTTAAAACTGGAACTGGACGGGCAAAGGAGCATCTCCTGCAGACCTACAAGTCTTTGTGTTTCAGTCTTCATTGACCTATACCTGAAATGAACCCAACTACACAGCCGTCAGAAACACACTCCAGCTGCTGATACGCAGCAAGATGGGAGTTTGGTTCACAGACTGAATAAATGTGTCCTGGATTAATACGTTCATTTGAACCAGCAACCAAGCTAGGTATCTTCCTCCATATTTCCCAGTGCTTGATTACAAAAAGACATTCTTTGCATCCATACAAGTTATCTTCTCTGCACAAAACATATTTGTGAGAATATTTACAGTGGCCAAAGAACAGAACATGGATCCTTCAGTGTCCTCTTACATAACTGTGCAACTTCCTGGAGTACTAATGCTAACACAATCACCCGCTGCTGTTGGTCGGCTGACCACAGATGCAGCTTGTGTTATCAGACTGTTCTCACCTCCTGCAAACATGAAGATCTATTCATGGTAGAAATGTTGGGTTTTACCTGAAGATGATTGCCCTTTCAGAGGAACACACTACAGCCAATCATCAGTAGACTATAGAAATGCTTGAACCAATATACCTGTGATGTTCAGAGTCACCCGACAGGAAGCCTTGCCGGCCTCGTTGGACGCCTCGCAGGAGTACACGCCGCCGTCAGAGCTGCTGGAGTCTCTGACGGACAGCACGGCCACGTTGTTCTCTAAGCTCATGGCGTATTTGTCGGAGCCGTAGATCTGGTTGTTGTCCTTGTACCAGGTGATGCTCAGCGGCTGCGAGCCGGACACCCGAGCCTCCATCTTCACCGTCTTACCCACAGAATCCATCATGGACTCCGAGGGCCTCTTGGTGAAGTTGGGAGGGACTTTGCGCTCTGTTATCGGGGAGAGAGGAGAGAAAGTCAGGCCATGTTTTGACAGTGGGAAGGGGTTTCGAAATTCAGATCATCATCACAAGGCCACCGGGCCTTCACAGAGCATCTGGGAAAACAGAGAGCCACTTAGGACGACATACAAACAACCTGCAACATACAAGCGAGCAAATCAAGAAAAACACAAAGACTAAGAAATCCCTTTTTAGAGCAAGCAAATATTCAGATGATCATCCACAACAATGTGGAGCACATGCTCTGAAGGACCTTTAACACCTTAAGTATAATCTTTATCTGTTCAAACCAACAACCACAAGTTAACCATGAACACACCAACAGAATAACCCAGGATTTGAGATGTCATCAAATTCCCTTCGTGTTACCAACGGAGACAAGACCACAGGAAACAAGAACTACACCGCACGTTAGGGTTAGTGACGGGAACCACACGGGGGGACGTTTGTACGGCGTTACCTATTTTAACGTTAGCGTGACAGGTGTCACTGCCTTCGGCATTGGAAATTTCGCACGTGTATTTCCCGGCCGAGGCAGCCCTGTCGCCGTTGAGGACCTCCAGAGTGCAGGTGGAGGCGGTGATTTTGACGTTGTAGAGGTAAGAAGCCCAGATCAGCTTGTCATCCTTCTTCCACGTCACGTAGACCCTCTGGCTGCCGGAGTACGAGCACTGCAGCTTCAGAGGCTTACCCAGCTGGTGGCTCTTGTCCGCCAGCTTCTTCACAAAGCGTACGGGCTCTGAGAGAAGCAATGTGGAGGTCAGTCACAGAAACCACTGAGGTCGAACATGCGTAGGACACGCTATGAGTCTGGAAGTATCCGAAGGACTCCGTGGATGTTCTCATGCGTAGAAAGAGAGGCTATGTGAATGCTGGGACGTTTACCTGTACGTAAAGCAATGCAGCTCTCAGGCATATGTGAGTGGTTACCTGGAGGTGTTATTAACTTCATGCATTAACTGCAAGCAGGATGCGTTAGCGTTACCTAGTTTCACATGAGCGTGGCAGGTATCAGAGCCTTGGGCATTGGATATTTCGCAAGTATATCTCCCAGAAGCCTCTTCTCGGTCGCTGTTGAGGACATCCAACACACAGCCGCTGTCGGTGGTCTTCACATTGTACTTATAGGAAGCCCAGATCACTCCCCCGTCTTTCTTCCAGCTCACGCTCAGTCTTTGGCTGCCGGTGAACGCCACTCTCAGCGACAGCGGCTCGCCGACCCTGAACGTGGTGTTTTCCAGCTTCCTGATGAAGCGGGCTGGCTCTGTGAGAAGCAGTGATGGTTGTTAGTTGTGAAGGTGGTGGAAAGCAAGCAGAAGCAAGTAACTATCATGATTTATGATCCACTGATGGGATTCAATTAGGCTTTAAACGTGCAGCAGAATCTCAACGCACTCCTGTGCGCCGCGATGTGAAAGGGTTCATTATTATTTATATTAGGTTCTGACTATCCTGTCCATTTGGCATTTTTATTACATGTGTCAGGTCCACATTGGATCAAGAACAAACAAATGCTTTGTTCAACATCCAAAGATTTTAACTTAAATAAATATCTATCTATTGTGGAAAGAGTAGATGCAGCTAGCGCAACTAACTAATGTCTGCATGGAGTAAATGCTATGACCGACAGGGTCCGTGTGGAACGCGTGCCCGCAGCCTTAACATCTGGCTAAATACTTAACTTGGCGATAAATATGTGAAAGTAAATGTGAAGTATTATAAGAACTCCAGTGTTGGACTACAGCCAGAAAGAGACTTGTTCCAGCTGTTCAGAAAGGACATCCTGTGTGGTTGAAATCCAGCGTAGAAGCCGGTCTGGGAGTACGATGAGATTCTGCTTCCTACAGCCACGTATAAGCAAATGTTTAATGCTAGTGTGAGAGGTTATACCTTTCTTAGCGGTTTTAAGAACGACATAAGCATCGCAGCTGGCCGAACACTCTGCGTTAGAGATCTGACAACAGTACAGCCCGGCTGCTTCCTCTCGGTCGCTGTTCAGGACCTCCAGAGTGCAGCAGGAGTCCGTGGTTTTCACGTTGTACTGGTACGAAGCCCAGATTATCTTCCCTTCCTTGGTCCAGTTGACGTGCACTCGCTGACTGCCACTGTACGTGCATGTCAGATGCAGAGGTTGGCCCAGGAGGTAGGACGTGTCCTGGAGCTTTTTCACGAAGCGCACAGGTTCTGAGAGAAGCAATACGGGTTAGTGAGGTCATGTAGCCGGAGCTGAGAGCTAATCAGTGAGAGAGAGTATGTTACCTAGTCTGATCTGAGCGTGGCAGATAGCAGAGCTGCTGGCATTGGATATTTCACAGGAATATCTCCCAGCAGCCTCCTCTCTGTCACTGTTGAGGACCTCTAACACACAGGAGCTGCCTGTCGTCTTCACGTTGTACTTGTAAGAAGCCCAGATGGGTTTGCCATCTTTCCTCCAGCTCACGTGCACGAGCTGGCTGCCCGTGAACGTGACCTGGAGCTTCAGAGGCTGGCCGACCCTAAAGCTCATGTCCTGCAGTGGTTTCACGAAGCGCATCGGTTCTAGGAGAGATGGCAGCGGTTAGTCAGCTACTGAGGGAGATGATGTGAAATAAAGTTAGCTGTTAAAACTACAAGGAAGGCTCATTGCTTTTGGTTTTTAACGATTTTCAACAACAAATAGACCGATTTTCTTAATGTATTTTTGACAGATGATAACGTAAAAGTTGATGGAGAGTTTCCAGATGTTTAATTCTGTTGTTAGGACTTTGGCGTTTTTATCTTTCCAGAAAATGTACCATTGTTTCTCCTCATCCACGTTCTTTAAAAAAGTCCTTTCTGTTTGACTTTGTTATCCTGTGTAGCATCAACAGCACGACCCTGTGTGGCATAATGTATGTTTCCATAGCCTGACATTAATCATCTGTGCAGATAACTGTAAACTTAAACAAATATATATGTATCGTTTATTTATTACCATGTATAATATGAATTGACTCGATAAATGCTAAATGCTGATTGTTTGTAATGCATTGCCGTTCCCGATGAATGCACGTTTTGTTTGTATGAATACAACCCAGAACAATGAGCCCTCACTACCACTTGTCCTGTGTTACCTAGTGTGACCTGTGCGTAACAGACGGCGCTGTTCTCAGAGTTAGAAATCTCGCAGGAGTATTTCCCCACGGCTTCGATGCGGTCGCTGTTGAGGACCTCCAGAACGCAGGAGTTCTCCGTGGTCTTCACATTGTATTTGTAGCAGGCCCAGACAGGTTTCCCATCCTTTCTCCAGCTCACGTTGACTGGAGGGCTGGCACCGTAGGCGCAGTACAGCGACAGGGGGCGGCCGAGTGTGTACGTGGTGTCTTCCAGCTCTTTGATAAAGTGCACAGGTTCTACAGGAGGCAACGGGCATGTTAGTTAGTGGCAGGTTTGTGTAAGCAAGCAAATGCATGTTGAAGTCAAAGATAACTTAAATGTGTCATTTCTAAATGTAAAACTGACTGGTCGTCAGAGGCTTTACCTATCTTAACCATAGCATGGCAGATAGCAGTGCCCTCTGAGTTGGAAATCTCGCAAGAGTATTTCCCAGCGGCCTCTCGGCGGTCGCTGTTGAGCACCTCCAGGCTGCTGCAGGATTTGGTGGTTTTGACGTTGTATTTGTACGACGCCCAGATGAGTTTGCCGTCCTTCATCCAGGTCACGTAAATCCTCTGGCTGCCGGTGAACGTGCACTCCAGCATCAGAGGCTTACCCACTTTATAGAAGGTGTTCCTCAGTTTTCTCACAAAGCTAACAGGCTCTAAGAAATCAATTAGCAGTGTTGTGTTAGTGTTAGAAGAGAACAGATGACATGATATACCCTGTGATAAACATGGCTGTAAAGAGGAGAGGTGCTCAGGTGTGTTACCTAGTTTGACATTGGCGTGGCAGATATCGGTTCCCGCAGCGTTAGACAGTTCACACGTGTATTTTCCTACGGCCTCTTTGCGGTCGCTGTTGAGGACCTCCAGGACGCAGGAATCTTTGGTGGTCTTAACGTTGTACTTGTATGAAGCCCAGATGAGTTTACCGTCTTTCTTCCAGGTGACGCTCATCCTCTGGCTCCCGGTGTACGTACACCTGAGGCTCAGAGGTTCACCGAGTCTGAAAAGAGTGTCTTCCAGCTTTGTTTGGAAGCACGGCGGCTCTGAGAGGAGTAATGGTTGGGTTAGTTGCATGAAGCCTACAGTATGTTATGCTAGCAGGCAGATGGTGGTCTACACTTTATGTAACCCTACTTAAAGACCACAAACCGCTGGAATGCTCTATACAACAGGCGGACACAGTTAATAGTGGTGTGTTAAGAGTTGTGACTTTACCTAGGGTGACACGAGCGTGGCAGACGTCCGTTCCCGCTTTGTTGGAAATTTCGCAAGTGTAAGTCCCAGCTGCCTCTGGGCGGTCGCTGTTGAGGACGTCCAGGAAGCAAACTGAATCAGTCGTCCTAACGTTATACTGATAAGACGCCCAGATCATCTTGCCGTCCTTCTTCCAGGTGACGTAGACCCTCTGGCTGCCGGCGTACGTGCACACCAGAGTCAGAGGCTTACCAACTATGAAAGTAGTGTCTTCCAGTTTCTTGATAAAGCGCACGGGTTCTGAGAGAAGCAAGGCGTGTGTTAGACAGGTGGTTATACTGCCATGCATTTACTTCTAAGGCTGATTATGGATCACATTTACCAACAGTCAGAGAACTACTTAATGAAATGTGTATTTACCCAAGAGTTTATAACCAGAGAAAACATTATCATATATAAGGTAGGAAAACTCTGAACAAGACCACGCAGGGTTGATTTAAATAAAGTAGTATGTAAACAAGCATCACCTGTCACTGTCACGTTACAGCTGGCAGAGGCCGATCCGATCCGGTTATCTGCCGTGCAGACGTATTCACCATGATCAAACTTGGTGGTTTTGGTCAGTTTCAAAGTGGCAACACCTTTAGAGAACTCCATGGAGCAGATGTCAGATTTGCGGAGCTTCCCGCCGGCTCTAAACCAAGCTAGGGAGATGTCGGGAGTTCCTAAAATACTGCATTTCAAGGTAACCGCTTGGCCCAGACATACCTCCACTGGCTCCATCTTTTCAACAAAGTACGGTCGTTCTGAAGCAGAAGATGGTGGTTTATGATCACATGAAAGAATGAATTATTGACTGAATGAATAAACCCTTCATGCTGCTTCATTATTTTACCTAGAATTGAAATCTGTGCTTCGCATCTGTCACTTCCGACTCCGTTGTCTACTTCACAAGAGTATCTCCCGGTGGCCTCCACCCTGTCTGCGTTGAGGACCTCCAGGATGCAGGAGGAGTCTGTGGTGGTCACGTTGTATTGGTACGAGGCCCAGATGAGTTTCCCATCCTTCTTCCAGGTCACGTTGGTTCTGGGAGTGCCTGCAAATGTGACCCCGAGCAACAGAGGCTTCCCCTTCTCAGAGGAAACGTCCCTCAGTTTCTTCACAAAGTGCACCGGTTCTGAGAGAGGTAATTTCATCGTCAGTAACACGAAGCTCACTCAGAAGAAGAAGTTAAACAAGGATAATGCTAACAAACCTTTCACAAACAGGTTCACAGGGCAGCTCTCCTTCCCTGCGTTGTTAATGATCTGGCAGGTGTACTCTCCTGCGTGGGCCTTCTCCACCTTTTGGAGCAGCAAAGAGGCGACCCCATCCTTCAGGGCCAGCTCGCAGCCCCGGCCATGCTGCATCTCCTTGGCTCCCCTGAACCATTTCACCTTCAGGGGGGCGCTACCTTTCACTTTAGCCGAGAAAGACACGTTTTTGCCGGGCAGCGTTTCCTTTGCTTCTGGCTTTTCCACAAAGGATGGAGGTTCTGGGTTTCAAATAAAGAAGATGAGTTGTAAGAGATTTAATCACCATCTTCAAAGCGTCCACGTTGGGGAATTGACTGGACTCTATTCACGCCTACTGACCTGTCACATTCATGGAAGCACTGGTCTCACTGGCCCCTGCAGCATTTACAGCTTTACAGGTGTACTTGCCAGAGTCGGACATGCAGATTGTGGGGACTCTCAGTCTGCAGGTGTTATCGGTGCAGCTCATGTCGTAGTTCGGCCCGCTCTTGACCTCCTGGCCGTTGTGGAACCAGGAAGTGGTTAAAGGAGCAGAGCCAGCAACCTTACAGTCCATCTCGCCCGGCTTACCAACAACAAGCTGGGTGTCTCTCAGCTTCCTGATGAAGCTCGGTGGAATCAACTTATCTATTGTCAGAAAAACAACCAGTTATGAATCAATTCGGAGCTAACTTTTGATACAAAAAGTTCAAAATGTAAATCTAGAAACCTGACAAACCTGAGACGGAGAGTTTAGTTTTGCAAGAGGCGGTACCAACGTTATTGGTGATCTCTAGCTTGTACTCTCCGGCGTCTGCTTTGTCAGCAGAGCGGAGCTTCAGGACGGCCACCTTCTTTGTGAAGGACGTCTGGTACTTGGCGCCAGCAGACAGCACTTTGCTATCTTTGAACCACTTAACGTTCAGCTCTGGAGAGCCGGACACTCTGACCTCAAGAGAGACGTTCTCTCCTGACTTCACGTTCAGGGACTCTGGGCTATCCACAATAGCGGCGGGTTCTAAAAATCAGGGAAGAAGTTATTAATCTAAACAAATCCTGACCTGGTAGTTATGTACTAAAGTCTAGAGGAGGTCTACCAACCTAGAACCGTCACTTGGGAGACGGACTCCACAACGCCAGACTCGCTGCTCAGCCGGCAGGTGTATTTGCCAGCGGTGGTGGAGTCAGCTTTAGGCACCACAAGGGTGACCACATTATTCTCAAAGGTGATCTTCCTGTTGTCCCCATCTCTGAGGATGTGATCCTTGTCCTGCACCCAGGACACGGTCACGGCCTCAGAGCCTCTCACCGTGGCGCTCAGAGTCAGCTGATGGCCGACGCTCACCGTCTGGTCCACCAGCTTCTTCACAAACGTTGGTTTTTCTGAGTATTGATGGAGAGATGAAAGGTGAGCTAATCACTAAGACTAGATGCTAATGAAATGACCTTTGACTGTGTACTGACCTCTCAGGCTAATGGTAGTGCGACAGGTTGCACTTTCTACATTGTTGGACACTCTGCACTCGTAGAGGCCGGCGTCCTCCTGCTCCAGCTTCACAATGTGGAGCGCGGCTGAGCTGCCTTCACTGACCATCTTATACTTCCTGCTCTCCTTCAATGGCCGCTTCTCTTTGTACCAGTTAACCACGAAAGGCGGAGTGCCGTACACCTCACAGTGCAGGCTGGCCTCTTTCCCTTTAACGCCCTCTACGGGACTGGGAGTTTTGATAAAGGATGGGGACTCTGGAAGATATATCAGAGATATATTAATAAACTGCAGAACAATCCATGGGACATGATTTGTGGGTCAGGGTCATGCTCATATTCAGTCCATGGGACATGATTTGTGGTTCAGGGTCATGCTCATATTCAGTCCATGCGAGGGAATCCATCCAGACGCCAACAAGAAGTTCATTAGTGAAGAAATCAGGACTTAAAGCTGGAGCGCAGGACTTTTAAAAACAAATATACGTTCATTTTGAGGAAAACAGGTTCACAAAATAACGGGGAAGATTAGCGCTGTGTGTTCTGCAGTATGACGCAGATGTGCTGATGAACCTCGCCACATCTTCCTCGAGTCATAACGAGCATTTCCATCTTCTGAACGGCAAGTTTTCTACTTCTCTGAACATCCCTGTGTTCTCCAATATGGTAATGACTCTCAGAGGGGGGAGACAAACACACTGCACTCCAGCTTTGAGATGGAAAAACACAAGTCTTCTGGAGGTCATTCCACAAATAGGGAAAAACATGCCTAAAAAAAGAGAAACACTCATGCTGTCGAACACACTGGAAGAAAACAATCTGATTTCGCACTGAGACAGGGAGCAACTGTTTGTATCATGCTGACGTTTCCAAAAACACTCATAAGAAAAGGTCAAACTCAAGACGTAATATTAAAATCTGCATCACGGGGGGGTGTTCATTCCTTATTTTCATGCCACACAAGTTTAGAGGGACCACATGGACGTGAGGCAGAAACACCCGCTGGATAGCTGACCTTGGACAGTGAGCACGGTGCTGCAGCTCACACTGCCAGCATCGTTGTGCGCCTCACAGGTGAAGACGCCGTTATCCGCAAACCTGGTGCTTTGCAACTGCAGGTGTGCAGTCGAGTCGACAAACATCGTTTTATAGTTGTCTCCGTCCGTTATCTTTTGGTCATTTTTATACCAGCACATTTTCAGGGAGCGCGAGGCGATGGCCTTGCATTGGAAACGGTATCCCTCACACTGCTTCACAAACGTAGTGGGGGGGAGTTTCAGGACAAACTGAGGGGGCTCTGCAAAGTCAAAGAAAGATCAAGTTACTATGAGTGGATGAATGAATGGGAGGGAGGGAGGGAGGTGACTGAACACAACACAAACTCCTCGGGAGGAAAGAGGTGGTCAGGTGGAGGGAATAAAGAATAAGGAGCTTTTAAAAAAAGATGGAGTTATGATGGTGGGAGGACGATAAAAAAGAAGTCCAACCTTTCACCAACAACTCCACTGCAGAGTTCACAACGCCCGCTGCGTTGCTAACGTGACACGAGTAAACCCCAGAGTGCTGCATCCCGACGGCGGGGAGCTCTACGGACGAGGAGTATTCCTTCCGGCTGATCGAACACCTCGGCCCGGGGAGGAGCTCCATGCCATCCTTGAACCATTTCACCGTTAACGGAGAAGTTCCCTCAAAGACACTTCTGAAGAGCACCGTGGAGTTCTGAGCGACAGCCTGAGACTCGAGCTCAGCTACAAACCTCGGTGGCACTAAAACCCACACAGAAAGATGATTACTTCACAGGACTCACAGCCTCGGAGTACATCATGTATAACGTTTGGATGCTAACCTTTAGCGGTGAGCACTGCACTGCACACACAGCTGCCTGCAGCGTTCATCACTTTACAGGAGTACTCCCCCGTGTCAGCGCTCCCGCTCAGTTTCAACTCCAGCGACACAGTGTTTCCAACATGCAGGAGGTTATATCTGGAGCTCTTAGAGATGCCATCTTTCCCTTTGCTCCATTCAACAGACATTGGAAGAGACCCGGCAGCTTTGCACTGCAAGGTAACCACTGAACCCATGATGGCTTGAGTGTTTGTTAACTTCCTAACGAACGTCGGAGGGATTACTTCCTCTGTTCAGAGTGAAATTAAAAGATCATTAGAGTCAGAGAGAGAATCTGTTCTAAGGTATTTGTCCTAAGCTGTGGAGTATCTTCACAAACCTAAAACCAGCAGCAGGACTTTACAGCTGCAGGTCCCGACAGAATTGGAGGCCTCCAGCTGATACTCCCCCCCGTCCTGCTGCTCAGACGTCTGCATGCTAACACTGCTGAGGTTGTTCTCGTAGCAGAGGTGGAGCTTCCTGCTACACTGGAGCTCTCTGCCATCTTTAGTCCACCTCAACCTGATGGGAGGAGTTCCTGCTACCCTGCACTCCAGACTAACCGGGTCTCCACAGGTCACTTTGACTACCTCTGGCTTCTCTTGGATGGTTGGTGGTTCTAAAACACCGGGACAAAGAGGTGAGTGCACTTGTTGTAGACAGCATTAAAGCTACCTGTAATGTTATGCATGAAGCAGCAGTACCTTGCACGAGCAGGGAGGCAAAGCATGTGACCTGCCCGGCCTCGTTCACCACCTGGCAGGTGTACCCCCCGCTGTGAGTCGCCTCACAGGAGGGGATCCTGAGGACTGCCTCTTTGTTCTCAAACACCCTCTCAATCTGTGGACCCTCTGGGATCCAGGTCCCGTCCTTTAGCCAGTAGACACAGAGAGGCTGAGAGCCCTCCACTGTGCAGCGAAACAACGCCACCTCTCCCAGATTAGTGGATACATTCTCCATCTTCTTTACAAATGTTGGAAGGACTAATGCAAAGGAAGGATGTGGTTGTATTAACAGAAAGTGTTCAGAGGTGTAAAACTAATACATGTCAGTGGTATGTAAAACCAACCTTTCAGAGATAACACCGCAAAACTGGAACAACTGCCAGCCTCGTTGGCTACCATGCACTGATACGGCCCAGAATCCCCAGCGTTACAGTCCTGGATCTGCAAGCTCACATTTTCACCATCAGCGATGATATACTTCTTACTGGATTTGATTGGCTGTTTATCTTTGAACCATGTGACCTTAAACGGAGAACTTCCTCTCACTTTGCATGCAAACACAGCTGGAGAACATTTAACAACTTCCAGAGACGTCAGCTCTGCAGCAAACCGAGGAGGCTCTGAAATAGAGAAAGCAGAGGAACTGAAGCAGGCTGTGGTTTGTTTCAGTGAAGCAGGATTTATCTGTAACACGAGGGACACCAACCTATCACTTCCAGCTCCACGCTGCAGCTCTCTGTCCCGGCCTCGTTGGAGGCTTCACAGAAGTATTTCCCGCCATCATGCTCACTAACTTCCCTGATCTCTAACGTGGCTGCAGAGTTTTTAAACGCTGTCTGGTGTTTGACGCTCTGGTGCATCTCAGCTCCGTCTCTGAACCAGCGCACAGAGATCGGAGGAGAGCCCCCCACCTGACACTCAAACACCTGATTGCCTCCCACTCTGACCACTGACACACCCTCCGGTTTGTCAATGAAAAAGGGCGGTTCTGGAAAAGCACACACAGGAGTTATTGAGTATGGTGGTCGGAACAAAGTAAAGACTAGTGATAAAGAGACTAATATGAACCTTTCACAGAGAGTGTTGCCCGACAGGAAGTGGCGCCCACAGCGTTCTGTATCTCACACACATACTCTCCAGAGTCAGAAGCTTTAGCAGAGAGAAGCTCCAGAGAGCTGGACGAGGTGTGTCTGACCACAGAGCGATCAGCACTGGATATCATCTCCTTCCTGTTTGTAAACCATTTGATGGTCAGCGGTGGCGTGCCAGAGACGCCAACATGAAACCTAACCATTGACCCCAGCAACACACTCATGGACTCAGGCTTTTCAAAGATGCATGGTGGATCTGTTGGTGGATAACACTGTTGTTATAACTTGTAAAACAACATATCATATGTGAACCTGGTACAGAGTTGTGAGGATAAAGTCTAACCTTTGACCACCACCGCCCCGGAGCTCCGCTCTGATCCCGCCCTGTTTGAAGCCATGCACATATATCTGCCGCTCTCTGTACTGTCCACACCACTGATCTCCAGGAAAGCAACATTTTCAAAGAAAGAGCACTTGTGTTTATCATCAGAGCGGATCTCCTCCTCCTCTCTGAACCACTGTACTGTCATCGGCAGCGAGCCGGACACCAGGCACTCCAGATGAGCAAACGATCCTCTGATAGCTTCTATCTCCGTCAGCCCTCTCGTGAAAGACGGTGGAAACATCTGATCTAAGACATGCAGAGTGCAGAAACAGTGTTCAGCTGCTTGAATAAAGGAAATAGACTCATTAGAGTTATAAAACCTCTGAATAAACTGACCTAAGATAGTAACGGCTGCCTCACAAGAGCTGCAGCCGGAGGCGTTAGAAACCTGGAAGCAGTATTCCCCGCTGTCCCTGAGCTCTGTTTGACTGAGACACAGCACGGAGCTGCAGTCTGACCTCTGAACCCTGAACCTCCTGCCTGACGTCAGCTCCTGACCCGCCTTCATCCACCTGCACCTGAGCGGCTTGGTGCCTGAGAAGCGGCACTCGAGCCGGGCCGGGTCACCCTGCGTTACACTGACGGAGCTCGCTTGTTCTGAAATACTTGCTGGCTCTGGGATTGAACAAGTCCGACACACAGTTAGCTGCTACCACTGACAGGCGTTAAAGCGACAGAGTAAACAGAAAGCTGGACATGAAAGCAGAGAAGACAATAAAACGTCCTACAAACCTGTGACAATGAGCGCGGCGGCACATCGCTGAGTCCCGGCTCGATTCTGAGCCTGACACACATACTTCCCGCCGTGGGATATCTGAGCATTTCTCAAAATCAACTCTGCTCTTTGAGTTTCATAAGACATCTTAATGTGCTCGTCTTCTGAGAGCTCAATGTCGTCCTTGATCCAGCAGAGAGTCATGGGAAGTGATCCAGACAACAAACACTTCATAGTGAGCTCAGAGCCCACCATGCAGGACATATCCTCTAGTCTCTCAATAAATGAGGGGGGTTCTAGTGGGAGAAGACCACAGATCAGACTGTAGGAGGTGTACACAAACACACAGGAGCCACATGCACTAATAACATACTCTAAAAAGACTTCAGAAAACATTGTGTGGTGAATTGCACAGAAGTTGAACCCAGTTGGGCGCCATGTAAAGACATAACCTTGGTATGTTTTACTATCTGTTGACTAACCTTTCAGGGAAATCTGGCAAGAACATGAAGTGTCTCCGACATCGTTAGTAACCGAGCACCGGTACGTGCCGGCGTCAGCCATCTCACACTTTGAGATGTGAAGAGTGACCGTGTCGTTCTCAACACTGACTTTATGTCTTTGGTCGTTTCTGATCAGCTTCTCATTCAGGAAGCAGTTTATTTCGTATGGAGGGGAACCTGAAACGAGTCCTTCCAAGAAAATGTGGGCTCCCTTTACGAGCTCGGCTGATTCAAAAGACCTCACAAACTCTGGAGGGTCTACAAGACAAAGATGGTAGATGGTAAGTTGAAAGGCAACAGAGGAATGAACAGTAGGTTCTAGGTCAGTCTGGTCCACAGAGTTCATTCAGCTGTTCAGAGACTCCAGGGTAAGCTCCAAAGGTAATGCCTTTTCCAAATAAGAAGATGTTTAAGATCTGATTAGAAACTCTGATGAATGGAGTCTTTGAAAGACAGGAAGTCCTGCCAGTGTCTGCAGCATTGAACAGAAACATGTGGACCAGACTTCAGGCCTGTATTAAGTCTATCTTTCTAGGGTGAACTCTGAAATCTGAACCAACCTTGGACCGTGACGGAGCTGCTGCACTGGTCGCTGCCGGCCTCGCTGGACGCCGTGCACACAAACTCTCCACTATCCTGCACGGAGCAGCTGTCCACCTCCAGAGACGCTACAGAGCTCTCAAAGGACATGCAGTGTCTGCGGTCTGCAGAGATCTCTGAGCCATTTTGAAACCATTTGATGGTAATAACAGGCGTGCCTTGCACTTTGCAGGACAGCTTTAGAGGCTGTCCGCTTTTCAGCAGCTGTGAAGGCTCAAGCTTCATTGTAAATGTTGGGGCTTCTGTAATTGAACAGTAACAGTTACAGTAGAAACAAGAAGTAAAGAAAATCACAGTTCAGTGCAACACTTTAGAGAAGAGAGAAGGAAACAGCACCTTTCACAAAGAGGACTGCGGTGCAATCCACCTTCCCAGCATCATTGGACACCTGGCAGGTGTATTTAGCCGAGTCACTGGGTTTCACAGACTGAAGCTCCAGAGAGCTGGAAGAGGAGTCTTTCTTTATGAAACACTTCCCCCCAGTGAACACCTCCTTCTCCTCTCTAAACCATTTAACCACCAGAGGAGCGGATCCTGTAAAGGCTGATTTGATCACAACATGTGAGCCCGGTGAGGCGTCCTGGGACTCGGGTCTCACCGTGAAGGCCGGAGGTTCTGGAGTTATTTGGGAAGAAACAGAGCAAACAGAGCCTTTCAATACCTTCTGATGGTTTGTACAGTCGCTGTTTAAGCTGATGTTAAAGGGACTGCTCTAACCTTTAATGGACAGAGTGCCGCTGGTCTCTTTTTGTCCGGCACCATTAGCCGCCCGGCAGGTATAAACTCCCCCGTCGCTCAGTGTCAGGCCCGTTATCGTCACTGAGGCTTTAATCTCAGTGAAGTCAACCTTATATTTGCCATCACTGTGGATCTCCTTTTCATCTTTGAACCAGTTAACAACCATGGGCTGAGATCCAGCCAATCGGCACTCCAAGGTGACATTACTACCAACACTGCCGTCCACCTTCTTCAGAGCCTTGGTGAAGGATGGTGGGACGGCTCGATCTGTGGAAGTATATCAAACAAATGATTGCCTGTCTCTATCTCTTCAGAATGAAACACTATTTGGTTCTCACACTAACCTAGCACAGTGACGGAGCTGCTGCACTGGTCTTTGCCCACTTTGTTGGAGACCTCCATCCTGTACTCTGAAGAGTCTCCCTTATCTGCCGAGAGGATCTTTAGAACGGCGGTGTTTTCCTTGACGCTCGTCTTATATTTACGGCCACTGATCACCTCCTTGCCGTCTTTGAACCATTTCACTGTGAGCTCTGGGCTTCCTGTGATGGTGCACTCCAGTGTGGCCGAGTCTCCTGTGCTCACACTGATGGAGGCGGCTCTCTCTAGGATGCTAGCAGGCTCTATAACACAACACGGTTTATTAATGTCTACATCTGCAGAATACTTCTAAAGAGAGCTGCAGGAATCAGCCCCGAAGTCCCCTGGTCTGGAGGTCCATGGTTTTCTGAATGTGTTTTTGGTTGTTATCCTGAAGTAAGGTCTGTGGTTAACACTAGCTGAAGACATTTTCACGCTTTGCTCTACCACATAAGCCAACATTAGCCGCCTTTAGCTTAGCGCTGGCGACGTGAAGTCATGTGACCGGTAGTTCCTTTATAGCCTAACGTTAGCTTTTTACTTCAGAAATCATAAAGTAGCGTTAATATGTGGAGATTATCCTTTTGAACTAAACGTGTAAGTATCAGAAACGTTTCGTTTTTTTGAGTTGTTTGAATCCAAAATCACATGGAGAAATCCCATTGGACCAGGAGATGCTGCCTTCAGGGTCCTGCAGCTCTGTATTATTCGGAAATGTCTCTAACCTTGAATTGTTAACACAGCTTCACATTTCTGCTGTCCCGCCTCATTCTCAGCAAGGCAAGTGTACTTGCCGCCATGTTTAATGTCGCAGGATGAGAAGGAAATGCAGGCAACGTTGTTCTCAAAAATCATTTTGATGGTTGGATCATCGTCTCTGAGCAGCTCAGAGTCTTTCATCCATTTCACAGTGATGGGTGTGGAGCCTTTGAGGCTCCCCTGCAGCTTCACTGTGTTTCCCAGCACCGCTGTAGCACTCTCAATCCTCTTAGAGAACATGGGAGGCTCTGCAATAACAGTGATGATATTAACAACAGCCCACAGTATCTGAAGTAAGAGTCCTTTATTTCTCTTCATCACTAACCTCTCTGTTTAGCCAGTGACTTGGCGGTGACGGACCCCACCTCGTTAGAGACCACACACTCATACTCCCCAGCGTCAGCGCTCTCGAAGGAGTGGATCTCCAGAGAGCTCAGGGCTCCCTGAGACAATATGCGGTACTTCTTATCTGTCGACAGGCGCGTCTTATTCTTTTTCCAAGACACTTCGAATGGTGCCGAGCCGGATATCTCACACTCCAGCACCGCTACAGATCCTCGGACCGCCTCTAATGAAGGGGTCTCCTTCCTGAAAGAGGGCGGCTCTACAGGGGACAGATGGCTAAGTTAGACTAAAGGCACTAAAGGGTCCAGTTCACAAGGTCCTATTGGCTGGTCCCAATCAGAGTGATGTATATACTTCATTACTATTTATTTATGTTTCAAGGTATGCAAATGTAAGCGGACCAAGTTCAAACTATATTTCCTGAGGGGCTTGATAGAAGTAGCAGGGCCCGAACATGGAATAGTCTATCTTTCTGGCCATAGTTTGTCTTACATTTACTTTGCACTTATCTCCTGTCTGCAAAAGCCCCGTCTACTCCAATTCATCTCAGGAACATTATAAACGTCACTGTTTTTGTGGATTTAATTTAGGAGAAGATGAAGCGTTTGTTGTTTTGGCATCAGAGATTGATCCATGAACTCAACCAAAGGCACCACACAGAAACAGACTACATCTGCCTAGCTGTGGTTCTGTGTAACTCAGCCTACACACCTTTCACTGTGACCTTAGTGCTGCAGCTCTCACAGCCCGACTCATTGAGCACCTCGCAGGTAAAGTTCCCGCTGTCACTCAACGTGACGTCCTTTATCTCAAGAGTGGTGACCCCGTCCTTCAGACTGATCTCGTGCCGGCCGCCTGCTGACAGCTGGCTGTTATTAAAGAACCATGAGGTGTGGAGTTCAGGCGACCCTTTGACGGAGCACTGCAGCCGGGCGGTGCTGCCCTGTCTCCAGGCCGAACTCGCCTCCAGCCTCTTTACAAAGACCGGTGGCTCTGCAGAGCAGGTGGTGAGAAAGAACCAGTATGAAGAGGGGATTCAAAATAACAACCAAGAAGAAAGGGAGCATATTCAAAAAGAAGAAGACATGACAGAATACATGGTGTTCATTTTCAGTACTACAGATTTGCAATAGCTTCAAATGCTGCAGTGATCATGAAAATGAACTAGACAGCTCTTACCTTGGACTTTCACTGAGGTGGAGCACGAGGCACTCCCTGCTTCATTTGTCACTGTGCACACATAATGCCCACAATCTCTCAGTGTGGTCTTTAGGATATCAAGAGTAACGGTCTTATCCTCAAAGGACAGTTTACAGTCCGGAGACTGGTGCACCTTTCTACTGTCTCTTGTCCAGGACACCGTGACCCCGGTGTCCTCATCCACCTGAGCCTCCAGGTGCAGAGGGGCTCCGACCACAGCAGCCATAGGGCCCAGAGGCTGCACAAAGCTGGGCTTATCAACCACCCGCAGCTCCATGCTGCTCTCAGCTGAGCCAACACTGTTGGACAGCTGGCACACATAAAGCCCCTGATCTGAAGGCTCCAGCCGGGTTATCTCAAGAGTGTGCTTATTCTTTTCACAAGACATTTGGTAGTATGTCGGCACTTTGGGCAAGGCCTGGCTGTCTTTGAGCCAGACCACATTCAGTGGAGCAGATCCTGTTATCTCACACTGTATCAGAGCCCTCTTTCCAACAAACACTGTCTGAGGGTCAGGTTTAGTTATAAAGGCGGGGGGGCATTGCTCTAAAAGGATTAGGAAAAACAGAAAGACATTAGTAGAAACATGTTATACCTGGTTCTGGACCAACACCTGCCGGTTGGACAGAAGCTCTCCAGCAGAACAAGAACAGGTTCAACCAACCAAACCACAGGATGAAACAAACCCAAAACCAGCGAAGAAGAAGGAAACGTGCTTTGCTCTTACCCGTCACTTTGAGGGAGGCGGAGCATTCGTCAGAGCCGTGCTGATTGGTCGCCTTACAGGAGTATTGACCACTGGCCTCTCTGTTGGGGCTCAGCAGCTCCAGAGAGGAGGTCCTGAAGCGACTGATAATCCTGTATTTATCTCCTTCTTTGATGGGCTGACCATCTTTGAACCACTTGAAGCTCACATTCGGAGCGTCTTCAGTTTCACATTCAAACTTGGCAATGTTGCCAGTGTTGATCTCCACAGGGGCGATCCTGTGCCTGAACACAGGCTTCACTGTGGAGGAAAGTAGAAACACAGTTAATACGCAGAGTGATGAGACATGGAAGATGAATGTTTGTACTGGTGGTTGGATGGAGTGAACCTGGATGGGAAGTGAAACACATGGTAGTGCTGCTGTGACCGTGGAGGAGAAAATGGTATTAGGGTTGAAGATGTGATGAAACTGTGACAAGAAGAGCAGAGAAAGCATGCAAAGAGGAATGGACCAGGAAGCAGGACTGATGGAAGATGTAAGGTATGGAGCCAAAGGTGATTCTTTAAGAGGATAAAGGAATGGTTGTGGGGTGATTTGTGGAGGAATGGACCAAAGTGTCGCTGCTGTTTGTTAAAAACCTTAAACATCCCAATATCATTTTGCTTAGCAAACACCCAAAGAGACCTTTTCAGTTTTTTAAGATTAAGTCGGACACTAACTAGTAGTTCATTATAAAATTTGGTTGAGGTTTACAGACAGCAGCTTCAGAAACTGTGAGGTTAGTTGATGATTGTAAAGAACGGGCCATCATCAAACCTCTGGAGACCACAGTGAGTCGTGAAGACGTTGTCGTCCTGCCGGCCTCGTTCTCAGCCTCACAGACAAACTCCCCCTGATGCCTCTCCTTCACCACTTTGTGGATGACTAGTGTGTATGTGTCTTGGTCTGCAGAACACTTGAACTCTTTTCCAGATTTCAGCAGTTTACCGTTAAAAAGCCAGTTGACTTTGGTGACGTATTTTATGGTTGCAGTAAAAACTGCCTTACAATTTTCCTCCACGCAAACATCTTCCAGAGAGCTAACGACAACGGGACTGTCGGAGGACTCGCTGATCATGACGGCCTCTGAGAGATACTCCTCTCTGGTTTCTCTGTGGACACTAACATCCACAAGATGTTCAGCAGGGATCTGACCCACGGGCCCGGTTCTGGTCGCCTCGGCGGCGCCGGCAGTCCTCTCTGAACGGACCGTCTTTCTGCTCACCTGCCGCGACTCGTGAACCTCAGTCCGGCTCTGAACCGTCGCACTTTGGAAGGAAGCACTGGCTTCTGTTTTGACGGCTGCGGACTGAGACACATTGGGAGGAAACCCAACGGCGCTCTCTGCCAACACTTTGGTGTCCACCACAGACGATAAGACCTCTGTGGAGGACGCTGAGCTGAGCACCGCTTTCTGAGGCTTGTCGATCTGCATGGTGCCCGGCTGCTCTGCGGCGAGACTCTGCTGCTCCTGGAAGACCAGAGCATGCAGAGCGACCTGCAGTTCAGACCTGAGGTCAGCCGTCTGAGGGTATTGCCCTTCAAAAGACACAGTGATCTCCATCGGGACGCCTGGAGATGTGATCAGATATGTAGATGAGGCCCGTTTGGGCTCTCTCTGAACCTTCACCTCCTGCACTTGCACCGCCTCTAACCGGCCCACGACGTCAGCCAGAAGCACCGGCTGATCGCTGGCCACGGCCGACTGCAGAGCGTCTCTGAGCTGACGTCGTATATTCAGACTGGACGCTTTGGGGATCTGAATGATGAAGTTGAGCTCTTTGGGGAGAGTCAGAGCGTCCTGACACTCGTGGACAAACAGAGGTCCTTCAGGCTGGGTCAGGACGCTGACGATCGAGGCTTCAGACTTATGAATCTCATTGGACTGCTCTCCCATAATGACCTGTTTCTCTTCTAACAGCACAGACTGTCGCACTGACTGTCCTTCTTGGATCTGGACTGCAAAGTCCTGCTCCGCTGCTTCTAAGATAGTACAGCTTTCAGTAGCAACTGCCTTCTCCTCTATAAAGATAGTTTTCTTGGGGATTTTAGGTTCAACCTTCATTGCAGGCTTGCATTTCTCATCAGCTTGAATGTTGTCGGTGTGACCCTCTTCAAGGCTGTGAGTGTCTGTTACATTCAGAGACTGCTTGATGTTCCAGCAGTCCTCTTTCTGTACCAGCGCTCGCTGTTGCTGAACGTCAGTAATGATTGGCGTCTCCTTGGGTAGCGCCATCTGCTGGCAGGAGACCGTGAGGATGTTTAGAGGCCGGGGCTCGGTCCGAAGCTGGGTCTGAACCCCGGTCACCGACACATCCAGATCTGAGTGATAATCTGCTGTGATCTCCCGCCTCTCCTCTGAGCTAGCTGCATGCTTCCTAGCCTTTTCCTGTTTCTGTGCTGCCACCTGCTGGTCAGGTTTGGAGACAGTAATTATCCCTTCCTTTGGCAGAACTGATAGAGAGTGAACTGACTGGAGGTATTTAGTTGGCGGTGACTCTTTCTTCGGCTGAACGGACACCGCGGCAGTCTTTGCTGAGAACTCTGAGCTTGCCTCACAAACCGCTGTTCTGTGGTCTTCTTCAGTCACTGAATGCAACACAGTGGGACTCTTCCTGGCCTCCGCCTGCTCTACAGGAGGCCTCTCACTGCTGAACCTGCCCTCAGACTGCAGGACATCCTGGTCACTGATCACCTGCAGGTTCAGGAGTCTTTCTCCCTCCTGCTGAGGCTGCAGACTCACAGACGAGTCTAAACCCGGCAGCCGCCCTGCCTGCTCCCCCTGCAGCTGGTACGTCTCTTCAGCAGATACCGCTGATTTATAGAGAAAGTCTTTGTGGGGGGTGATGCTCTCCTGCTCTGGTCTGTGGATTTTAAACTCCTGCTCTTTGGATAAAGCCAGCCGGGTCTCACTCACTGGTGCTACAACTGGTTTAGATTGTTCTTTCTCAATCAGAGGCTGAAAGGCTGCATCTAAAGCTGGCAGCGGCTCTGAGTGTCTCTCAGTGACGGGCAGCTGCCCTGCAGACTGAGCCGAGTATAAGATCTTAACCCCTTCTGTGACCCTGAAGCTCCTCTCCTCCTCCGGTCTGAGGGTCACGCCCGAGGTTTCATCAAGGATCGGCAGATGGGTGTCCACTTGGTGACCGCTAACGAGCTGCCGGGCTTCCATACAAGTGCTGACCTGCTCTGGGACCCGGTCTGTCAGGGCCTCGGCTCTCACGGAGCTGAGAGGCAGGACCTGTTGGGACGTGGCCGACATCAGCTTTGTCAGCCTCTCTTTGGCCGGCTGGAGCTCTACGATCTCTGGGCTGAGGATCCGCTCGGAGTGCTGCTCGGTGATCTTCTGCCTCTCCTGGACCGAGGATAGGAAAGTGGCCATGTGAAGCTGTTTCACGGGAACAGCTGATACCTGAGGGGGGTGGGTGGGCGCCACAGAAACCCTCTCCTGTATGTGGTGCGCCTGCAGCACCGCGGCCTGCTGGGTAATCTGCTCACGGTGCAGGGTGGCGGCGGAGATATCCAGCTCTCTGAGGGTGCCCACCTCCTCACTAGGGATAATCTGCCGGTCCTCAGTACTGATGGTGTAAATCATCTGGTCTGACAGAGTCCTTTTCTGGTATAATCTGGACTCTGTGGTTTGTTCGGTCATGGATATTTTCAGACCTTTAGTCTTCTGAGCTGTGGACACCAGCAGCTCTGCAGAACAGGAGGCCTCCCCATGGTGGTTGGAGGCCTTGCAGGTGTACACGCCGCTGTGCTCTAGTTTGACTCCTTTGATGTTAATAAAGCCCGATCCATCTGGGTTGTTCACAATGATACAGAACCCACCGGGCTGAATGTGCAAGCTGCCTTTAAACCACTGAACGCAGGGGAAAGGGTCTCCGATCACGACGTACCTAAAAAACGCCTGACCGCCCTCCGACAGCTGCTGGGACTCGATGGCTTTAGTGAACTCTGGAGGGTTCCCTGCTGCTACAAAGCTCTTCCTGTCTACTCTCTCCTGCTTGTCTGGCTCCTTCACCTCAACATGCAGGTAAGAAGTGCAGGTGGACTGGCCAAATCTGTTGCTGACGGTGCAGACGTACTCACCCTCAAACTCCCTCTGAACCCTGTTAATCACTAAGCTGTACTCGTCTCGCTCATGGACCAACGTGTACACGGAGGAGCTCGTTATGTTCTGCCCATTGTGGAGCCACTGCACCGTGGGCTTAGGGAAACCGGACACCGTGACGGTAAACCTAGCAGTTTCTCCGATAGTCACAGCGGCTGGAGAGAGTTTGCTGAGGAAAACTGGTTTCTCTTTTTTCTTCTCCAAAGAACTGGAGAAACGTTTGGAATCTGGTTTGAGTTCAAGTGTTCTGGTTTGATCTGGGAGCTTTAGGCCGGTGTAGTACGAGTCCCGGGTTTCCTCTTCCACCACGAGGGTTGAGCTAGAGAAGGCTTGGGGTAATGACAATCAAAAGTTAAGTCAGACATGCAATAACAGTATAATCTATCACACGTCAACTTTAATGTGGAGAGAGACAACTCTGTCCTCCGATGGAGACAGAGAGACAACTCTGTCCTCCGATGGAGACAGAGAGATGCAGTTAGCTTGATATACAATCTGCAGGTGGATCCTGAGTTAAAGAGGCCCTATTCTTCTTCTGTGGTGTTCGATCTCCTGTAGTTATATAGGTGATAGTGCATGTAAATGGTCTGCAAAGGCTCAAATCCATGTGTCCCTGTTTTGGAAGTATGGTTTGCACAAGTGTAAACAACTTCAAAATCACATCAAATGGACTTGATGAGCCGGCAACCTGCAAAGAAACAGTCATAACAAAGTAAATCCTCATTAGAAACAGTTTACATCGCGGACGATATTTACCTTTCAAATCGTCGTGGACCTGAGCTCCAGGTTTCTGCTCCTCTGCAGTGACTGTAGAGACACAAACGGTCACAAATTAAAATCACTCTCCAAACTGGACACAACGTCTTATATGGTGCAAGACTGTTAGAATCAGTGACAGCTCGTGCATCCATATATTCCCTTTGCCTTCATTTGACTAAAGTTCTTGCATGCTTCCCCTGGACCCTAAGTGTGCAGCAGCACCTCGTGGTATGAGTGTCCCTGGCTCTTATTAAGTCAGTAAAGCGGGACCCAAAGAGCCTCCGGGCCCCGAGTGAAGCAGTGAGTCTCTGCTGGCTGTGTGGGAGAGCAGTGTGAAGGGCCAGAGAGAGGCCGAGAGAGCAGAAGGACCAAAAGCATGCAGATGCCAACCTTTCATCACTTTGCTGCCGGACTGTTTGAAAGTGGGTCCCACAGTTTGAACATTCACTCGGCACAGGGGGCCGTCATGTTTCACAGAGAAAGACACAGAGTCCTCAACACTCAACCGCTTGTAAAGCCAAATGACAAACGGCGTGGGGAGCCCCATCGTAACGCAACACAGGGGGGCGCTGTGGGGGCTCCTGAGCAGCTCCGGGGGGAGTTTGATGAGGAAGTCGGGGGAGCCTCGCTTGTCCTGAGGGAGGATGTCCGGGAAGTGCATCTGTTTGATGAGGCTGTAGGGAGGAAACTCCCCCGGACTCTCCGCCTCCTCCGGCTTATCGGGCTCAGGGAGGTCTCGAGACCCCCTGTCTGTCTGAGACACTTTACGCACAGAATCGATAGGGATTGGGGTTTCTGCTTTGAGATTCGCTTCTTTGGCTGGGTGAGATAAAGTTAGAGTCATTAGAGAGGATAACTCATTAACACTAAAGGGGTTAGTAGGATGGATGGGGGGGGGTTAGGGAGCGGAGCTGGAACAGCGGGTTATTCTACATCCTGCCGGTTACAGGTAGGGATGCCCCGACCCAGCGGCAAGTAGTCAGGAAACAAACATGTATAATATATAAAAGAATACTATATACTCTGATAACGCTACAGAGTGAACAATAACACTAATGCCAACAGAGGTCGCGTTACATTGTGATGTTTTCTGTGTTCAGAACAAATGAGTAGAATATAATGTTATCATGATGTGTTAAAATGTTATCTTGTAAAATGTAGGTTTTGTTAAACAAATTCAGATATTAGAGGGAAATATGACGTGTTAAACTTCCAAACATTAGCAGATTATATACGCTAATATATATATATATATATATACTACGTCTTTATAACTACTAATACATATATTAAGAAAAATGCATTCATTATTTATTTCCTTATCATTTCAATTGTTTGCTTCTATGCAAAATAACCAATATAGATGTCAACAGAAAACTAAAGGATAACCTTTAGACTTTGGGATGGTTAAATATATCATTTATAATATATATGTCTTCCAGCTGCTATCAGAAAACAAAGAAGGCTTGTTTGGGTGGATAAGGCTCGATCGGGGCATCTCTATCTACAGGCTGAGAGGAAATGAAGAGGCGGGGAGAAGAAGATGGAGCAGGGGGGGTTGGATGGACCAGATGATAAAAAAGAAAGAGTAAGCACCTTCCACGGTGAGCTGGGCGGAGCAGCTGTTCTGTCCGTGCTGGTTGGCGGTGGTGCAGCAGTACAAACCCTGATCCAACACGCCAACGCCCTGGATGACCAGGGACAACAGCCTGCCCCTCTGAGAGCTCCTCACCCGCTCACAGTCCACCACACTGTGGCCGTTATGATCCCACGCCACCCCGGTGAAGGGCTGCCCCTCCACCAGGCAGCTGAACTCAGCCATCTCGCCGCTTTGCACCTGGATGTCGCTCATTTCCACCAGCAGCCGGGGGCGGGCTGAGCTCTGAAAGCTGCTCTCAGAGCTCATCTCCACCGAGCTCTGCGTCTCAACCGTCCTCCAGGACAGGGACGAGCTCTCAGACAGCGTCTCAGTAAAAACACTCTGACTGACACTCCCGCCGATCATCACACTAGCTAAGGCTGTCCCATCTGGGCAGTAAAGAGAGTAAAGAGTTAGGTCAACACAGCATCATTCTTCCTCAGGTGTTTCAGGAGCTGGAGGAGCGCTGAGGTCAGTCAGGATCAGTGGGGGGGTGACAGACTGCGGCTGCTTTCCACCGTCAATCATGCAAGCTTGACTGGAGCCAAGTCAAAACCAAATAAAAGCTAAGGACTAAGTCCGTGCTCGAGCGTGAGGAACCCAGAGTTCAGCTCTGATGGAGCATGCTGCATTCCTCTGAAAGAAAGAGTCGTGATATTTGGTGAAGGAAGAGAGACGCTCATGCATCACGTGAGAGAAGAACCCTGGAAGATCACCTGTGCTCAGTGAGAGGTCAGAAACAGAAGCTGATACAGATATCTGTGGGCATGCTATCAGAGTTAGTTGAACTGTACCAGCAACAAAAGAAACATTAAACACACTTCCTGAAGGCTGCTTGCACAAAGATGTTGTTGTCTGTAAAGATAGAGACAAACTCATTTGTTGATGTTAAGGATGAACTCTCCAGTCCCCAAATAAGAGAGTCTGGAGTCCCCCAGGGAAGCATCCTGGGGCCTCTTCTATTCCTAATGATGTCATATCAAGTGATGTATTTTTCTATGCAGATGACGTAGCTTACTAGTTTAATAGATAAGAGTGTGATGCAAACCCGAAACACAGAGCTTATAATGGTTGATAATTAGGTGAAGTTATAATACATTCTCCATCTATCTGTTCTGTCAGAACTGAGCCTGGTTTATTTGGGTCTAGATGTTATTTAAAGAGATCCTGATGTCTTTGTGCGACCAGCCGCAGGAGAGCGAACACACTTCACCCTGATGAACCATGCAGCCTTTTATTGGCTCAATAAAGGGCTTTGATTTGTTCCAAGCATGCTTCTTTATATATTTGAAGCATGTAGTGGTTGTTAAGGACATAATAGAAATCTAAATATGATATAACACTTTCATTGTTAGTTCGAGACACCTATAATCCTCCGTTAGCTAACAGATCATTTCAGATTCAGTTTCTAAATGAAAAAAAGAGCTTGAGAGGACTCTGGTAAGGGCTATACTCGCAAAAATGCAAAAGGATAAAAAAAAGACGGGCAATTAAAACGCAGTGTACAGACATTGTGGAAATATCTAAAGAGACCTGTTTGCAGATTAGAGGGACTCGCTTTGGATGAATGTATCTTCAGCAGGCTGTAAAATGGAGCTGATTTCAACATATAAGACCAAGAGAAGACATGTTGAGCTGAAGACCAGCATGGTGGTTAAACATGCAGCAGAGTGTTTGACTCATGCAGGGTGAGACAGTTAGATCTGGAGCCTGGATCACTCACCGTCGATATTCAGAGTCGCAGCACAGGTGACCCTTCCTGCTGCGTTTGAGGCCATACATGAGTACTCTCCCTCGTGCTTGGAGAGGGTTTTAGAAATGTCCAACTGGTAGGTTTCACCAGAACGAGACATCCTGAAGATGTCTGAGTCCCTGACCTCTCTGTCGCCACAGAACCAGGAAACCTGCAGATCTGCAGACACATGGTCACTCAGCAGCGTAACACCACTTATGATCAGAGGACTGCAGACATAATGTTCTGACAGCATCTCTTCTTTAACCTGTTAAGCCCCGAGCCTGTTTTTCAGGTTTCAGGCTCGAAAATGACATGCCCAAAACAAATGACTACAACTTCACTTCTAAAAGGGTTATATGAATAATTTCTTTTATCAAAGCAAGGTTACATCTGTGAGTTGGATGTACAAGTGTCAGAATCAATATAGATTTTTCTCAGTCAGAGTAAATTCAGATGGAACATAGTAAAAAAAGGTAAATTCTTTCCTCCGCCTAAAGAAAAAACATTACTTATAGTGAAAACCACCCTTGAATGATGGGATGGTAGACTAAAAGCTTTAGGAATCCAAACTATAACATATAATAAGTACCCTGTATCAAGATTGAGGCAAAACAAGTGACATTTGACCTTTTTAGAGAGATTTAGGTTTAGCAAAAAAAAGTTCCAGGCGGAATAAGCTTTGGGCACATTTGGGCACATTTGGGTACATCTGGTTCCATCAGTGCCATTTGACCTTTTTCAGGTACCAGACTATAAAAACGATGTATTACATTGAATTATCACCATAGGTATTCATTCCATCCAAAGAAAAAAATTTAAAATTAATAAAGCCCCGGCTTTGGGGCTTAACAGGTTAAACCAGGCGTGTTCCCTACCTTGCCCAGAGACAGTGCACTGGAACTGGGCCTGGAACCCCTCTGCGACCAGGAGGTCCCTCATGGGGGCTTTGAGCACCGGGGCAGAAACCCGGGATTCAGTCTCGTGAACTGAAGACAAACACATGAGCAGTGGTTATCAAGCAGGTTGTTTGTCACGTTTCAATATTTAACAAGACTTGGTCAAAACTTTCTCACCATTAGCTGTGTTTTCATTATTGGATGATATACCTAAAAGGTTGCATCGAAACAGCAAAACTCAATAAAACTTGCTCAATTTAAGAAAAGGACTTGAGGTGGGTTTCCATTTGTGTAAAAAGAGTTCATGCTAATTTGAAATTCTTCTGCAGAATAAGTTCTTACGTCTCATGGCTGATCAGCTGTTTCTGCCAATAAATATATTATTTTGTCAACATGAAACATAGTCAATTCACACTGACCTAGGAGAAGAATTAAAACCTCCTGGAGGTAAGCAATACTGATATATTTTACTATATTTTTTAATGTTATTATAGTTTTCTTAAAATAGTTCTCTATCTGTGGTTTACATTTTTGTTTTACCTTTATGTATGCACCACGACACCAAGTCAAATTCCTCGTACGTGTGAACCTACCTGGTAATAAACCTGATTCTGATTCTGATTCTGATTCTGATTCTGATTCTGATTCTGATTCTGATGTAGAGCGTACCTTCGACCGTGAGGGTGGCGGAGCTCATGGCCTCTCCAAAGTCGTTCCTGGCGGCACAGCTGTAGACGGCGGCGTCCTCGGGGAAGACGTCCAGCAGCATCAGCGTGTGCTCGTTCTCGTCATGGAGAATCTTGCACTTTGAGTCTGTGATCAGCATCTGGGAGTCTTTGTACCAGGAGACCGTGGGCATCGGCAGGCCGCTCACCTGCACCGTGAAGCGTACCGAGCGCCCGGAGGAAACGGTCTGAGGCTGCATCTGCCGCTCGATCTGAGGAGGCTCCGGCACTGAAGCACACACAGAAACCTCAGAATACAGGACAACAGATGTATAGCATTGAAAACATGGAGGTGGAGGTGGAGGTCACTCACGCCTGACATGGAGGTTCATGGTGGTCCGGTTCTTCCCGGCGATGAAGGTGTATTCTCCGGCGTCGCTCCTGAAGGTCTCGGTCACGGTGAGGCGGTGAATCCTCCGGATGCAGACGTAGTTGAAGCGCTGCTCCACAGAGAACTGGATCTCCACTCCGTTCCTCAGCCAGCGGCCCTCCACCTCATCCTCGTTCACCTCCAGCTCAAAGGTGGCGCGCTGCTTCTCCACAACCTGAAAATAAACCAGACTTTAATCCGGAGAACTGAGATCCAGGAGGTCTGCTATAGTTGTAATGTTTCTGAATGCTCTTAATGTCTCTAAAGCACTTTGAATTGCCTTGTGTTGAAAGGTGCTATCTAAATACACTTGCCTTGCCTCGCCTTGCATATAGTTATATCTGTATATCATTTTTGTTTTATCTTTCATTTTTTTAATCTTTAATCTTGTGCGATTCTGTGCTGTCCTGTTTTTCATTCTTACCTTTTGCTGAAGAAACCACATCTCATGTTATCTTATATCTGCAGCTCTGTGTGTTTCATATGATGATCATGATTCTACTCACGGTGATGTCCCTGCTGGCGGGTTCGGAGATCTTGATGTCCCGTCCCAGGACCCCCAGCGAGGCCTTGGACATGCTGGACCCGGCCACCGCGGTGTACTCTCCGGCGTCAGAGAGGCGTACCGACTGCAGCAGCAGCTGGTGGGCGAACTTATCTGAGGTAATCTTATATCTGCAGGAGACACAGCAGAGGCAGTCTGTCAGGAGGCTGTTTGGGAAATATGTTCCTAGGCCCATAACAATAATAATAATGCATGACACTTATATAGCACTTATAACTTTGACCCAGTTGATCAGACTGCACTGCCCTCACTGAGCACCTGCAACCTTGGGCTGCTCTCAGTGTGTTGTCTCCCTGTTCCTATATATATATGTTTTATCTCGTTATGCACAATGTTGATTATTCACTCTAATAACTCAATACATGGGTCTGAGGTAGAGATCTTCAGAATTGGCTTGGCAGCAGCTGTGTCAGTGTCAAAGCTCCTGCTCTCTCCGTGTCTCTCCGTGTCTCTCTGAGTCTCCATTGATCCAGAAGTTTCCATCACAGAAACCTTATTGTTCACCTGTCTGTGTGTCGGTGTGATCGGGGAAGGGCTTACCTGTCGCACATCTCCAGCTCCTGGCCGTCCTTCATCCACATCACCTGCACGTTGGGCTCGGAGACCTCACACTCAAAGGTGGCTCTCTTCTTCTCCGTGATCTTCATGTCCTTCAGGTGCTTCGTGAACTCGACCACGCGCGCTGCAGCAGACAGAGAGAGGAAGTTACATGAAGTTACATTCACTCAATACCGTAGAGATGCCTCTGGGAGAAATATGGGGTTAACTTTCCTCCGAGAGACAGGTGGGATCTAACTAATAACCCCCTGGTTTGCATACCAACACACTAACCCACTGAGCATTGAAAAGGCACACTGGTCAGAACCAAGATAGATTTTAAAAATACTTAAATGTTATAATCGTTGTATTCCTGACCTTCTCTTACTTTCTCATGTTGTTCATGTTTGCACAACCACACACCAAAGCCATTCCCTTGATGTGAATAAACTCCATTCTGATTCTCCTTCTGATGTAACGACCATGTGTAAATGCTAAATCCAATAAACATCAAGTGGCTGACAAAATGAAAGGATGCTGGTGGAGCCCGAAGCAGAAAGGAAGTGAGATGTTACCCTCCACGTGGAGCTTGGCGGTAGTGATGGCCGACCCGGCGCTGAAGCTGTAGGCGGCGCTGTCTCCTCCGTGAACGTTCCTGATGCTCAGCGTGTGCGTCAGCTGCTTGCAGCGCGCCTGGCAGCGGTCCGTGGAGCGGATCTCCACGCCGTTCTTCAGCCACTTGTACGTCACATTCTCGTTGTTCACCGTCACCTCGAAGGTCACCGTGTCTTTCTCCTGAGCGTTCAGGTCCTGCAGCATCGTGGAGATCAGGATGGCTGCAGGACAACACGGATAGTCATGAAGCAGAAGGCATGATGTTTGAAATACTTCACAAATGAAGAATATTCCTAATTCCTGCACTCTTTGACCTCCTTATGGCTGTGGCTCGAGACTTTCAAAGTAAAAGATGGTTGTGCTTCATGTTAATGAGTGCAGAGTAAAAGAGACCCCAGAGAAGCGTCCTGGGGTCTCTTTTATTCCTGACGTATTTGAATGATTTATAATAAGGAGATATATTTTTCTCTTACTCTTAAAGATAAAAGTGTTAACATCAGAGCGTAACATGTTTTAATAGGTTCTCCAATTCTCCATTTGGCCAAATAAGTCGATTTGTATTTTGGGTAAAGACATTTTTTAAGAGATCCCTGACAATTACAGACAATGTGCACATGATACCCATATCCTGTAATGAATTGAAGATTTGATGAGGAAGGTGGCCTTTGCACGAAGTTCAGGTAACATAGCTAGCTAACAGCTTACGGCTAACGGTGAGCTTGGCGGACACTCTGTCGTTCCCACACACGAACGTGTACTCTGCGGCGTCTTCTCGGCTCGTGTTGGTGATCTTCAGCTGGTGGAGTTTCCCCTGGACCACGATCCTGAACTTCTCGCTCATCTCGATGTCCACGCCGTCCTTCAGCCAGGTGGACGGCACGTTGAAGTGAGAGACCTCACACTCGAAGGACGCCGTCTGCGTCTCCGGCACGGAGACACTCTTCAGAGGCTTGGTGACACGCAGGGCTGCAAGGGGGAAACACGGGTCAGCAAACATCCAGGATGCTTTATATCAGGGGGGTCAAACATAGACCAAGACCGGACCGCCAGAGGGTCCGATCAGACCCTCAGGATGACTTTCCAAAGTGTTTAAATTATAGAGAAGACATGCATGATAAACTAAGGCATGATATGGTTGAAATTGCATTTATGTTTCTTAAGAAATGTCATGTTGTTTGTAATGTTTTATAAAAGAAAGTTCATGAATGTTAAAATTGTCAGAATGTAATTTCTTCCACTAAAACTAAGAGGTTATTTACAGGTTATTATGCTGTGATTTTACTGGTCCGGCCCACTTGAGATCAAATTGGGCTGTATGTGGACCCTGAACTAAAATGAGTGCTATGGTGCTAGGCTAACGTGCTAGGCTAACGTGCTACTCACACTCGACCATGAGGCGTGCGCTGCAGTGCAGGTGCCCCACCACGGCGCTGTACTCCCCCTGCTTGCTGTTGTCTACGTCCTGCACCATCAGCTTGTGCGTCTTCTTCTCCGACAGCATCCTGTAGCTGTCGCTGGTCTGCAGCTCCACGCCGTTGAACATCCACTTCACGGGGATGTCGTCCTCGGAGAGACCGAGCTCGAAAACGGCAGTCGCGCCCAGCAGGGAGGTCACGTCCTTCGGCTTCTTCAGGATCTTAATGCCTGTGGGGAACAGAGTTCTTCATTTATCTCATTGCTCGATTTTAGAATATAAAATAATAAATGTGTTGAACAAAAAATGTGACCTAAAAAGATTTAAAAAAGTGAAACAGAATCAAAATGATCTATATAAATATAAAATACACATTTTTAATGAACATAGGAATTGAATTCAAATCTGCAATGAAAAGATTAAATTAAATAAAGGAAATAGAAAAACAGTTATTAAAATATGCTAAATGAATTAATAATAAACACTACAAAAAAATCTTTGTAAAAACATAACTTTAAGTAAATGTCCAACAAGAAATCTAATTTAATACAATTAAATACTTATATGAAATAATACTAGCAATTAACACAACAAAAATACATTATTAATTACATATACATATTCTTATCAAACATAAACAGATGTAAATGAATCGTCGTTGTACCCTCCACGTTGAGCCGGGCGTTAGCCGACAGCTTCCCGAGTTTGAAGGAGTACACGGACTCGTCGTTGGTGCTGCAGTTCCTGATCGTCAGCGTGTGCACCGCGCCCTCGATGCTGATCTCGTACTTGTCGCTGGGCAGGATCTCCACGCCGTTCTTGATCCACGCTGCGCCCCTCACGTCCTCATGGGTCAGCTCCAGGCTGAACGAGGCGTCCTGCGTCTGCACCACGTTCAGGTTCTTCAGCGTCTTCTTGATCTTCACCGCTGCAGCAAACACACAAAGACAGGGTTAACACTCGTTAGGGTTAAATACTCGTTAGGGTTAAATACTCGTTAGGGTTTTATACTCGTTAGGGTTAAATACTCGTTAGAAGGGAACACTCGTTAGGGTTAAATACTCGTTAGGGTTTTATACTCGTTAGGGTTAAATACTCGTTAGGGTTTTATACTCGTTAGGGTTAAATACTCGTTAGAAGGGAACACTCGTTGGGGTTAAATACTCGTTAGGGTTAAATACTCGTTAGAAGGGAACACTTGTTAGGGTTAAATACTCGTTAGAAGGGAACACTCGTTAGGGTTAAATACTCGTTAGAAGGGAACACTCGTTAGGGTTAAATACTCGTTAGGGTTAAATACTCGTTAGGGTTAAATACTCGTTAGAAGGGAACACTCGTTGGGGTTAAATACTCGTTAGAAGGGAACACTCGTTAGGGTTAAATACTCGTTAGGGTTAAATACTCGTTAGAAGGGAACACTCGTTAGGGTTAAATACTCGTTAGGGTTAAATACTCGTTAGAAGGGAACACTCGTTAGGGTTAAACACTCGTTAGGGTTAAATACTCGTTAGGAGGGAACACTCGTTAGGGTTAAATACCTGTTAGGGTTAAATACTCGTTAGAAGGGAACACTCGTTAGGGTTAAACACTCGTTAGGGTTAAATACTCGTTAGGAGGGAACACTCGTTAGGGTTAAATACCTGTTAGGGTTAAATACTCGTTAGAAGGGAACACTCGTTAGGGTTAAATACTCGTTAGAAGGGAACACTCGTTAGGGTTAAATACTCGTTAGAAGGGAACACTCGTTAGGGTTAAATACTCGTTAGAAGGGAACACTCGTTAGGGTTAAATACTCGTTAGAAGGGAACACTCGTTAGCACTAGTTATTTTGTAACCATTCATATTAGTTGCCGGTAATCATTCATTAGCACAAATTATTCAGCAACTCAAATGATTCCTTAACCCTGATTATTCATTAGTAGAAAACACTTATAAAATATATATTATATATCATTATTAATTAAGCACTGAGTATTCGTTAGCAGGAAACATTAGTTAGCACAAATGATTTGTTATCCATTATTATTCGTTAGTAGGAAACACTTATTATCCATTAACACATGGAGGAGCATCATCTGCTAAAGATTCACAACTCAAACGAATGTTAAAAATATGAATCGAGAGTGAATAAAGGCGTAGAGACGTACCCTCGACCCGCAGGGTGGCGGTGGTTTTGGACGTGGCCACCTGATAGGTGTACTCGCCCACGTCGGTTGCCTTGGTGATGGCGATGACGAGGCGTCTGACGGCGCCCTTCGCCTCGCTGCTCGTGTTCTCATTGAAGTCCACGTTGTTCCCGTCCTTCAGCCACTTCCCCTCCGCCGTGGGGTTCGCCACCTCGCACTCCAGCACCGCCGTCTGCGAGTCGGCCACCACCAGGTCCCTCAGGGGCTTCTTGATGGCTCCCCCTGGAGGCAGGGAGGAGGAGAGGCAGGAAAAAACAGATTATTATAAAATATATATACTATTATACTGTAAGTAATACATTTCATTTATAGAGTACACTTTAAAAACGTCATCTCAAGGTGCTTCACAATGCTATGAGGAGAAAATACAATAAAATAAAATGTTATCTATGGAGCATATTGAATCAAATGCGTATGTAAAATGCGTGCGGAACAGATGGGTTTTGAGGCTTTTTTTAAAACAGAGTGATGCAGAGGTCCGCATGTTCTCTGGAAGCAGATTAAGTCATTATGATTTTATTATTATAATGATATTCCAGTGGTGGCTGTAAAAGTGTTGTGACGTCAGAGAGTCAACATTAGCTGTCCCCAAAGTGCTCCTGTGGGGGTTGTCCACAGTACTGAGTCGCTTTGGATAAGAGCGTCTAACAAATGACATGTAATTTAATGTAATATCAATAATATCAGATCTGCTGCAATACATATTCGTTTACGTTCAGCATCAAATACATCACCACTGCGCTCAGAAAACAATGATATATTCATTAAAGAAAGTTGATTTAATAAACAAAGATTCAAAAATCAGGATTCAACAGAAGTTTGAAGAAAACAGTTTTGAATGTTTAGAAAGAGATGTCGTTACCAGAGACGGTGAGCCTGGCGCTGGACATCTTCTCCCCGGCGGCGAACATGTACTCGCCCTCCTCGTCCTTCATGGAGTTCATGACAGTCAGCGTGTGACGCTTGTTCTTGGACTCCATCTTGTGTTTCGGCCCGGCCTTCAGAGGCTGCCTCTTGAAGGTCCAGAAGGCGTCGATGCCGGCGTGAGAAACTTCTGCGTCGAACACCACGTTCTCCGACTCGGAGCACTCCTGGTCTTTGATCGGCTTCAGGATCTGCACGGCTGGGGGGGGACAGGGGATCTTTAATTTATATCTTATATAGTAATAATAATAATAATACATTGGATTTTCATAGTGCTTTTACTAATGCTCAAAGACGCTTATACGTATAGTATTTAATCAGCTGCAGGAACTGCTTATACTATTTTATTTTTTTATTATTATATGAAACATTTCTTACTATTTTTATCACTTATTTAAGGATTGATTCAAGACATTTTAATTCAAAGTATTTTTTTACATATCCCTAACTTCCAAAGTGTTGGCAAAAGTGAGCATTAGATGCTAAATCAGTTAGCATTAGCTGCTAAAACAGTTAGCAATAGCTGCTAAAACAGTTAGCATTAGCTGCTAAAACAGTTAGCAATAGCTGCTAAAACAGTTAGCAATAGCTGCTAAAACAGTTAGCATTAACTGCTAAAACAGTTAGCAATAGCTGCTAAAACAGTTAGCATTAGCTGCTAAAACAGTTAGCAATAGCTGCTAAAACAGTTAGCAATAGCTGCTAAAACAGTTAGCATTAACTGCTAAAACAGTTAGCAATAGCTGCTAAAACAGTTAGCAATAGCTGCTGAAACAGTTAGCAGTAGCTGCTATAACAGTAAGCAATAGCTGCTAAAACAGTGAGTATTAGCTGCTAAACGTTAGCATTAGATGCTAACTTTTGGTGAATTTAGAAGAAATGTACACAAACACACAAAGTTAGTCTAATAAACTCCTGGATGTGGATTCTGGAGGTTCTCTTTGATATCTCCAATCTCTTTTAATAAAGACTCTCCCTGACATGAAGACATCAGTAAACTCACTCTGGACGGTGAACTGGCAGCTGGTCTCGGCCCGGCCCACCAGCAGCTTGTACTGGCCCTGGTCCGAGGCGAAGGTCCGGTTGAAGACGAGCCTCTGCTTGGATCCCTTCGTCACCATCTGCACCCGATCGCTGGCCGTCAGCAGCTTCCCGTTCAGGAACCACTTCACAGAGAGAACGTCCTGCGCTGAGATCTTCGTCTCCAGCACTGCCTTCGTGCCTTCAACTGCACTCGTGTCCTTCAGAGGGATCAGCACGCCGATCGCTGAAATACACAGGAAATACTTCAGTATTAATATCACTGTACAGGAAATACATCACTATACAGGAAATAAGATAATTGTTTTGTTGGCGTCTTACTCTGGATGACGACCTTGGCGCTGGTGGAGATGGCGTGATCAGGGACCACGAAGGAATACATCCCATGATCAACCTTGCTGGTGTCTTCGATCAGCAGCTTGTGGATCTGTTTGTCAACGACCACGTGGACGCGGTCGGACACCGTGACCGGCTTCCCGTCCTTCATCCAGCTGCCCTCCACGTTCTCCTGGGAGAAACGGACCTCCAGCTGAGCGATGTCGCCTTCACACACCGTCAGGTCGCTGAGCGGCTGCATCAGGGTGATCGGGCGAACTGCGGGGGAGAAACAGACATTATAATAACCAAACCTACAGATAAATACAGACTTTACACAGACGTCAGCGCACTAAACAAGACGTAGGAGTTATTATAGGAAACTGAGAAATACTCAAATCCTTAAGGCTCTCAAAAATATTGTAAAAAAAATACAGCAGAATATATGAAAACTTTTGTAAATAACTTTTGCAAAATAACAAAAAGTCCTTTATTGTCGGATCCAGGGACACTGATCGAGCTCGGACCCTAGTAAAGAAGAGTTTTATTTGACAGCTCTGGATTATGATGCACCTTGTGACTTGTTTCGGGACCACTGTCAGGCCAGCCTAGAATAAAAGTCACGAAACTCAGCCAGACTTCCACAACTCACGTTTCATCTTCAGGGAGGCGCTGGTCTTGAACTCTCCGGTTTTGAAGGAGTATTTGCCTTGGTCCTCCTTCCTCACGTCTTTAACGGAGAGGCTGTGTCTGCCTCTGCGGGAGGAAATGACGTATTTGCTGCTGGCGGAGATCTCCTTCTCTCCGAAGAACCAGCTGCCGTCAGCGTCCTCACGGGAAACCACACACTCAAACTCTGCCGAGTATGTCTCTGGGACCTCGGTGCTCTCCAGCTGCTTCAGCATCTCCAGTGGAGCGCCTGTTTACATACAAGGGGAAACTTCCTGTTAAATACACGAAAAGAAACCTCTCTTTCGAGCAATGACTGGTTCTCTTTCAGCTGACCCACCTTCTACGGTGAGCTTTGCGGTGGTCTTCACGTCTTCTTCGTCAATCACCATGCAGGAGAACTCGGCATCGTCCTTCATGCTGATCACCAGCACAGACAGGAAGTGGACTTTTCTGTCGGCGTGCATCCTGTACTTGTCTCCGGTGAAGATCTGCTGGTTGTTCTTCAGCCATTTGACCTTGACGAAGGGCTCGTTGGTCTCACACTCGAAGGTGGCCATGGTGTCCTTCTCTTTGGCCTGGACCTCCTCCAGCGGCTGGGTGAACTTGATCACCTGCTTGGCTGCAGAATGACAAAAATGCACAAAGTTTAATTAAATGCACATGTGTGAGAAACATTAACTAATAAAGAGTTTGGCCAGATGCTCCTGACCTACAGATATGAACTTCTTGTAAACAGTGGCGTTACCTTGCACCAGCAGGAAGGCGTGGCTGGACGTCTCTCCGGCGCGGCTGCTGGCCTTCACCATGATGCTGGCTGAATCCTCGGGCCGGACGTCTCTGATCACCAGCTCACAGACCTGGTCCTCGGGCCAGTACCAGTTCACCCGCTCCGTCTTCTCCAGCTGAACGCCGTTCTTGAACCACTGGCACTCAGGCTCTGGTCTGCCCACCACCCGGACCCTGAACTTCACTTCGTCTCCCAGAGCAACTGTCTGGCTGGTGATGCGCTCCAGGATCTTGGGGGCCTCCATGCTGGCGGACAGCTTCACACGCTCTGGTTGCAGAGGCTTTGCGGTCACTTTGCGCTCCTCCTCCGCTTTCTTCTTCGCCTCCTCCTGTGCCTTGGCGCGATGCAACAGATCCTCCTTTGTCTTCTTCAGCAGATCCTCGTAGGACTCGTCCTTCTTGCGGGACTTGAGCTCCACGGCGGTGATGGACTCGTAGTAGCCTTCCTCCGTACGGCGCTTGAACTTCCCGCGCAGCTCATCGGACTCCTCCGTGGATTTAGCGTGCACGTTCCTCTGGGCCTTCTTCAGCTTCACCACCTCCTTCAGCGCGGAGTCCTCTGAGGGTTTCTCAGCCTTAACAACCTCGAATGTAGTTTTTCCAAGTTCGACAGGGGCAGCGGCGGGTTTCCCCTCGGTGCGACGCAGTTGAGTCCTGTTGTCCTCTTTCTCCACGATCTCCAGCTTCACCGTGTGTCCGACCACGCCCAGGTTGTTCTCTGCCATCACCTTCACCTCTCCTGAGTCATAGGACTTGATTTCTGTGATCTCCAGGAAGTAAATACCGTCGTACCGGAGTCTGTATCTTTTGCTTTTGCGGATGAGTTGCCCGTTGAGGTACCAGTTGACCTTGGGGGTCGGGTAGCCGGTGACTCTGCAGCGGAAGCGAGCCGTGTCGCCCTCCTTTAGGCTGGCGGGTTCAGGAAGAAGCACGATCTCAGGTTTGATCTTCTCAAACTCGTCATCAGTGGTGACACCTGTAGGTCCGCCCTCGTGAGCCATGCGCTCCATCTCGTCCATCCGATGAGCCCCCTTCCTGCCTTCAGGGAGCTGAGTCTCCTCCACCAGGCCTTTCTCGTCCTTCACAACCAGCGTGGCGGACGTCTGGTCCGCCCCGTACTTGTTTGTGGCTCTGCAGGTGACGACGCCGCTGTCTCTGGCGTACGCCGCTTCGTAGTCCAGACTGCAGTATCCGAACTCGTTGACCATGCGCAGCCTGTTGGCCGCCTCCAGGGGTTTCCCGTCATGCAGCCACTCCACCACCATGGTGGGGTCTCCGATGGGCGTCAGCCGGCACTCAAAGTGAGCCGGGCCAAAGCGCTTCATCCTGATGGAGGTCAGCTTCTTCTTGAACTGAGGCTTCTGCTGCTTCTCCTTGTCGTACAGGTCGCCCTCCTCCCACTGGTCCTGGCCGTAACGCTGGTGCAGGGGCTCCAGCTCAGGCGCTGCGATGTCCTTAGCTTTGTAGGTTCCTTTGGGAATAACAAGCTTCCTCTCTGGTTCGGGCTCCACTTGGTCCACCTCCACGTTGACCCTGCAGCGGGTGGTGTCTCTGCCGGCCTTGTTGATGGCTGTGGCTGTGTACCAGGCGCTGTCTGCACCGGCGGCCGACGGGATCTGAAACTTGGCCTCTCCTTTGGTTCCCTCCACCCTGCAAGATGGATCAGTCGTGTGAGAAAAACAGTTTTTCTCACATTTGTGCATACACATAAAAGGATTGATCTATTATAGAAAAGCTTCTGATTGTTTTTCAGTTTATGCAGTTATATCAAATATATGACATCTGCTCTGAGAGCTACCTGATGTTGGGGTGCTTGTGTGGGGAGATGATGTCGCTGTTCTTCAGCCAGACGATGTCGGGCAGCGGGTTTCCGATGGCTCTGACAGCCAGCTCCACCAGAGTGCCCTGCTTCACACTCAGGTTCTTCAGCTTCTCTGTGAACTGGGGTCGCAACAGCGTCTCTTTGGCTGGAAAACAAAATATAAAAAACCTCAGTGACAGTCAGTAACGGAGACGACTGATGTCTCAGTGTCGTCTTTAACACAGTTCTGCAGTCTTACCGTCCACGGTAAGCGTGACGGAGATGTTGGAGCGTCCGGCCCGGTTCTGTGCCACCACGGTCCACTCTCCAGAGTCGTGAGGCGTGGCAGGGACGATGATCAGGGACTGGGTCCCGTCCTCTTTAACCACGATCTTGTGGGTGTAGTCGCTAACCACTTGTTGTCCTGAGGAGGTCACGAGACACACATGTTATTGTCAGACCAACAAATCTTAAAGCCTGTTACTCTAAACCAATCGCCCATTGGGTGTTTGTTTTCAGTCCAGACATTTGCAGACTACCTGGGTTTCGTAACAACAGGAACTCCGAACATTTCTTTTAGAAGACCCTGAGGACTGATCTGTACTGAGACTCACCGTTGTGGAACCAGTATGTTTCGGGCATCGGTCTGCCGACCACCTTCAGGTCGAAGCGTGCCGTCTGGCCCTCAGAGCATTTACATGAGGCGGGCTTCATGACGAACACGGGTTTGTAGAGTCTCTCCAGCTGAGCCTCGTCCGTCTCGTCCAGCCGGCGGGCCGGAGAGCGTCCAGGCGAACGGCTGGAGGAACGTCCAGGAGACTGGCTCATAGAGCGAGGAGATGAGGATCTGAGGGGGGAGAGGAGGCCATGAAGTCTACAGGTGTACTGGTCTACAGGTGTACTGGTCTACAGGTGTACTGGTCTACAGGTGTACAGGTTTACGGGTCTATGCTGCAGAAGAAACAGCTACGGTTTGAAATGGCTGAACTTGCACAGAAAGCATTATAAGTCATACAGCTTTGATTTTACTCCAACCGTACAATTACAACATACATTATTTACAGTTTTCAACCCGGACCTTCATTAATAGCCAAACCATAATGTGTTGTGGGGTCAGTGTCATTGGACTACATTTCCCCCTCAAACATTTTAGCAGTCACATCTTAAGTTAGCTAATGTTAGCAAAAGGTGCAACTTTAGAGCTAGAGCAACGTCAGGAGTTCCAGTTTCTCTGTTTCTTGAAAAGAGCCTTTACCTGATTCTTTGCATGGCAGGTTGTGGTGTGTATCTTTGAGGAGCTCCAGCTCCGGACTCGACGTAGAGTTTCCCGGAGCTGACGGAGTTCCCCTTGATGTTGCTGGCGAAGGCGGTGTAGACGCCCTCGTCCTCCGGCTGCACCACAGGGAGGCGCAGGCTGGCTCGTCCGTCCTGGAGAACCTCCATCTGGTATCGGTCACCTGATCTGATGCGCTGGCCGTCTTTGAACCACGCAATCTGTGGAAGACAAACAGTCATACAGAGCTGCAGGTGTTTCTGTGTTCCTGAAGGCATCATCACTCTGGTCCAATGGGATTCCTCTCCACAAATTAAAACCACTTTATGATTTCTGTCAAATTCTGTTTAGATTCTGAGAAAAAAGTAAAATTCTGAAATGTTGAGAAAAGTCATAATTTAGAGAAAAATTTGATAATTTAGAAAAAAAAGGAATTTTGAGGAAAAAAAAGAATTTCTGAGAAAAAAAAGGAATTCTGGAAAAAAAGTCAAATTCTGAAATTCTGAGAAAAAACCCATCATTTGTTCATATTCAACATAAAGAGCAGTACCTTGGGGAGGGGCATCCCGCTGCTCTTGCAGTGGAAGGTGACCCCCATGCCCTCCATGATCCTGTAGTTTTTGACGGGGGTGTCGAAGATGGGCTGCACGGCCTCGTTGGGGTCAGAGGTCACGATCAACTCTCCGTCCTCCGTCACGATCTCTCTGTAGGTAAACTTCATGATGACGAGCTCGTACTCGTGGATGATCCTCTGCTCGATGGCAGACAGATGGAAGTCCTGCAGACCAGAGGAGGCGGGACAACGTTTATTAAGACCAGGTCAGCATGCAGAGACTTCAAGATGTGTCTTTAACCCTAACCCCAACCAGGTCAGCATGCAGAGACTTCAAGATGTGTCTTTAACCCCAACCAGGTCAGCATGCAGAGACTTTCACTGAGACTGTGTTGATCTGAGAACCAATATAAAGACTCCATGCTTTCCTCCTTCAACTTTCTGTGACAAGCTGTTACCCTTTTTACAAATTTGGTTTGGGTTTTAAGTACCTGTTTGAACCCAATGCTCTATGAGTCCTAGACCAAGCCCCAGAAAGTCCACTGGACGTTGTTCCATCAGTACTACCAGTTCTCTTCATACATCCATCCATTTTAAGTAATGGTTTAAACCCAATGTTTTGAGTCCTAGACCAAGCCCCAGAAAGTGCACCGGACCAGTTCTCTTTATACCTCCATGCTACAAATCTGCTCCTACCTGTCCGGTTATAATGGTTGAGGTCTGCTCCATGGGGGTCGCCCCGGCGGTGGGCTCCTGCACCATGGCTGTCACTTCAGTCTTAAAGGTGGCTTCCTGTTTCTTCATCAGGGCTTCGTATTCCTCTGTCGAAACAAAGCGTTCAGCGTTAGACTACAGCACTTCTTCTTCTCTAACCTCTTCCTCGCTGCAGGTGTTTCTGACAGAGGGGTTTCCTACCTTCCTCCAGCAGGTCTGCAGAGGCACAAACTTCTCCCAACTGGTTCTTGGCGAACACCGAGTATTCTCCGGCGTCATCGGCAAAGGTCATGGAGATCTCCAGCTTACATTCGCCGGTCTCCTTCTTATAGGTCACTTTATATCTGATGGAGGAAGGGGGTGAGGGGTGTGTTAAAGATCATTCAAAGAGAGCTGCTGCCCCCTACAGGCTGCAGTGTGCATTACAGATACAATGACTACATTTATCTTTGCTTGGACTTTAAAGAGCAAAGACTGTGATAGACTTACAGCCATGGGGATATATCCTCTGTTGTACTTTAGCATTGGTTTGATCAAATCTAAAACCATCACTGTGTCTTTCCTTTTTAGGGTTAACACCTTGTTCCAGTAGAAGATCGATCTTCATGCTTCATGAGTTAGAAACTCAAAATGCAGGTTTTCACATTAAATGACGTAGTGCAACATGTCGCCTGAGATATGTTTGAGAATTCCCTGGATTGTAAACACTGCTCTGGGTTTGTTATATGTTTGACAGCCCCAGGACATGAGGTACATTGCCTTCACAGCTGGTGTGTTCCTGACCCACCTGTATCCGGTAGTGAGCAGGACGCTGCCCTTCTTCCAGATGACGTGAGGTTTGGGGCTCCCCCCCACCTTGCAGTCGAACACCACGCTGCCCCCCTCCTCCAGCTTCTGAATGCTGGGTTTCCGGAGGAAGACAGGGGCGGCGTCCGGGACGTCGGCTTGGCTCACCTGAGTCTCCTCTGGAGCCTCTTCTCTTTCTCTGTACACACAAACCTCCTGTTAGCATTAGCCGTAGCACTCTGTACGCTCAGTCCAATAGAGAGTGTGTTTTCTGGAGATAGACAACGGTAATCAAGCTGCACCACATCTAAATATGAAAGATCACTAAACCAATGTTCCAACTGACAGTGACTCAGTATTTCCCACTTGATGTCTTACTCTCCAATTTCAAATGTTTTAAAGGGCAACTTTACACAGTCTTTGTACTGTGTGCAAAGTAAACACATTTCACGTCAAACCAGGAACAGTGCATCGATACCACAGCGGTGGAGAATATGTCTTTTGGATCTGTGCTGTTATAAACCTTTGTCATCGGGGACATGTTAAATAAAGTTGCCTCTCATTACATTGTTTGTTAAATGTTACGACATGTAAAGTTGTGAAGGATATAAACTGGTGTTTATGGTGCACTCACGGTTCCTCTGCAGTCTCTGCAGCCACCTCCTCTCTGCTCTCGATGTCCTCGGACACTGCAGGGCAACCATGGGTTAGATAGGAAGAAACATAAAGCAAAATACATTAGTATATAGAAATATAAAGTAAAACAGGAACACCAAGAGTCTTCAGGGTGTTGACATGTTTCTGAGGACTTTGAGGGCTATTTGTATTCTTTAATTGACAGTAAATTATAATAATGTCTGTAGCTGACCCTGGACCAGCAGGTAGCAGGAGGTGCTGACGGTGCCCGCCTCGCTCGTGGCGGTGCAGGTGAAGCGCCCGCTGTCCTCGGCGAAGGCCTCTCTGATCACCAGCTGAGCGACGGTGCTCTCGTAGGAGATGTGGAAGTCGATGCTGCTCTCGATCTTGTAGTCCTCTCTGAACCACATGATGCTGGGGGCGGGGTGTCCGCTGATCTGACACTCCAGCGTCACCGACTCACCCTCCGTCACGTTGGTGTTCTTCAGACCCTGCACACACAGCACTCAGAACAGTTAGTACGCGTTGGGAAAATCCTGAATGTCCTCCTCCAACATCAGAGCAACATGCTAACAAAGGTATCCCAACTGTAGCTGTGAACATGACAGGATGTATGATTACCTAGAAGAGCATCAGGACTGTTTGAGGCATATGATAGCTATGTGATTAACATGATGATTCAGCCTCTATGGAGATAGACATATGACAAGCATGCTCATTTCTGACGTGGAGCTAATCTGAAGTAAACATTGAATACTGCTTTCTATTCCTCCATCTTGTGACTGTGTAACTCCCTCTCTTGGATATCAGCATGTGAAGGACACTGTTCAGGAACTAGTTGATGCTCTGTATGTGATGACTACTTCCATTCTGGAGAGCATCAGAGATACATGGATCCTGAGATTGAAGCTCCAGCCGGAGACCAGGGAGAGTTTTCTAACAGTACGTATATAAACTCTGTTAAAGAAGCGTATGGTTTCAGGAGGACTCACCGACACCAGGGTCGGTGGAACCACGGCGCCGCCGGCTGACGGCACGGCTGCTGCCTCCGTCACCTGATGGAGAAACACCTCCGTTAGCTCATTACAATACAACTACATCCTACAGGAACACAGACACAGACACACACACACACACACACACACACACACACACACACACACACACACACACACACACACACACACACACACACACACACACACACACACACACACACACACACACACACACACAGACAAACACACAGACAAACACACAAAGGAAACACACATGACACACAACACACTAAAGACAGAGACAGGTGAGGCTGATGAACAGGTGAGGATGATGAACAGGTGAGGATGATGAACAGGTGAGGATGATGAACAGGTGAGGATGGGGGGTCAATAGCGTCGATGAGCACGGTAACGTTTTTGTTAGAGTGAAGTTAAAAGAATGATTCAAACACAAATATATGTTTTGTGCGTGAAGTTTCCTGACTGGATTTTCACACAAGAAAACCTGACCTAAACGTCTACCCTAGATGTCAGGAAGCACCAGAGGCCTGTACTACGAAGCCGGTTCAACATAACCTGGATATATTTGAGTTAGCCGGTTGGCCCAATCCAAAACTGCCTACGACGCGGGTTATCAAGTGGATCGCTCAAGCCAGCCGTGTCCTACCTAGTTAGGTGCGCGTTCACATGAAAGGGGTGGTATCTGGAGCATTCGACCAATCACAAACATGGCCAAGCGTACTGACAGCGCAGCGTCATACTTCCTGAATGAAAAGTGAACTTTAATATTAGTCAAATATGAAGAAGTTAAACTTTAAACATCCATGACTTAAACACTTTATCCAGGATCAAAGCCACATAGCTGCACCTGCAAGGTGAATACAGCTGGTAACAGAGAAAGTGTTTGAATGCGTACATTAACAGGTTTATGATATCACTGCCCCGTCTAAGACACGATCTGACTTTAATTACATTTGACTCGAGTGTTTCGTCAACTTAATGTGTTGCTTAAAATAATACTTCTGCATCCAGTATGTGACACTGTGAGTGTTGCACTGCCAGATACGGCTCAGCTGACTCAGATAAGGAGATATATGATACATTATGATGTGATATGATATGAATGATAATGGGACACATCGACGTCTGCACTCACAGTGCCGCGGACTGTACTTAATGTTACTCTGATCCGGTTACTTATGTTGTGGCAGATATTTAAGTAAGCTTTCTTAACGCTAATGTTATAATAGTCAGATTGCTCTGAAGATGGGAGGGGATATTCTATTCATGTTCACGTTCACACAGTCAGTTGATTTTGGCCGGCCGTCTTTCTGTAGCCTATTTCCTTTCTCCTGTAATATGACTTGATATCTTTAAACTCTGCACACTGAGCTCTGATTGGTCAGCAGGCAGTGCTTTCACTGAGTTGATCTCTTAGCCTGCAACCTAACCTGCTCCGGAGCAGGCTAGCCGCTCAGCATCAGTTACCATGGAGATCTAGCCCGCTAAAAAGAGAACCAGCGTCGTAGGACCGGAAAGCCAGAGTTGTCCCTGAAGTTAGCTAAGAGAACATCCGGCTTCGTAGTACAGGCCTCTGGTGTCTTCTCCACAATATGGAAACACAACACGTTTGTATACAGATAGAAAGTGTATGTCAGTTTAATGAAACGTTTGTATTGGTTGTATTGAAGGTAGACATTTTGGCTCAGCTCAGCGAGGTCTTGATGCTGTAAATCTTTCTAAATGTTCAAGAGTTTAAATGACTGTTAATGTTTCCTTTTCTAAAACACAGTGATGCCTGTATTGTGTTTCCCCGTGATATCTAAAGATCTTTAAAGTTGTCTCGTAGAGGGGTCTTCCTCAGGAGCGTCTGCCCTAAACCTCCGGACCCTAAACCTCCGGACCCTAAACCTCCGGACCCTAAACCTCCGGACCTTCTCTGAACTATGATCAGGTTTTCTTGTCCTGCTCAGATCCAGCCGGGTCACAAACCTGGACTCCCCACTCCTCATGTCCCGCCTCCTGCCCCCCCGACAGCACCGCCTCATATGATTGGGTGAAGCCTCTGAAGGGGGAGGGGCTTCTGAAAGGGGGGGGGACAGACTCCATCTCCAGGGTCTTAGTACGGGACGGACTGGGAGACTTCACTGGTTTGATGATCTTTCTCACCCCACCAGAAGAGGAACAGAACTCTCTGTGCAGAGCGGCGACCGCCGAACCGGCGATGGAGACCTGAGCGGCCCAGAGGGGGGGGGGGGGGATTGGTTTAATACATCTATAGCACTGGGGGGGGTGTACTGGTTTATTACAGCTAGAGCACTGGGGGGGGGGGGTATTGGTTTATTACAGCTAGAGCAGGATCAGGGTAACCACTGTGCGTGTTAAACTGGGGGGGGGGATGGGCTACGGACGTTAGTTTATTAAAGCTACAGCAGGGGGGGTTCACTTTATTATTTTATTAACTACTGTCTGCATTTCAGGGAAAACCAAATGAGCGTTTCTTAAAGTGTTAAAGCTAAAACAGATCAGCTGTTCTGACAGGAGATGCTAACGGTGTGCAGCTAACTACAGTAGCTTTACTCACATTACATCATTATCTTGTGAGTTATATTAGAACAACAACCTGTACGGCATGCTATCAGATGCTCTAACCCTGACCCTAAGATATTTAGCTCGTTAGCTCGTTAGCTCGTTAGCTCGTTAGCTCGTTAGCTCGTTAGCTCCAGGGGATACAGCCAGAATCAGAGACAGGCAACAGGAAGTCAGGTGATTAACAGGAAGTCAGGTGATTAACTGAGGGTCAGGTTGATTATTGAAGTCCACTTCCTCTTATTTCTAGAGGTTATTAGTGTTGGCGCCGCTCTTACCTCGGAGCTAGCCTCGTGTTTCGGGACAGAAACTTTAGAGACTGTGAAATGAGGAAGAGGGGCGAGACCAGAGTCCACCTGGGGGGGGGTCTCTGTCTGAATCTGGGGTAACCAACACAGCACCGTCACAATATGTATATTTATATGTAAGTATATATAGGTACTGCAAATAATGAGTGATTATCAAGAGACTCGTCCTTTCAGATACCAGTTACTAAGCACTCGCCAATAGTTCAGGTTATTGTGAAGACGTTTATAAGTGTTTTTTATTCAGTTTATAATTCCCTATAGTTGTCATATTTGATGGTAGTTATGTGATACCAAATGACCTTTATCAAACCTGCTCTTATCCATGATTAAACACAAGGGACAATAAAGCCCATCAGCATCTGATTTTAAAATGATCTGGAGTTGTTGTTTTCAGAGTGGTATAATATTCTGAGTGATCTGAAGGTGTTCAAATCTCTTGGTAACGTGGTCTGTTCCCAGCTGACCTGGTTGAGGTGTTCAGGTTCAGGTGTGATCATGTGACCCTCTGCCACCTGTTGACTGACAGCGAGCTGCGTAAGCCCCGCCTCCTCGTCTTCAGCCCCGCCCACAACGGGCTGACGGACGCGAGCCAGATCTACGGCGGCCATCACCGTGGCAACCGCCACCGCCTTCCCCCCCCCCCGCCTGCAGACACAACCAGCAGCACAACGATGGGAGGGTGGCCATGACCAGAGGGGGGGGGGGGGGGGACACACCTTATCATAGGTGCCAATTAGCTTCCAATTAGATCCCAATTAGGTCCCAAATAGTTTACCTTTGTTCCCTCCGCTAAAGACTATATTTTATTCGTGGATCTGCAGCTGGTGGTAGATGCCAAGAAAACCTTCCAGCAAGTTTGTTAACTTCCTTCCTGTCTGTTTGTTTACTTCCTGTGTGTTTACTTCCTGTCTGTTTGTTTACTTACTTCCTGTCTGTTTACTTTCGTGAGATGTTTGTGATTGAACGTTACAAATGGAGACACAGCCAAACTAGCGAGCTTTATGCTAAGCAAGGCTAATCAGCTCCTGATCCTGTCCAGAGACGGCAGGTAACATTTCAATCAGGTCAAATCATCTCTTTTGCTTTCTATGCTCCCAGTATAATAATCATTCCAGATTTCCAGATGTGAATTGAACTGCACCTGATTTACTAAAGGAGGGAACAGGAATCACGAGTTTCATGAAAGTGTTTGACCCCCCCCGACCTTCCTGCCTCTGTCATAGAAACAGAAACTCTCCACGAATCACAAAGTGAGTATATGTACACGTCCTGCAGTCACTCAGAGAGTCTGGTTTATGAGACCAAACTAAATGTCCTGATTATTAAAACCTGGATCCAAACGATATCCTGTTTTTTGGAAACTGACAGAAAAAAACTCTGATTCATAAAAAGGTTTAGATTCCAAGCAACTTCATTTAAATGAATGGGTTGTTTAACTTGTTGGTAAGATATGTCTGTCAGCAGGTTACAGAACGTCTTCCTGTGATCTGGAGGAATCTGAGGATACTGCTATTTAGCGTGTACATGTACTCACAGCAACATTTAAGATTATCACATGCTCATCTGTGTGACAGCGAATACACTGACATCTTTCCGTGAAGAAACCAACGTGAAAAAAGAAGACGTGTTTAAAGACGAAGACGTGTTTAAAGAAGAAGACGTGTTTAAAGACGAAGATGTGTTTAAAGACGAAGACGTGTTTAAAGACGGAGACGTGTTTAAAGACGAAGACGTGTTTAAAGAAGACGTGTTTAAAGACGAAGACGTGTTTAAAGACGAAGACGTGTTTAAAGACGAAGACATGTCCACCCTAACAAGGAGCTACCTGCTGACAGTCGGCGCTAACAGAAGGAAGGTCGTGGGACAGATGGAACGAGACGTTATGAAATCCTTCTCCATCTTTGGAAACGGAGGACAGGTCTTCACAGAGGAACGACGGACTAAAGCTCATCTCCTCCGTCTCGTCTTCTCTGCTATTGTCCTCCGTTAGCATGTTAGCACGACTTTCAGGAGCTCTGCCGGACTCTTTTTTCGCCCGGCGACATCGAGTCTGGTTCATCCAAACTTTCCCCAACTTCTTCTTCTTCTCCGTATGAGTTAATGTCGGAGAGATGGTGGTCGCCACCCGGAGAGACACTGGAGTCCTCGGCTGACTCCATGTCCACAGACTGAATCCAAATCAAGACGTTACATTTCCAAGACGTTGAGACAAAACTGATGGTAAAAATGTTCATGATGAAATGAGAGGGATGAGATGGAGCCAACGGGACGGCAGGATGATTCACGCTTTGATTTGAAATGAAAGGACTTTAAAACTTTATTTTATACGTCTAACACGTCCAGCTGACACTGGGGTCTAAATGAAGATATATAAAGATCAGAATGTAACACATGGTGTTTGGATAGGTCTCTCCAGTGAGACGTAACACATGGTGTTTGGACAGGTCTCTCCAGTGAGACGTAACACATGGTGTTTGGACAGGTCTCTCCAGTGAGACGTAACACATGGTGTTTGGACAGGTCTATCCAGTGAGACGTAACACATGGTGTTTGGACAGGTCTATCCAGTGAGACGTAACACATGGTGTTTGGACAGGTCTATCCAGTGAGACGTAACACATGGTGTTTGGACAGGTCTCTCCAGTGAGACGTAACACATGGTGTTTGGACAGGTCTCTCCAGTGAGACGTAACACATGGTGTTTGGACAGGTCTCTCCAGTGAGACGTAACACATGGTGTTTGGACAGGTCTCTCCAGTGAGATGTAACACATGGTGTTTGGACAGGTCTATCCAGTGAGACGTAACACATGGTGTTTGGACAGGTCTCTCCAGTGAGACCCCCGCCGGGTTTAGAGACGGGGGGGAGACAGGGTTTTTAACAACAGACATTAAACATAAAAACATGAAGCAAAACATTGATCACAAATCTGAAGTGAAGCAGGAGGAGGAAAGGGTTCAAATATACTTTAGTTTAGTCACAAATACCCTTTGAAACTGAATAAGCTAGATATGAATCAGTATCTTATTTCCTTACGTCGTTTCCTTCATTATTTAGTATTCCTATTTCCTTTCTTTATCTATCTGTACATCTCTAAATAAATATCTATAAATAGAGTTTTCATTCAGATGTTTTAGTGAAAGGAAGTGAAGGGTCTCCATCACTAGCTGCAGGATCAGCCTCTGGTGGACGTTAGGGGAACTGCAGGTTCCAGGGGGGGGGGGGGGGTAATAAAGTCCTGAATGGTTCAGAGTCTCAGTATTTAGAGGAATACAAAATGTTATGAACAAGTTGTGCATTCTCTGGATTTATGGACTGATATTATAGCACCAGAGCTGCATCCTCTCAAATTATCCTGAATTAAATGTGTTTTTAATCAGTTTTTATTGTGTTTTTATTGTGTGTCAGATGTGTCGTTAAGTTTGGGCTCTGAGAGGAGGGGCTTCCCAATCAGGTTTCTAATTAAAGAACGTCAGCAGGTTAAATGTATGTTGGATCAGATTTAGATATATTTTATATTCCTCTGCCCCGTCCTCCTCCATGTCATCACATGTCTCCCCCCTGATTGACCCCCAGATGGCGCCCTGCTCACCTCTTGGCCCCCGCTGACCTGCATGGATTGGCCCTCGCTGACCTGCATGGATTGGCCCCCGCTGACCTGCATGGATTGGCCCCCGCTGATCTGCATGGATTGGCCCCCGCTGATCTGCATGGATTGGCCCTCGCTGACCTGCATGGATTGGCCCCCGCTGACCTGCATGGATTGGCCCCCGCTGACCTGCATGGATTGGCCCCCGCTGATCTGCATGGAGCTGCTGGCGCTCTTCATACTGGTCGTACTGCTGCTCATGGCGGTCATACTGCTCATGCTGGCGCTCTTGGCGGTCATACTGCTGCTCTTGGCGGTCATACTGCTGCTCTTGGCGGTCATACTGCTCATGCTGGCGCTCTTGGCGGTCATACTGCTGCTCATGGCGGTCATACTGCTCATGCTGGCGCTCATGGCGCTGAACCCGGCCTCGCCTCTCTTCCAGGGCGGCAGAACGTCTCCGCCGGCGTCCGCCAGGGAGCGACTGCTGATGGGAGACATGGACGGCCTGAAGGGGGCGACAGAGAGCTCAGTTACACATATCAGATTCAGATCCAGATCCATTTACTGTCCGTTACACAACATGGAACCGATTCTCAAACCCCTTTAAGTATTAAAAAGACTCAGTGGCAATTTAATAAAAGTGGTTTGTTCTTCGACCGGCGTATCGTCCAGTAAAACAAACTGGTTGAAAAACAAAAAATGTTCTCAAATATGTACAGTGTCATTTAAATAATTCACTACTCCTAAGACTTTGGTAAACCAAATCTAAAACACCCAACAATCGGAGTTTTCACAAGAGTTTTGAAGATTGCCAAGAATCGGATGTCAAATGTTCAGCTTTAAAGTTAATTATCACACAGTGCTCTGAGGTGAGTGAGTTGCATTTCTAGCAGGACCAGAGACTGTGCTGAACATTTTGATATGTAGCACATGGGGTGCCATGTCATGACAAATACATTAAAAAAGTAATTTAAGGAAATCTAAAATTGGAGAAATAACCCTTAGACTCCAGAGGGTTAATACACATGAAATAAGTGTTGCAGAAGTCCTCAAGAGGATCCAGGAGGCTTTAAATGGGGCTGAAGGTTAAAGTGGTTGCACGTAACATTTAGAGTAATGCAGACTCTCAAACCAAAGGAGCCTCAGCTGTTACTCCTCTTACACTCAGAGATAATGTTGTAAATAGGATGCATCACAACCTGCGGCACAAATACATTTAAATGATTCTGGAGATGAACAACTAAAAGCTCGGTAACGCTTTAAATTAAGGTACACACATTCACATCAACTAGTTGTTAATTAACATGTAGGTGTTATGAGGTGTTCCCCCACCTGGATGGTGTTGGTGTTGGCGCCTTCACGTGTCTGACGGGGGACGGGGATTGTTGCCGCCCCCCCCCCACCCTGACGGCCAGAGAGGACTGTGTTGGGGATTTTGAGGGTGGTTTGGGAGCAACTCTGGGGGGGGTCTTATGAGCCAGAGTCAGCTCCCCCCCCTCCACATGCATCGCCATCATGGACGACTGGAAGCTGGCCTCCACCCTCTGAGAGCGAAGGGGGGTTATTAGAAACAAGAATTAAAACCATGGTCTTTATTGTTTATTTATTTATCGTTCCGTACCTTCTCCACTCGGGTCTGACGGGACGACATCACGGTCTTTGTTTTCTTAGCTGGAACGGCTTCTTCACCTGAACACACACACACACACACACACACACACACACACACACACACACACACACACACACACACACACACACACACACACACACACACACACACACAAACACACACACACACCTTAAAGCCAAACTGGACCAAACTCCATGTCTTTATGCTAAGCTAAGCTAACAGTCTCCCCCTGCTTCATGTCTTTATGCTAAACTAGTCTAACCTTTCCCCCTGCTTCATGTCTTTATGCTAAACTAGTCTAACCTTTCCCCCTGCTTCATGTCTTTATGCTAAACTAGGCTAACCTTTCCCCCTGCTTCATGTCTTTATGCTAAACTAGGCTAACCTTTCCCCCTGCTTCATGTCTTTATGCTAAACTAGTCTAACCTTTCCCCCTGCTTCATGTCTTTATGCTAAACTAGTCTAACCTTTCCCCCTGCTTCATGTCTTTATGCTAAACTAGGCTAACCTTTCCCCCTGCTTCATGTCTTTATGCTAAACTAGTCTAACCTTTCCCCCTGCTTCATGTCTTTATGCTAAACTAGTCTAACCTTTCCCCCTGCTTCATGTCTTTATGCTAAGCTAGGCTAACCTTTCCCCCTGCTTCCCGTCTTTATGCTAAGCTAGGCTAACCTTTCCCCTTACTTCATGTCTTTATGCTAAACTAGGCTAACCTTTCCCCCTGCTTCATGTCTTTATGCTAAGCTAGGCTAACCTTTCCCCCTGCTTCATGTCTTTATGCTAAGCTAGGCTAACCTTTCCCCCTGCTTCCCGTCTTTATGCTAAGCTTGGCTAACCTTTCCCCTTGCTTCATGTCTTTATGCTAAGCTAGGCTAACCTTTCCCCCTGCTTCATGTCTTTATGCTAAGCTAGGCTAACCATTCCCCTTGCTTCATGTCTTTATGCTAAGGTAGTCTAACCTTTCCCCCTGCTTCCCGTCTTTATGCTAAGCTAGGCTAACCATTCCCCTTGCTTCATGTCTTTATGCTAAGCTAGGCTAACCTTTCCCCCTGCTTCCCGTCTTTATGCTAAACTAGGCTAACCTTTCCCCCTGCTTCATGTCTTTATGCTAAGCTAGGCTAACCATTCCCCTTGCTTCATGTCTTTATGCTAAGCTAGTCTAACCTTTCCCCCTGCTTCCCGTCTTTATGCTAAGCTAGTCTAACCTTTACCCCTGCTTCCCGTCTTTATGCTAAACTAGGCTAACCTTTCCCCCTGCTTCCCGTCTTTATGCTAAGCTAGGCTAACCTTTCCCCTTGCTTCATGTCTTTATGCTAAGCTAGTCTAACCTTTCCCCCTGCTTCATGTCTTTATGCTAAACTAGTCTAACCTTTCCCCCTGCTTCATGTCTTTATGCTAAACTAGTCTAACCTTTCCCCCTGCTTCATGTCTTTATGCTAAACTAGTCTAACCTTTCCCCCTGCTTCATGTCTTTATGCTAAACTAGTCTAACCTTTCCCCCTGCTTCATGTCTTTATGCTAAACTAGGCTAACCTTTCCCCCTGCTTCATGTCTTTATGCTAAACTAGTCTAACCTTTCCCCCTGCTTCATGTCTTTATGCTAAACTAGTCTAACCTTTCCCCCTGCTTCATGTCTTTATGCTAAGCTAGGCTAACCTTTCCCCCTGCTTCCCGTCTTTATGCTAAGCTAGGCTAACCTTTCCCCTTACTTCATGTCTTTATGCTAAACTAGGCTAACCTTTCCCCCTGCTTCATGTCTTTATGCTAAGCTAGGCTAACCTTTCCCCCTGCTTCATGTCTTTATGCTAAGCTAGGCTAACCTTTCCCCCTGCTTCATGTCTTTATGCTAAGCTAGGCTAACCTTTCCCCCTGCTTCCCGTCTTTATGCTAAGCTAGGCTAACCTTTCCCCTTACTTCATGTCTTTATGCTAAGCTAGGCTAACCTTTCCCCCTGCTTCATGTCTTTATGCTAAGCTTGGCTAACCTTTCCCCTTGCTTCATGTCTTTATGCTAAGCTAGGCTAACCTTTCCCCCTGCTTCATGTCTTTATGCTAAGCTAGGCTAACCATTCCCCTTGCTTCATGTCTTTATGCTAAGGTAGTCTAACCTTTCCCCCTGCTTCCCGTCTTTATGCTAAGCTAGGCTAACCATTCCCCTTGCTTCATGTCTTTATGCTAAGCTAGGCTAACCTTTCCCCCTGCTTCCCGTCTTTATGCTAAACTAGGCTAACCTTTCCCCCTGCTTCATGTCTTTATGCTAAGCTAGGCTAACCATTCCCCTTGCTTCATGTCTTTATGCTAAGCTAGTCTAACCTTTCCCCCTGCTTCCCGTCTTTATGCTAAGCTAGGCTAACCTTTCCCCTTGCTTCATGTCTTTATGCTAAGCTAGTCTAACCTTTACCCCTGCTTCCCGTCTTTATGCTAAACTAGGCTAACCTTTCCCCCTGCTTCCCGTCTTTATGCTAAGCTAGGCTAACCTTTCCCCTTGCTTCATGTCTTTATGCTAAGCTAGTCTAACCTTTCCCCCTGCTTCATGTCTTTATGCTAAACTAGTCTAACCTTTCCCCCTGCTTCATGTCTTTATGCTAAACTAGTCTAACCTTTCCCCCTGCTTCATGTCTTTATGCTAAACTAGTCTAACCTTTCCCCCTGCTTCATGTCTTTATGCTAAACTAGTCTAACCTTTCCCCCTGCTTCATGTCTTTATGCTAAACTAGTCTAACCTTTCCCCCTGCTTCATGTCTTTATGCTAAACTAGGCTAACCTTTCCCCCTGCTTCATGTCTTTATGCTAAACTAGTCTAACCTTTCCCCCTGCTTCATGTCTTTATGCTAAACTAGTCTAACCTTTCCCCCTGCTTCATGTCTTTATGCTAAGCTAGGCTAACCTTTCCCCCTGCTTCCCGTCTTTATGCTAAGCTAGGCTAACCTTTCCCCTTACTTCATGTCTTTATGCTAAACTAGGCTAACCTTTCCCCCTGCTTCATGTCTTTATGCTAAGCTAGGCTAACCTTTCCCCCTGCTTCATGTCTTTATGCTAAGCTAGGCTAACCTTTCCCCCTGCTTCATGTCTTTATGCTAAGCTAGGCTAACCTTTCCCCCTGCTTCCCGTCTTTATGCTAAGCTAGGCTAACCTTTCCCCTTGCTTCATGTCTTTATGCTAAGCTAGGCTAACCTTTCCCCCTGCTTCATGTCTTTATGCTAAGCTTGGCTAACCTTTCCCCTTGCTTCATGTCTTTATGCTAAGCTAGGCTAACCTTTCCCCCTGCTTCATGTCTTTATGCTAAGCTAGGCTAACCATTCCCCTTGCTTCATGTCTTTATGCTAAGGTAGTCTAACCTTTCCCCCTGCTTCCCGTCTTTATGCTAAGCTAGGCTAACCATTCCCCTTGCTTCATGTCTTTATGCTAAGCTAGGCTAACCTTTCCCCCTGCTTCCCGTCTTTATGCTAAACTAGGCTAACCTTTCCCCCTGCTTCATGTCTTTATGCTAAGCTAGGCTAACCATTCCCCTTGCTTCATGTCTTTATGCTAAGCTAGTCTAACCTTTCCCCCTGCTTCCCGTCTTTATGCTAAGCTAGGCTAACCTTTCCCCTTGCTTCATGTCTTTATGCTAAGCTAGTCTAACCTTTACCCCTGCTTCCCGTCTTTATGCTAAACTAGGCTAACCTTTCCCCCTGCTTCCCGTCTTTATGCTAAGCTAGGCTAACCTTTCCCCTTGCTTCATGTCTTTATGCTAAGCTAGTCTAACCTTTCCCCCTGCTTCATGTCTTTATGCTAAGCTAGGCTAATCCTGTCCTGGATGCTCAGAGATTAATCTAAAACACCAGGCTGCTGCTATAGTTGTATATCTATAGGTCTACAGTTCTCTAAATGTCTGTGTCCTGTTGCCGGGCAGACTCCCTCACCTTGCACCAGCAGCTCGCAGGTGGAGGTTGCTCTTCCGCTGCTGTTGGTGGCGGTGGCAGAATAGTTCCCAGAATCCTCGGGGAAGGCCTCAGCGATCAGCAGGCTGTGCGTCTCGCCCTCCGTCAGGATCCTGAAGTCTGGCGAGCTCTGGATCTCCGCCCCCTCCCTGAAGAACCTCACCTGGGGGAGGGGGATACCTGAGACTCTGACGTCCAGCCTCACCTGGCTGCCCTGGAGCACCGTGGAGCTCTGGAGGCGGAGCAGGAAGCTGGGAGGGGCTGTCTCCGCTGGGGGGGGGGGGGGGGGGGGGGCGGGAGAGGTCATTAAACTGGGGCTCCAATCACTGCACCATCAACCATCACTTCCTGCTATACCAGGACTCAGACACTGGAACAGGACTCTAGGAAGGTTCGTTTCCTGTCTCTTTGCTGTTGTTTTGGATCTTAAATGTCTTGTTAAGTTTCTCTCTGTAGTAGTTTCCTGTCTCTATGAGGTTGTTTAGTATATGTTATGGTTGTTAAAGTGGACCTATCATGCTATATTTGAATAATATAGTGTAGGGCCATACCTATATAAGGCATATTTATACTTTTTTTTTTTCAAAATACCAAACAGATCATGCATTTTAGCCATGCCTCATTTTGCTCAATTTGACATTTTTTAGATCTGTTTTAGCAAGGGCTGATTCAGTGAGAACAGCACCATCTACTGGCCTGGCATATGTACTACAGCGTCTCCAGCGCTTTCGAACGGCAATGGCCGTGGCTGTCTCCTCCTGATTGGTGGAGTTGGCCCAATAGCCGTAGCGCCACCGTCCTGACGTCAGGACAGTGTTCAAATCTGGATCAGTTTTTATCAGATCCGTTGCAGCCCCTTTTTTAGAGATTTGGGTATGGAGGAAAATAGAGAGGGTTGTGTTTTCTGACACTTGGTGAGTTCCCTGGAACACCGGGGACACATATTCATGTAGAAAAGTGCATTTTGTATGATAGGTCCCCTTTAAGTTTCTCTCTGCAGTAGTTTCCTGTCTCTCAGGTGATCCAGCCTCACCTGTGACGAGCAGTTCTGCGGTGCTGGTGGCCTGTCCGGCTCCGTTGGTCGCTCTGACGGAGAACCTCCCACTGTGTGCGGCGGTCACAGCAGGGATCCTCAGAACAGCACGGCCATCGCTGAACGAGATCTGAATGCCGGGCAGAACGGCGGAGGAGAGAACCTGGCCATCCCGAAACCAGCTCACCTCAGGAACAGGAGAACCTGCAGAGAACCAGAACCAGTCAGATCAGAGGATAACCAACACTGGACCTGCAGGACTCACAACCTCAGATATTTAACAGGATTATTCAAACAAAGTTTATTTGATCTAAGACTAAAAAATGTGAAATCCTAAATTAAGAATTGAAGGAAGATTTCGATTTTTAGATCCAATCTGAACTGGTTTAATCTTAACCAGTTCAGATTGGATTTCAGTTGAACTGGTTGTGTTTAGAGATGAACTGGTTGTGTTTAGAGATGAACTGGTTGTGTTTAGAGATGAACTGGTTGTGTTTAGAGATGAACTGGTTGTGTTTAGAGATGAACTGGTTGTGTTTAGAGATGAACTGGTTGTGTGTTTAGAGATGGACTGGTTGTGTTTAGAGATGGACTGGTTGTGTTTAGTGTCTCTCACCGTTGACTTGAGCCTGGAACGTCGCGGCACTACCCTCTAGTGCCACGACGCTCTGCAGCGGCTGCAGGAACGTCGGCGCCTGTGTTGACATGTTTGTTGGCACCCTGCAGGAAAACAGATGAAGTTTAGTAATAAATCAACAGATTACTTTTAACGTCAATGATTCACTAAGGTTTCAGTTTCCTGTGTCGATGCAAACAGAAACAACTCAATGCTTCAACCTAAAGATACAATGAGAATAAAGTGTCAGATGTTCTCCTGTTGGTTACCTTCTAAAGAGAACATGGACTCTGAAGGATCCCACATGCAATACATCTCTATTGAATTCATGCATTCACTGATTTGAGAACCGATGTTTTGTCAGCTGTAGTTTTTATTTTCTTATTTTCTGTAAAAATACAATCATTTATTGTGAGCTTCGCAGAGCAGAGCAGGAACAGTTTCAATCCTCCAAACTAGTTTCAGTAACGGATTATCAAGATACTTAAATACAAGTTACAGTATTCTCTTACAGTTGCATAAAGAAATCTGATTACTTTTACATTTCTAAATATTGGGGATGACCATCAGGATGAAATGTTAGTAAAAAGATCTTCTGGTGTTTGTTGTAAAGGATCAGATGTTATCTCTGTCATATAATACTTTAGTGTGAATCGAGACGCCTGAATCTGCTTCATGAAGGTTTCCCCATCAATCAAATCATTTCTAAACATCTTGGTTCATCTTCTCTGAGCTCACATTGCTCTGTGTTCTTACATAATGCAGAGGAGTTAAAGGGCTTGAGGTTTTTATGATTCAGGAGACAGATTTAGCAGCAGCTGGAGGAGAAGTGCTGAGTGAGAGACGGCTCAGTTTCAGAACAAGAGCCCCATCTATTTATATCTAAAGGGGGGGGGGGGTGCAGCAGCTGCAGGCCCGTTAATCAGAGAAGAAGAAGAAGAAGAAGAAGAAGAAGAAGAAGAAGAAGAAGAAGAAGAAGTTTAAACTATACATACATATAATCAGAGGAAACTGTATGCAAAAATCTAAACTTTAAATTAAAGATGCCCTACTTTAAAGAGTCCTCTCCTGCTGATGTTCAGGTGTATATCAGTATGTAGTGTCTCTACTTTAAAGAGTCCTCTCCTGCTGATGTTCAGGTGTATATCAGTATGTAGTGTCTCTACTTTAAAGAGTCCTCTCCTGCTGATGTTCAGGTGTATATCAGTATGTAGTGTCTCTACTTTAAAGAGTCCTCTCCTGCTGATGTTCAGGTGTATATCAGTATGTAGTGTCTCTACTTTAAAGAGTCCTCTCCTGCTGATGTTCAGGTGTATATCAGTATGTAGTGTCTCTACTTTAAAGAGTCCTCTCCTGCTGATGTTCAGGTGTATATCAGTATGTAGTGTCTCTACTTTAAAGAGTCCTCTCCTGCTGATGTTCAGGTGTATATCAGTATGTAGTGTCTCTACTTTAAAGAGTCCTCTCCTGCTGATGTTCAGGTGTATATCAGTATGTAGTGTCTCTACTTTAAAGAGTCCTCTCCTGCTGATGTTCAGGTGTATATCAGTATGTCGTGTCTCTACTTTAAAGAGTCCTCTCCTGCTGATGTTCAGGTGTATATCAGTATGTAGTGTCTCTACTTTAAAGAGTCCTCTCCTGCTGATGTTCAGGTGTATATCAGTATGTAGTGTCTCTACTTTAAAGAGTCCTCTCCTGCTGATGTTCAGGTGTATATCAGTATGTCGTGTCTCTACTTTAAAGAGTCCTCTCCTGCTGATGTTCAGGTGTATATCAGTATGTAGTGTCTCTACTTTAAAGAGTCCTCTCCTGCTGATGTTCAGGTGTATATCAGTATGTAGTGTCTCTACTTTAAAGAGTCCTCTCCTGCTGATGTTCAGGTGTATATCAGTATGTCGTGTCTCTACTTTAAAGAGTCCTCTCCTGCTGATGTTCAGGTGTATATCAGTATGTCGTGTCTCTACTTTAAAGAGTCCTCTCCTGCTGATGTTCAGGTGTATATCAGTATGTAGTGTCTCTACTTTAAAGAGTCCTCTCCTGCTGATGTTCAGGTGTATATCAGTATGTAGTGTCTCTACTTTAAAGAGTCCTCTCCTGCTGATGTTCAGGTGTATATCAGTATGTAGTGTCTCTACTTTAAAGAGTCCTCTCCTGCTGATGTTCAGGTGTATATCAGTATGTAGTGTCTCTACTTTAAAGAGTTCTCTCCTGCTGATGTTCAGGTGTATATCAGTATGTAGTGTCTCTACTTTAAAGAGTCCTCTCCTGCTGATGTTCAGGTGTATATCAGTATGTAGTGTCTCTACTTTAAAGAGTCCTCTCCTGCTGATGTTCAGGTGTATATCAGTATGTAGTGTCTCTACTTTAAAGAGTCCTCTCCTGCTGATGTTCAGGTGTATATCAGTATGTAGTGTCTCTACTTTAAAGAGTCCTCTCCTGCTGATGTTCAGGTGTATATCAGTATGTAGTGTCTCTACTTTAAAGAGTTCTCTCCTGCTGATGTTCAGGTGTATATCAGTATGTAGTGTCTCTACTTTAAAGAGTCCTCTCCTGCTGATGTTCAGGTGTATATCAGTATGTCGTGTCTCTACTTTAAAGAGTCCTCTCCTGCTGATGTTCAGGTGTATATCAGTATGTAGTGTCTCTACTTTAAAGAGTCCTCTCCTGCTGATGTTCAGGTGTATATCAGTATGTAGTGTCTCTACTTTAAAGAGTTCTCTCCTGCTGATGTTCAGGTGTATATCAGTATGTAGTGTCTCTACTTTAAAGAGTCCTCTCCTGCTGATGTTCAGGTGTATATCAGTATGTAGTGTCTCTACTTTAAAGAGTCCTCTCCTGCTGATGTTCAGGTGTATATCAGTATGTAGTGTCTCTACTTTAAAGAGTCCTCTCCTGCTGATGTTCAGGTGTATATCAGTATGTAGTGTCTCTACTTTAAAGAGTCCTCTCCTGCTGATGTTCAGGTGTATATCAGTATGTAGTGTCTCTACTTTAAAGAGTCCTCTCCTGCTGCAGAGCCTCTTTCTGAAACCCAGCTCTGCTCTGATTGGTCGACTGCTTAGAGCCTATCACGTACAATGTGTTCGAGCCAAGAGGTGTTACTTTGTGATGTCACTATGTTGTGGAAATAAGTAAACAAAAGAGGCTTGGAATGATTGGGGGGGTTAATGGGGGGGGGGGGTCACAGTGGGGGGTGTTTCGCTATGACCCCCCCCTCCCACCTGTGGGGGGCAAGGCTTTTATTGTGACAGCTGCTACAGGAAGTCAGAGACTTCATCCTGAGAGACTCTGTGAGCTCAGGTTTCACCTTCTTTCAAACCTCTCCTTCATTACAGTGAGGTCTGGTTCAGTGCACTTCAACATATATATTTTAAACAGAAAATTAGCCCTCACATGACAACATTTATTTACAGCTTAAATCATGTTTAGACACTACAAATGTTTTAGTTTCTTACTCTCTCTCTCTCTATATATATCTATATATATATATATATATATATATATATATATATATATATATATATATATATATATAGAGATATCTTCATATTATTCTGATATGGTGCAACTGTCCCCTAACCTTATTCCCTCTAGGATTAATACACTTTTAGGATTTAAAGTCCTATTTTAGGAAAAGTAAATCCACTAAGTCATAAACTTGTGATTAACTTTTATTTATTTTTAGAAGATTTGTTCACACAGAGTTTTAATGTAATATAAATCTGAAGTCAGGGTTAGGTTCTGGTTCTGTACCCTGACCCTCTGGGAATGAAATATTTTAAACACGATGAGTCCGACTTTTTATATTTAGCATTTTGACGTGCTAATGACAACGCAGCTGTTAGAGCCAGCTGCCCCCCTCCCCCAAATGGGGCTCTGCGGGGAAAAACCAGCCCCCCCAGGACAGTTATTGCCACTCGTCGACTGAAGTATTTGCGGTGTGTTCATAGGCGGGCGGCGTAGCCGACGCGGGCGGCATAGCTGACGTAAAAGTCGGGAAAAGTCGACCCCCCCCCCCCCACACACACACTGCAAGAGCCTCACACTGACCCCCCATTGTGATTTTCTGTCATTACAGTTTGAGGGGTTAATGGAGGTGGGGTTTTTTTAATAACAAACTGAAGATCAGTCTTTGAGCTGATCTGAGAATGTGACTCTAATCTGTTTATTTATATTTTATTCACTAAAGTTATGAGGTATTTTCCGACTTTTAACTATTTTCTTCAATTTCAGATTTAAGTTTTAATAAATATTCAGACTTTTTTTCACATTCTGAAATGTTTTAACAGTTTATTTGTAAAATAATAATAACATCATATTGAGCTGAAGGGTTCCTGTAATGTTACGTGTTGTTGTGTTTCTACTGTCACACACACTGTACCACACACCGTCACACACACTGTACCACACACCGTCACACACACACTGTACCACACACTGTACCACACACCATCAGACACACACACACACACTGTACCACACACCATCACACACACTGTACCACACACCGTCACACACACACTACCACACACTGTACCACACACTGTACCACACACCATCACACACACTGTACCACACACCGTCACACACACACTATCACACACTGTACCACACACTGTACCACACACCGTCACACACACACTACCACACACTGTACCACACACCATCACACACACTGTACCACACACTGTACCACACACTGTCACACACCGTCACACACACTGTCACACACCGTCACACACACCGTCACACACACCGTCACACACTGTCACACACACCGCTCTATCCTGCTGTCCATTAAACTATCCATGAACAAAGTTAATATAAAATAAAGTCATTGTTTATAATGACACGTCTGATCCGTGTTCAATACAAGAGGGAACGTTTGTAAATCTAAAAACGTTAGTTAGGACGTAGAAAATAGAGTATATAATCCTAAAGGATATGTCTCTGTGTTTATAAAGTGACTGGGAGAGGAACAAGAGACTGGACAAGCTTTCTATTAGAATCTGATATATTTTCATACTTTTCTTTAAATCATGAATTTTATCTCACAAATTAAACTTTGGTCTTAGATTTCGACTTTTATTAAATGATGACATTTATCTCTGTCTTTATTTACAGAAATACTTTCCCCTCAGTATTTCAACTTATTATTTCAAAATAGAGACTGATCTCACGATATTTACTTTTTTGAGAATTTCATTTTTATTTCTAAGAAACTCTTTTTCCTCAGAATTAAAGAAGACTTCTTTGAACCTTTACTTTAGACTTCTATGAACCTTTACTTTAGACTTCTATGAACCTTTACTTTAGACTTCAATGAACCTTTACTTTAGACTTCAATGAACCTTTACTTTAGACTTCTATGAACCTTTACTTTAGACTTCAATGAACCTTTACTTTAGACTTCTATGAACCTTTACTTTAGACTTCAATGAACCTTTACTTTAGACTTCTTTGAACCTTTACTTTAGACTTCTATGAACCTTTACTTTAGACTTCAATGAACCTTTACTTTAGACTTCAATGAACCTTTACTTTAGACTTCTATGAACCTTTACTTTAGACTTCTATGCACCTTTACTTTAGACTTCTATGAACCTTTACTTTAGACTTCAATGAACCTTTACTTTAGACTTCTATGAACCTTTACTTTAGACTTCTATGAACCTTTACTTTAGACTTCTATGAACCTTTACTTTAGACTTCTATGAACCTTTTACTTAGACTTCTAATGAACCTTTACTTAGACTTCAATGAACCTTTACCTTTAGACTTCTATGAACCTTTACTTTAGACTTCTATGAACCTTTACTTTAGACTTCTATGAACCTTTACTTTAGACTTCTATGAACCTTTACTTTAGACTTCAATGACCTTACTGAGACTTCTATGAACCTTTTACTAGACTTCTATGAACCTTTACTTTAGACTTCTATGAACCTTTACTTTAGACTTCTATGAACCTTTACTTTAGACTTCATATGACCTTTACTTTAGACTTCTATGAACCTTTACTTTAGACTTCATATGAACCTTTACTTTAGACTTCATGAACCTTTACTTAGACTTCAATGAACCTTTACTTTAGACTTCTATGAACCTTTACTTTAGACTTCTATGAACCTTTACTTTAGACTTCTATGAACCTTTACTTTAGACTTCTATGAACCTTTACTTTAGACTTCTATGAACCTTTACTTTAGACTTCTATGAACCTTTACTTTAGACTTCTATGAACCTTTACTTTAGACTTCAATGAACCTTTACTTTAGACTTCTATGAACCTTTACTTTAGACTTCTATGAACCTTTACTTTAGACTTCTATGAACCTTTACTTTAGACTTCTATGAACCTTTACTTTAGACTTCTATGAACCTTTACTTTAGACTTCTAATGAACCTTACTTTAGACTTCTATGAACCTTTACTTTAGACTTCTATGAACCTTTACTTTAGACTTCTATGAACCTTTACTTTAGACTTCTATGAACCTTTACTTTAGACTTCTATGAACCTTTACTTTAGACTTCTATGAACCTTTACTTTAGACTTCTATGAACCTTTACTTTAGACTTCTATGAACCTTTACTTTAGACTTCTATGAACCTTTACTTTAGACTTCTATGAACCTTTACTTTAGACTTCTATGAACCTTTACTTTTTTAAAGATGACTTTTCATCTAAATGTTGTTGCTTAAAGTTTTATATATTTTTTTAAATAAAACATTTTCTCAGTTAGAAGACTTTTTTTTTAAAATCCTGACTTTATTTTCAGAATTTCGACTGTTCTAAGAACGTTGACCTAAAACCAGGGGCGCACCTTGCGAACAGGCAAGGCAGGCAGCTGCTTGGGGCCCCGGACCAGAAGGGGGCCCCCAAAGAAGGTAGATTAAGAAGGTCCACAGCAACGACAACATGAAACACCCTTTAATTTACTGCAACGACATGTCGGGAAACCCCCTCAAGGCGGCCCCATGCATAGCGCGCCGTAAAATGCTGCTTCTTATTTTAAGTTTCGTTGCCTTGCTCCGCTCGGGGGGGGGGGGGGGGGGGGGGGGGGGAGAGTGTGTTGGGACGCCACTGATGGTGATGAAAGCTGGTTCGAGGGGCCCCCAGTGAATTTTTGCCTAGGGCCCCCACAGACTCTTGAATCGCCACTGCCTGAAACTTAAGACTTTAAACCTGGACGAATAAAGAGATGTTTCCTGAAGCAGATTCATGGTTTCAAGACACAGGAAAACACCAACAGTTGAAGAGAGAAACACCACGAGCAGAAAACCTCCTGAACTGTTCCTGAAACACGAGGCGCCTCCTCTTCAGAATAAACATCACACTTGATAAAACACTTTAAACACTTTAAAACAAACCCAAGCAGCAGATTGTCCTCCTGAATGCTAAAGTATAGTTTATGTTCAGTTCATGAAGCTATAAAATAAGTTATCCATTCATTATAATAATTTTATATAAATACATTTATTTAATTGTTCCTCAGAAAATCTAAATAATTTAATTTTTAATTTTTTGCATTTCTTTATTATAATTAACATCTTGTTTGATTGAAGCTCACATTTTAAATGCACGTGTTCTCATTGTTGGTGTCTCTTTTAATGTTGTGTTGTTAAACCGGATGGATTCTCCTTGTTTCTATTACATTACTTTTCACTTTTAATATTTTCTATCACTTTCTCTTCTTTTGAATTGTGTTGTTTCTGAAATGAAGAGATAGATTCACTCTTAAGTTTAATGTTTGTAGAAATGTCTCTAAAGTTTCCTGTTTTATATTAAAGTGAATATCTGTGGACTCTGTAATGGACATGCTTATATGATTTATATATTTATATATATATATATAAACCTGAACAATTGGGATATTCTGTGCAGATGAAGCGTCTGAATGTGAAGTATTAATAGCCGCTCCGCCTCACATCTATTTATAATCTCTGAGTTTATGAAAGCATTAAACACCGGCTGCACCACAGACCTTAACTCTTTAAACACGACAGACCTTAACTCTTTAAACACGACAGACCTTAACTCTTTAAACGTGAATGAGAGAGAATCAGGATTTATATCCATACATTCTGATCAGAAACATGTGACTGTGATCTCTCTTCTGATTGGTCCCTTTGTGTCAAGTTCAATGTCCAATAAAGGAAATGAAATAAATGTCAGACATTCTTCAACCAGCAACTCTTTCTAGACCCCCCCCCCCCCTTTTACCTTTAGCAGAACTTCTTTTATAAATCAGAAAACAGTTCAGGTTACACAGAGAGGTTTATCTTTAAAGCTGTGTACAGAAATATAGAACAATAAACTACCTGAGATAAATACAACAGAATAACAGAATAACTCTCAGAATACAGTAAATAAACACCTGTCTGTTTATACTGTAATCATAATGTCATTTTCACACAGTTTCCTGTATCCCTGCCCTTCTGAGCCCCTATTCGTCTCTATTTGCAGAAACCAGGCCCAGCGACACATATGGCAGTGTGTAAAAATACACCTCCCCCCGGACCCCCCCCCCCCCCTGTGATTGACAGCCACCATGTGCACATATCTGCTGAGAGCTGATATCTGCGCTGTGATTCCCTTAAAAAGACATGCCTCTCGTCCTATCAGCTGCTATTCCTGGCTGCTCTCTGCTCGGTGCACGCGGCCTTCAGGTGTCCAACTCCTCCATATTATTATTATTATTATTATCATCATTATTATTATTATCATCAAACAGAACTGCACAGACAGCTGATAGAGTCCTGATAACACACAGGTGTTGGGGCTCACCTATCGGGTATGCCTCGCTGTGACGGGACGAGCCCAGATGATGTTCAGTATCGACTCTTATCCTCAAATCGTTTCTCCAGAAAAATCCAAAGGTGAAAGCGGACCCCTCAGTGCAGATGCTTCCCTGACGACCTCCACCCGAGGCTGGGAAACTAACTGCTCAGGAGGGCCCTGACGGAGCCGCGGGGCTTTATAGCTGGGGGGCCGGCCCTCAGAGGGTCCTCCCATCACTCAGGGGGCATCATGGGACAGACAACTATACCCCCCCCCCCCCCCCCCCCCCCCCCCCTCCATCATCACCTCCATCTCCATCATCACCTCCACCTCCATCATCTGATCTGATCCATCTGAGAGAAAGGAGTCAGCATCATTAAAGATCATTAAAGTTAGTTAATACAGAGACATGGTGGGGGGGCGGGACCATCAGGGCCGGGGCTGTGCCTGTCACTCAAACCACACCCCACCCCACCAGCCTGGTGTGTTATAACACAGGACCCCCCCCCCCCCAGTTATAACACAGGACCCCCCCCCCCGTTTACATCATGCTGCATCATTACCCAAACCCAGTTTAAATGTTTTTAAACTGCAGCTGCTCTGCCAGAGGGGAGAAGCTGTACTAATACTACACATTATAGTGAAGTACAAGTAGTAATACTACAGATATCATACTGGAGTAGTAATACTACAGATATCATACTGGAGTAGTAATACTACAGATATCATACTGGAGTAGTAATACTACAGATATCATACTGGAGTAGTAATACTACAGATATCATACTGAAGTAGTAATACTACAGATATCATACTGGAGTAGTAATACTACAGATATCATACTGAAGTAGTAATACTACAGATATCATACTGAAGTAGTAATACTACAGATATCATACTGAAGTAGTAATACTACAGATATCATACTGAAGTAGTAATACTACAGATATCATACTGGAGTAGTAATACTACAGATATCATACTGGAGTAGTAATACTACAGATATCATACTGGAGTAGTAATACTACAGATATCATACTGAAGTAGTAATACTACAGATATCATACTGAAGTAGTAATACTACAGATATCATACTGAAGTAGTAATACTACAGATATCATACTGGAGTAGTAATACTACAGATATCATACTGGAGTAGTAATACTACAGATATCATACTGGAGTAGTAATACTACAGATATCATACTGGAGTAGTAATACTACAGATATCATACTGGAGTAGTAATACTACAGATATCATACTGAAGTAGTAATACTACATTACATTACATTACATGACATTGCATTTAGCTGGGGCTTTTATCCAAAGCGACACAATAAGTGCATTCGACCAGGAAGATACAAACTAGAAGAAAACAGAATCATATAAGAACATCAGGTTTCATAGAGCCAAAACATTTCAAGTGCTGCTCAACTAGCTTTAGATAAGCCAGTCCTTTGTTAGTATATCAGTGCTTTGTTAGTAATTCTATCGCTCGAAGTGAAGTGGAAAGAGATGAGTCTTCAGTCTTCTCAGGAAGATGTGTGAGCTTTCTGCTGTCCTGATGTCAATGGGGAGCTCATTCCACCATGTTGGAGCCAGGATATCAAACCCACGTGTTTCTGCTGATGGGAACTTGGGTCCCCCTCGCAGTGCGGGTGCAGCGAGCCGTTTGGCCGATGCAGAGCGGAGTGCACGTGCTGGGGTGTACAGTTTAACCATGTCCTGGATGTAGGAAGGGCCAGATCCATTCACAGCATGGTACGCTAGTACCAGTGTCTTGAAGTGGATTCTAGCAGTTACTGGAAGCCAGTGAAGGGAGCGGAGGAGCGGGGTGGGAACATTTAGGAAGGTTGAAGACCAGACGAGCCGCTGCATTCTGGATGAGCTGCAGAGGTGGGATGGCACATGCAGGTAGACCAGCCAGGAGGGAGTTGCAGTAGTCTAGGCGTGAGATATCTACAGATATCATAATGAAGTAGTAATACATATCATACTGAAGTAGTAATACTACAGATATACTACAGATGTCATACTGAAGTAGTAATACTACAGATATACTACAGATGTCATACTGAAGTAGTAATACTACAGATATTATACTGAAGTAGTAATACTACAGATGTTATACTGAAGTAGTAATACTACAGATATTATACTGAAGTAGTAATACTACAGATATCATACTGAAGTAGTAATACTACAGATGTTATACTGAAGTAGTAATACTATAGATTACAAATACTATGTCACAAGAAATTCAAGTTAAAGTCCTGGATTTAGAACTTAAAGCTCTCGTAATTATTACTTTCTTGTTCACGTTTTGTGACTTTTTTAAATTCTAACTTTATCCATATTACAGATTTTTACTTTTTTCATAAAAGTCTTTTTTGTTGCAGTTTATTTTTGACTTTTGTAGTTCTGAGAAAAAAGTCTGAATTGTGACTTTTTCTGACCAAAAGTGAAGTTTATTTGAATTTTAAGAAGTCAGAAGTCAGAAGTCAGAATTCTGCAAAATCTCAGACTTTTCAGACCAGATGTGAAGGTTTTGAGGTTTGAGGAAAAAGTAGGATTTTATATTTTTGTACTATTTCAGCAGAATTCTGCTGAAGTCAGAATGTTGACTTTTGTCCAAATTCACTTTCTAACCGAGACTGAATTTGTTCTCAGAATTTAGTGTTTTCTGAAGATTCTGAAAAAGTTGGATATTAAAAAAAAAAAAATTCAGTTGACCGTAAAAAGTGAAGTTTTATTGAAATCTCAGAAAAAGACAGTTTTGTGACTTTTCTCTCAGAATTCTGAAAACTCTCAGAATTTTCTGACCAGATGTGAATGTTTTTTAGAGGTTTGAGAAAAGGGGAGACACAGGGAGGCTGTGGCTCAGTGGAATAGTGTGCTTTGTAACATGGGAGCGCTGGTTCAATCCCTCACTTCAGCCCAAACTGCTCCTTTCGGGATTCTCCACAGGATTGATGTCACTTTGGGTAAAAGAGTCTAACAGATAATGTAATTATAGCCTAGATGTAAAAATGCTTTATGTTAAAAAAGGAAGCAAATAAAGTTAAATTCAATTCATGCATATTGTCCATTTATCAATGTACATGTATATGACTTATATTAATGTACATATGACCTATTGTCGAGCCGCTTAGGAACCAAGTAAAAAATGATGTGAATACATTGCCAGTATTACCATATTTATTTGATCTCGGTACAAATAATCATCTAGTGATATTCTCAATCATTTTAATGCATTGCTTGACCTAGACCAGGGGTCGGCAACAGGCGGACCGCGGTCCGGATCCGGACCCAGACGCCGACCTATACGGACCCGGACCTATAATCAATACATTAATAGGGGATTTCAATTTTGACGGGGCGATTCTATTTTAACCGCCGCCGACAGGGGGCGAAAGAGACGAGTGAGCGATACAGGGAGAGAAACACAGAAGAAGAGACGAGAGAGCGGCAGATAGAAGAGGAGAGGAAAGTGAGTGAAGAGAATAATTAGCGATACAGGGAGAGAAGCGGTGAATGTGAATACATTTTGGAATACTTTTTGGAATTATTGGTGGAAAAGTTTCCTCATAAAATGTAATATTCATTACCAGCAGAACTGTGTGCACACTGCACAGCGCTGCAGCATGTCTGTGAGGCCCCGCCCCCGCACGCAGATCAGAGAGAGAGATGCAGCGTGTCTGTGAAGCCCCGCCCCCGCATGCAGATCAGAGAGAGAGATCTCTTTTAAAATATATAGAAACGGAGATGGTTCGATAAAATGTGCAAGATAACGTTTATGTAGCATTTCTTTATTGTCGAAATGATGACATTTCATAACGGGATCAAATCAAAGTGAATGGCCTGCTGCTGCTGAATGCATGGGGCAAGTGACTGGAAACAGTTAAAAAAGTTATGTCGTTTCAGATAATAAATAATAATGATAATTCATTCTATTTAGGGGCGCCTTTCAAAGCACCCAAGGACACCTGACAATTCATAACATATTCTAAGGAAAGGTTTAAGAGAGTACAAAGAATGCAGTCCTGGTGATGTTTTTTATGTGGGGTGCAGATGAGAGGGAGCTGTCCAGAATGACACCAAGATGTTGTGTTTGAGTTGTGCTCTTGATAAGCCATTAAAACAGTAAAATAAGTGTCTCCTGTTCACCAAAACATACCCATCTGTTATGGAAAAATATAGTATTCCAAAAGTATTCTAAAAGTAATCTGAATACGTTACTTTTTTAAGACGCGTAACTCTAACTGTATTCGGATTACTTTCAGAGCCATGTATTCAGTAACCGATTACATTTACAAAGTAACCCTCCCAACCCTGATTAAAAGTGCCAAAACCCCACTATGAGACAAAACACAAAGTGTTTGACCAAACATTCCCTCTCAAGTCAGAACTGAGGTCACAAAAAATAAGCAGTCTCAGAGCCCAATATGATCAGTCCACCAGGATCGAAATTAAAACTAAATATCGTTCCAGCGCAGGCTAACCGAGGCTAACCGAGGCTAACCGAGGCTAACCGAGGCTAACCGAGGCTAACCAATGAGCACCTGCATGTGTGGATGAGAATGGCCCTGACACCATTTCAGCCCAGATCTAAACTCCTGGCAGGACAAGCTCAAGCTCAATTCTCGCACTGAATACAAAAAAGTGAGTGAGGGACTGCAATATAAGAGGGAAAGAAAGAGAAACTTTAAAACTGTTCAATTGTTATGATGTGTAAAGACTGATATGTTCTATAATCGTCTGAAACTGTTAAGTCATGATGTGAAACGGTTAACAAAGCTATTTTATTTATTTCACTATTTTATTTTTAAATGTAGCCAGAGAGGAACATTACACACATCCACAGTATTTACTGTATATCTGTATAGTTCAATGTTCATTGACAATAAATATTGTTGTTTTTGAATTGTACTTTCTTTATCTGATTGGCAGTCAGTTGTTGATGACATGCAGACGTTGATAAAGCTACAGGCTACTTCAATATATATCACACTAATTCATAAAGCAACTTAGACATTTTGATGTTCCGGACCTTTGCATGGGGAGATTTTCTCTAACTGGACCTCGTTGAATTTTAGTTGAACCCCTGACCTAGACAATAGGCGCTTTCACACCAAGTACTTTGCCGTACTTAGTTCAT